GATCTCGAGCCTGAAGCTTATTGACCTACGGGACCTGCGAGCAAGGCGGAGAGATATCACGAGCCTATCGGCTCTCACAGGACCTGAGAGCAGCAGAGATGTGTGAGCAGCACGCAGATAAGTCGCAAAACCTAAAGCCTATGGGCTCTCCGGACCCGGGAGCAGCAGGGAGAAAGATCTCGAGCCTGAAGCTTTTGACCTGCGGGACCTGAGAGCAAGGCGAGACATCACGAGCCTATCGGCTCTCACAGGACCTGAGAGCAGCAGAGATGTGTATCGTCTTGCGCAAACTGCCCATTCTTTGACAGGTTTGCAGTCGCAAAAATCGGCCGCTGCGCGGGGCAGTTGAGGAACCACAGTGTCTTTAAGTTTCTGGATGCCAAGCAATGGACGCCTTGGGCACCTTGCTTGCAGTCTCACTGCCCGGCCAGGAGGGCGCCCGCCCTCCTGCGCTGCGGCAAGCAGAAGCAGTGGGTAGACCTCTTAGAAGGCCCAGAAATGATTAGGCCTCTCAAACTGCTGTCCCAACAGTTGCCTGAAGGCCCAGAAGTGATTAGGCTTCTCAAACTGTTGCCTCAACCTTCCCTGGAGGGCTCAGAGTGATTAGGCCTCTCAAACTGCTGCCTAAAACTTCTCCGGAAGGCCCAGCAGTGAGTAGGCCTCTACTGCTGCCTAAAACTTCTCCAGAAGGCCCAGAAGTGATTAAGCCCTGCAAACGGCTGCCGGAACCTTCGCCAGAAGGCCCAGAAGGGATGTGAGGAACTGCTGCTTCGACCTCTCCCAGCAGGTCCAGAAGTGACTAGGCCTAGCACTTTGCTGTGGGTCCCACATCAGGTGTAGTCACGGGGTAAACTTGCTTGAAGTGCTCTCGAAAAAACGGCCGCTGCGCGGGGCTCCGAGTTCTAAGGCCCCTTGACTCTCACACTTGACGCGCGGTTGGCTGCAGACCGTTAAGCAGCCTTGTGGGCCTTAAACTGCACCAGGCTAAGCACGCCAAGCCGATAGGCTCCCGGTACCTGGGAAGCACACTGCCCAAGTGCCAGCCAGCAGCCTTTGGGGCTCTTGCACCGTCTCAAAAATAGGCCGCTGCGCGGGGCTGTAACAATATGGCCTCTTGCAAGCAGCGCTCCAGGCCTGCCCTATGGACATAGCTACGTGAGGACGCCCGGACTCACACAGCGCAGACTGCAGCATAGTGTAGCCACGCCAGCCCCTTGTCTGCCCCCGCTCGTCGGGGGGGAAGGGGGCGTTTTTGGCACTCTGTGTGCATTGTGCTTAGCGTGCTTGCAACTTTCTTGCCAACCGCAATGGAGTCCTGAGTGCTATTGCTACGGCCCTGGCGCTTGTGTGGGGACTGTCTCTACGGACGCGTTGAGCAGTTTAGGTGACGGAGGTTCCTTGCCTTACGGCCTACCCATACTTTCGCTTAATGTCTGTACCAGACGTGGCGCAGCATTGCTTTGGGTGACGGGCTGCTGAGTGATTGGTGCAGGTAGGTTCTTGTTTGCATTGGTCTCACCATGCTGGCCGGGCGTTAAGTTGTCTTGCAATAAGGGCCTCTGCGCTAGCGGTTGCTTCTTTGTAGTCACGACTTCTTTTTCACTCGCTGGCTTGTGCAGTTTGACGTTTGGCGCTTTTGGTTTTGGCGGGTTGCTGCGGGTTTTTGTGGTTGTGTTTGGTGGTGTTTTTGGTGTGTGCTTGTTTCGGTTTTCGCGCCTGCGACTGTTTCACCTCTAGTGTTGAGACCCACAAGGACGGCCTACTGCACTGCTGATGTAGTAAAGAGGCGACGGTTCAAAAAAAAAATCCTGGCATGGTATGGATTGCAGATGTGGTGATTATGGTTCGTGACTGTCAGTGCTTGCGATTCCGATTGCAATTGCATTTTCAGATGGATATTCTGCAAACGTTGATGCTGGATGATTTCGATCTGCGTTGTGAAACATTTCTTCAGGTGTATTGGATGCATTTGATGATGCTTCCACAATGGTCATTTGCAGATGCTTTTCAGACTGCATTACTTCTGCGACATTTGACCTGCTGCATTGTGTACAAGACTTGATGCAGCTTGGGTTGCTTTGCAGATTGGCATTGCAAAAGCGAGCCCTCTGAGTCGCCATTCAAGTTCCGTAGTTTGTGCTTTGTTTTGTTCCTTGCCGAAGTGGAAGCAAGATTTGGACGATTGACTGAAGTCTCGTCCAAGGGACCGTGTTAGAGCAGAGCATTGCTTCCAGGCCACCAGTTGGTCCTGTCACATTGCTTGTGATATTGACAGATGACATTGTGTCACTCTTGACTTGTTTGGCTCAAGGCTCGAGGTGCCAACAATGATTGACTCAAGACTCATGAGACAAAGTGATTGCTGAGTGATTGCACTTGCTGTGAATCTTTGCTGTGTGTATTGAGTGATGGAGACCAACAGTTGACATGCTTGGATTGTGCATTGCGCTTTTGAAAAAATTCATTAAGGGGGGGCTTAAGGTGGGTTTTATGGGGGGGGCTTAAGGGGGGCGTAAGGGCTTTGACCCTTTGGCCCCCCCCTTTTCAAAGGAACCCCCTTTGAAGGGACCCCTTTGAAGGGTTGTCCAAAGGGGGGGGGCCATTCTCGTACGGTCGCATGAACGTTTTCACCAAGGCAACTGTGGAAACTATGCGGACACCAACCGCGTTAGGCAACGCAGAAAGAGGCATCACATGCAAAACTGGCACGTTCACCTGAACACTCCAAAACCTTGCGGTGCTCATGACGCCCCATTTGCCGGCGAAGCGGGAGACAAGTGCCAGAGGGGCAAGATTCATGTCCTTACCGATGCCAAGGCAATCCGAGACAAACAGTTTACTGCCGTCCCAGCACGTCTGGTAAGCTTTAGCTGCTTTAGCTCTTCTACAATCAAAAGGGCTTGTAGAGCTACGCAAATCTTCACTGCAAGTCGTATAGCTTGCAACATGCCATAGAGCATTGAGACCGTATTCGCGCGACGCTTCTCGACGTTTTTGGACGGTTACTTTGCCTGAAAGAGCATGACGAGATCGTGAAACGATCAGTGTACCGTTGCCAACTGGCGGACTGAGTGTTCCATTGCCAAATGGCGGACTAACGCTTTCTGTCATCCTATACCGAAACAGGTGGAGGACAAACGCCTAGCCGGTTGCCGTAGAATCCGCCAAAGTTTGTGGACTGAAGACGACGACTTGACGGCGAGTCTGTGTCCGAAACTCCCTTGCGTCGCGCAGGGCCCTCGAGCTCAAGAGGGAAAAAGAAGCAGCCGCGCAGTGCTCGTGACCGCAACCTCAAAAGGGCTTATGAGGAGCTGCCAAAGCCAAGCGCGCGTTTGTTTTGGCTCAACGTGACGATCTTCGAGAGAGTCGTCGCTTTGGGACATCTGCATTTACGAAATGCGAAACTGTCATTTGAGCGTGTCGGCTCACATGGTCGGGGTTTGTGCTGCAAGAGCAACAACATGAAGAAAGCTGCAGCGAGCAGTTCGGGCTCAAGCTCTCGAGCAGCTCTTCCAGCTCCACTGCCTGGAAGCGAACAGCAGGAAAACCTCTGAGGCAGTCCGTCTTCACAAGAGTTTATAGACATTGACAGCTACAATCATGCATGTGAAGAAATGAAAGCATTCAAAAGTGAGAAGGTTGTTTGACACGATAAGATGCTAGAAATAACAGCTTGTTAACTTATATTATTGAAAATTGTAGTGCAGCAACAACCATTCGCGCAAATCAAAGAGGAGTGGCCTTACGCAAATTAACACGGATGAATGCTACAGGAATCGAACAGGGTACGTTTTCGTAAGAATTGGTTGAATGCTGTTTGTGGGTTCGTCTAATCATGAGTTATAGTTGCAGACGGAGGTGAACCAGCACCATCAGACCATCAGCAACAGTAGCAGCAACAATTCAAAACCGAAGACGACGACAACGGATGATGTTTTAAAACAGGAAACAGAACCACATCGTGGGCTTTCAAAATGAAGACAGAAAATGTGGGTTGATACAAGTGGGCAGCACAGTTTTGAACAATATCGTTTCGCATTGCTGGGAGGCAAGAATCAAAGGCTTGTCGAGTTTTTTTATTCATTTTCCAAAGCCTTCGTCGCACGAAACAGAGTAAATCAACATAAACATCGTTAAACCCTCAGTACATCTGCCTCGGATGTTTTGCACATTCAGCATCAGCATGATCAACGATGCTGATTAGAATCTGAAAGGTGTCATTGATTTGTATATACCAGTTTCAACACACACACATCTAGCAAAGCAAAAATGCCCGGAGCAAACGCATATCACGTATCACCGATCGTTTGAATTTCTTAGGATGTGTGGTAAATGTACTGATTCCTTTATTACGATGGCCTTCAATTGACACTTCAAGATATGCCAATGAGATATTTATCGGAAGAATAAGTTTCGATAAGCGGCCCGTCATGAGATTTTCAAGAAGCAACACACAACAAAAAGGTTTTTAATGGCTTTTCGAAATTAAACGAGCCAATGCCACTTTGCGATCATTTGGCATTGACAGAGGTTTCGTAGTGTAGAGAACCACATACATGATTTAGATGGACAAGTGATGTCATGTGCGCTTGATGTTGGAACTTTTGAATGTGGGCATCAATGTGCTGAACAGAGCTTCTAACAAGAATGGTGCGATGTGAAGGTTGAGCTCAAGTTTGTTTCTCAGAATCATGGATCAATCCTTCGGAAAACCCGACCCTATGTTAAATTTTTCGCTTTGCATGCAACGTTTGTAAATCCCTCAAGTCAGTAGACCCGGGCCGGCGCGATGGCATGTCGAGGAGCTGTTTGCGGAGATGCACTACGTGGGACCCTGAAGCATGCATAAGCACTCCGAGCTGCATCGCCTGCATGTTTGTGTTGTCCGAGCAAAAGTGTCAAAGACAAACGGATTGAAAAGTCGGTGCGCAATATCTGATTCTCAAGTTTATGCATAGTAGAGCGGCATCATCGCTGTATTGTCCACGCAGCTGACAACGATGTCGTCGAACATTGTGTTCGAGCAGGTGGGCGGCCGATGCAAGATGGTTGACGACGACAATGTGGTCAGCGGCACAGTTGCGCATCTCGCCATGTCCGCCTCGGTGCAGACTCTGACGCTCCAAGAAGTTGAGAACGACAGACTTCGCCGTCAATCGTGGCTGTTGAAGGCAAAATTCCAAGTCGACCGCTTCATGGAGAAACACGGTTTCCGAATGGGTTCTGATGTCAATGTACCCAAAAAGACCGCATTTGGACTGCGCCGCACATATCCGCTGCTCATGGCGGCCTGTGATCAAGACTGGCACATGGTGTGCTTGCTCTTGTATTTCGGTGCCAATCCTCTTCAGCGTGACAGCTCTGGCCGCACAATGTTCAGTTCATGGAAGGGCACGAAGTCCCTGAGCAGGTTCGCCAGTTCCTCGGACAGCCTCAGGGTGCACTTCCTGACTTCATTGGACTTTGATACTCATTGGACAGTGTTCCTGAGGGATGAGACATTGCTCATTTTTTCTAGGATACGGGCCTCTACAAAAATTGGATCCCTCAGCATCAACACTGTTTGCTCGCGCCAGTTCCGAGGAGACTCCATGTGACTGAGGGTTTTACCCACTTTAGTTAGAATTGGGCTTGTCCACATCATACAACACGATGAATGTGTGCTGCATGATCGTACATGTCAAATTGTCATGTCACATGGTGTCTGCAGAAACTGAAGTGGCTGAAGGCTCCGAAATGTGTTGGAAAGTACTGCGGCAAGAAGTGGACAGACACATGATCAGTTTGTGTGGCAGTTGTTGTTGGGTTGCAGTTCCGGTTTGGCTTGGCACTTCAGGAGGCCGGGCTTCAAGGGATCCGCAGACAAATGCTTGCAGCTCGCATTTGCACAGGAACCGTTTCCTGCGGGCGTTGGCTAGCATGTGTTCACGTCAGCGGTCCTCAATGTTCTTGGGAATGCTATCGCAGGGCATTTGCTGCCGATGTGGGGTGGCCATTTTGGGAGATTCATACTAGTCCATTCCATCACAGAATCATGTTCAGTCATCCATCACAGAATCATATATTGCCGTCCATCCGACACTGGCAGCAGGGTGGTAGAAAATGTCGCCCCTATGTTTCCAACTCTGTCTAATCGGGTCTGGACAACTTGCAGCAAGTCTATGTGATTTTGTGGCTGTTGCATGGTTTGATTGGGATAAGCCGTTCAGATCAACTCCCGAATACCCTCATTTGCATTGACTTGCGACCAGTTCTTCAGTCAAGTAGTGACGAGGAAGCCTGGGTTGATTTCCACGACTGTGCAGTCCCTTTTCAAGACGGCTTCCTCCAGTCAGTCTATATATTCTATGAGGTGCAGTTTGTGCACGTGCACCATACCTTGCACGCTGCACCGTACGACATATAAATACACTCCGCGCGAAATTTGTGCGGTGTGTAGCAGTCTTGTATTTGCCGGTCATGCAGTTCCAGCGATGTTTCCTTGCTCGGACTGGTGCGACACTGGCTGCAGATTTGCGTGCCTCACCAACTTGCTTGTGGCCAAGTCTACCAGCGTGTTTGCGCAACAACTCAATCCAGAAGAACACAACTGTGATTTGCGTACTGGTGGGTTTTTGTAGCTCAAACACCAGCAACTTGGCTCCGTAGTTCACGGCATCTTTGAGCATCTCACGGCCTTTGAGGGCCAGGGCCTTTGGTTGGAAGACACGACGCCCCAAAAAAGGTGTCATAGAAGCTGGTGGCTGCGCGAGAGCCCAGTCACCAATTGCTCGCCACCACATTCACGAGGTACACCGGAATCCATCGCGTGTGCGTAGGGCCCTGGCAGGGCTCTCAGATTGGCCTGGGCAATGCGACAAGACGTTTCATGGAAAGGCAAGGTTGGCTTTGCTAGAACTCTCCATGGCTTCGATTGTGGAGTGTGATGGGGGGAGGGTCGCTCAGACATACACTTGGCAGCCAGGCCATGACTTTTGCGTAGTTTGGTGTAGGCTAGTTGCTACAAGTGTGCACGTGAAAAGACTTTGCGAGTTGTTTACGTTTCCTTGATGTTGTGACACGTGGATTAATCGTGCTCATGCTTTAGCCTTCGTTGTTGCTTGGTTTCGTGCAATCGCCTTCGTCATGCGAGTAGTAATGATCTCTTCCTCGAGGAGCCGTGATGCTGCTTGTCATGTCTACATACTCCGTGAGGTTTTGCGTGTTTCGAACCTGGAGGGCTGCAGCTGCCTCACTGCAAGGTGTCACAGGTTTGAATCCATCTAGCCCGGTACACGCTCGAAACTTGGAAATGTTTTTTTCCCAACAGTAACATGCTTCTGCGAAAGCATTCACCTTCCTTGGGCACAAACGCTGAAGATTTCCCACTCGTGACATTTGATATTCCTGATGCTTCGATGGAAAAAGGGGTTCTGATATTGTGAGTCTGCGACGTCTTTTCGTTTTCACATTTGCATGGCTATATAAAAGAACAGTTCACGCTCTGTTCAGCGAACTTCTGCCATGAGCGACACATCTTGCTGAAGATAACTGTGCAGTGGACCGGACTACGGCTGCCTGCTAGTGGTGTGTTGAGCGAGGTTGGATGTGATCAACATCAGTATTTTTCTGGTTTGCACTCACGGCTTCAAGAAGGACTTTGAGCTACGAAGCCTAAAGTGCTTAAGCACTGGCCTTGATGCTGCATTGCTCTTTGCACGCTGATGTTCAAGGTTAGCATTGCCATGCAATGCCTCAAATTTTGTGCAACTGTACGAGCTTCGAATGTTGGCCTGAGACGTGTGTCGGAGCTTGGACGAAGAGCCTGCTTGTCCCGCCCAATTGTGCAGTACAGTGAGACTGTCGATCCAACACATTTTGTATCCACATCTACGCACACTTTTCTTGGCAGTTTGTCTGTGATGTCCTTCCAGACGTTTGTGGCAAGGATTGCGATGATCTACGCCGGGAGCACCCAGCCACTTTTGTTGTCCATGCGAAAAAGGCGTTGTTAAAGGGTGCGGTCGCGGAGGCTTTCGTTGCCTGAGATGGTTTGAGCGCAATGAAGCCATGAGACAACTGCCGGCCAGCCTGTCCAGCATACCCGAAGTTTTGCCCGAGCACTTTCGTGAGTGTAGAGCTATGACCGTCTCAAAAGGTCCGGAGGTGGCTTTGCTGGAAAGGTCAGTCAAGGGCTTCGCCACAAACGGCAAGCCAGTGGATGGTGTGCACGTGGACCGTGGCACAGCGCTACTTCAGGAGCAATGGTCGAAGACAATTTCGGCAGCAGGGTACGTGATGAGCTCCCTGGCAATGACGTCGTTGACGAAGTACGCTGCTTCTGCTTGGAAATTTCCAGGTTCCAGCTTGCTGCTTTTGGTTGAATGTTGGGCTACTGTCGGAGCTCTGTGTGCTTACCAAGGCGGGAGTGCCTCAAAGAGTAGAGCTAAATGAAGTTAAATAGTTCTCTTGGAAAGTGTAACATCACATTCTTCTCTCGCTGAGAGGTGGATACCAGCCTTGGAGCAGGCGAGTATTGCGACATCTCCCTTTGGCCACTCTTGCCAAGGCGCTCAACATGTACTTAAGCTTCATCGCGATGCGGCGGACAAGCTTGCCTGTCTACAACATTCTCAAGCGGTTGCAGCCAGTGTACGCTATGATCCAAGACAGGTACATCCGTGGCACTTGTCCGAATTCACTCGAATGTTTGGGAGTTGTATTGATTTCTGCTGGCACTGTTGTTACCGGGCTCGGCGACTTAGATTTTGATTTGGTGGGATACATGCTTGCATTGATGGCAGCTGGATGCCAATCTCTATACCTTGTGCTGGCTCGCAACGCGCAGGACAAAGCTGAACTGTCATCTATGGATCTGGTGTTCTATACAGCATTCTACAATTCTGTTTTGTTTGTTCCGTTGACTGTGCTTGAACTACCAAGCATTGCGCTGTTTCTGCAAGGGCCGGGAGAGGTGTGGAATCTTATGGAGTTCCTTTTGCCCTACGTATTGATGGGGGCCGTGCTGAACTTCACGACATTTTGGTGCACCGCGGAAAACTCGCCTCTTGCTACAGCGGTGGCAGGAACGTCGAAAGGCATCCTGTCCACAGTCGTTGGTATGCTGCTGTTTGGAGCTCACCTCACGGTGCTGGGTTGGATAGGCTTGGCAGCCAGCACGATGGGAGGCTTCGTGTATTCCCTGGCACACTCCAGGAGTTCCAAGGATTCCAAGCTGAAATCCTCAAAGAGGACGTCGTAGCTTGAGACACACACTTGCACTGGAACTTCCAGCGACAAAATAGGCGCAACAACAGGGAGTTGGAAGGAGTTGCGTGGGGGGTTGGGTGTATTTCTTCATACTCATCTGCAGTCATGGGCCTTGTTTGGTAGCCTGAGTAGCCAGAAATTTTGAACAGTACTTCTGAGCAGCATGTGCCCCCCTACAAGCATCGGACATCAACCGTTTCTGGTCTTGTCGTCGTCGCCATCAAGGCGTTCATTTGCAGTCGATGTCGTTGTCGTCGTGGTGTCATCATTGTGGCTGCAGTGGCGGTGTCTTTTTTGGGCTGGTGTCGTTGTCGTCGTTGTCGTCGTCGTTGTCACTGTATCTGGCCCAACTGTCATTGTGGGCTGCAGCTTGAGGGCGGCTTTACTGTCGCTTTGCTCCTGTACTTGCACAACGTAGGACAGGACTTCATTTGCAGGCAACGCGGAATAGTGCACCAGTTCAATGAAGAGGCTAACATGCTGCATCGGTTGAATCTCGACTTGCTGCGGCTCACATGGCAAGCCATGAGGAGTTGGAAGAGGCTTTGAACCCTGAGTTTAGCCAGCTTGTCGTGCTGCTCGACGCTAGACAGTGATGTAACATGGGGAGTGTGGCAGGGTACTACGCTGCAGCTGGATTGGGAGAAGCTCAAGAAGGTCCAGTTGCATTCATGTGAATCGTGCAGGTCTTGGAGTCAAGCAGCAAAGCATTTGAGGTGGCCTTGTGCGAATCGCCAGTGATTCCTGCTTGGCCCTTTTCCTGCTTTTTGCAAAGTCAAGTCTCTGCCCGAGTCTACCGTTTCGCCCTTTCCGCTCATTTCGAGCGGTCGAAAAGGTGGCAGTGCAGAATGCTGACTCTCGAGAGGCAAGTTGCCAAAAGCAGCCGAAGCTTTCAGCGGTTGAGCTGTGCTTGCAGTGCTTGCAGGTGCTCATTGTGGCCTTCGCAAATGAGCAGGCGCAGACTCGGGCCCGCCTCCCAACAAATCTTAAAGACAACAAAGCGTGCATTCCGAGGCTCTGATGGAGACTCTTCATCGCAGAGTTTGCGTTCTCTGGACAGCTGGCTTCAGAGCTGGCTCCATCGTGTGCGGCTTCTGTCGTATTCGCTTGTGTGTTTTGTCAGGAGCACATCTCGAAACAAACTGTGGATAAAAGGCGATACATCCGGTGATGCATGGAGCTAAGCTTGTTCGTGATCAGCTGGCTGTGCTAGCTCCAGTTCATGTTGTGCTTGCAACTGCTTTTGCACAGACGGCCTCGGACAGTTGATATGTTGCTGCGAGGTACTTGACCTCGTAGAAGTGCGAGTGAACTGCGAGCAGAACTCGCTGCTGTATCTCGTCCGGCCGAGGCACATCGCTGCAACTCGGGGCCAATTCAAGCGAGCTTTTCAACTTGCTCAGGCGAATGGGAGCTTGCCACACCAAAGGTCCGGACGGATCATCGCGGCCATCTTGTTATTATCGCAGAGTCGCAGGAGAATCTGTCGTAACTGAGGGATTCAGTGCCGACATGATGCTGAGTACATGACTAGTATATCTGTGAATATTCCCGAGGCTGGAAAAGGGCTATTGATACCATCATCTTGTCGAGTGGCCGATTCAACCCCCCCACGCATTTGTGTCGACAGCGGGTTCCCATGCTTCTGCCGCTGCTGCTGCTTCCGCTGCCGGGCACATTTGGGAACAACACTTTTTCCTTTTCGGCCAGATCCATGAGGACGCCCGGAGTTTGAGGAGGAAGGAGCAATTGACGCAGAAGTTGCACGCAAGTCCCTTTCGCTGTTGGCCGGAGGCTCGTGTCTTCCAGTGGAGCGTGCATCAGGGACAGGTTCCGTGTAAGAATTGCCCGAGGCTTTGGAGCATTGCGGCGATGACGTTATCTCTGGCGCGTGATTGAAAGAAAAAAGTGCATGCACATTGGCTGCAGAATGCAATGCTTTGTCATCAGTGTCGAGCTACGTTTGGCCCATGAGGAGGACATGAGATATGACGTGTCAGATAAGATCCAAGTAGTGGTGTAGGTTTCCATCCAGAATCATTCTCAGGAGCAGTTACTGTGATGCGCATTTCCTTACGCAATGTATGGAGATGTCTCTCACTGACGTTCATGTTTGAGGCTTCTTAGGAAGGAAAACCTCCGCTATGCGTCTAAGCCTACCATGTGAGCATTTGGTGAACCCTTTGCGCCGTCGGACATGTCATGGTGCAAGGAGGCGGCAGCTGGTTGGATTGGTTGGATGCTGTGAAGTCTGGGAAAATTCCCGCAGAGTCGGTTGCAGCATGTTGCAGTCCTTGCGTAGAGCTTGGCTACACAGCACCAGCTCAGCATGGAGCGTCCAGACAACGAAGTTCTAGAACAGTTTTTTGACTCGGACGGATTGCCTTCGCATCGAAAGTACTCAAGATGCGGACATACTTCTTCAGACCGTTTGCAGTCGAAGCCATGGTCATTGGGCTCTGTGATGGCTGGAACTGTATTTCTGCGCCTCGGAGCTTTGCTTGTGCTGGTGAGTCTGGCTCCCTGCGGAGGAGTTCTCAGGCAGGGTGAACATTGTACTTCATCCACGGATGCGTGTCATGCCGTGTCATGCCGTGTCATCCTTCACCCTGAGATACCCAGATGGCGCTTTCGAATCGAGATATCCACTTCACATCGACGAATGCCTACACACTCAGTGCTCTTCAATATCGATTTCATGCCCTCGGCACAGCGCCAGTCGGTGCTAGTCCCTAGGTGCATTGCCCGGAGAAGGCCTCAGTCTACACAGCAGTGCTCTTAGTGCCATCATCGTCAAAGTCTTGTAGCTTGATGTCATTGGTGATCTGCTCGTGGATAGTTACGCAGGCCTGTCATGCCTCGGACGTTTGCGACAACATTTGCTCGAGGATGCGGGGTCTGTTTGTACGTATACAAGACTCAATGTTAAGTTTCAAGCTGGATTTTTCCTGCAGCATGTTGCATGAGAGGATGCTGATTGCAATCGCGTTATTTGCGACAATATTGCCTCTTCCACGCCGGTAGAGGTGCCAGTGGACTCGCACGTGGTTCAACACTCATTGTAGCGCGTCTGTAGTGAGGTTTATGCGAATGAGACGGACTGGGCTCCCTTCAAGAACCTGTGTGGGCACTTGCAGGAGCCTTGCAGGAGCCTTGCAGGACTCTTTTCTTCACTCCGGATTGATTGCTTTTTGAGGAGTTGTTTCTTGCCGTCTTTGACCTGGGAGTTGGCATCCAAGATCGTCCAAGTTGCATCAGTTTTAGCTTCAAACACGTGGCATGGTCTTTTCTTTCAGACAAGGCCAAACTTGTTGGAGTGACGGCGACAGATGACGACGTCCACGAGCTCTCCAGGCTTTCAGCAGTCGTGGGCATAAACACATGGGTAAGCGAATTCCGTATCAGTGTGCCGAAGAAAGCCGTGCTGCGACATGTTGCGAAGAATCGAGGTCTTTGCAACGTCCCAAGGAGTGGCTCCGCCGGATCTGCAGCACACACCGGTCATGTGCTCAGGAGGTGCTCCAAATCCAGTGGAAATCTTCGAGACGCCGTCCCTCAATTCTCGTGTTTTTTCGCTTTAAAGCAGTGTCCCCTGCAAGTCAGGTCTATGCAAACACGACACGAGCTGTTCTGCGTCGGCATGCTGAAGCAGTGCTGGATGTTCTTTCACAGGAGCTGAATGTTGATGATGAGGACTTTGCACGCTTTGTCAATCAGCTCTTGCTCTGACCAGGTTCAAGCCTCTGCTTTGAGTGCGGATCACCTGCTTGAACTGGCCACTCGACCCAATCGAGACTTTGACGTTGGCGGATTATCGGGATTCAAGTTTTAGTATGTTTCGGGGGTTCTTGTGATCTGCAACATCGCCCACTTTTCTGAGCCCTTCTCGTAATTTTAACGCTACGCCGCTACGCCGCTGACCGACCCGCCTCTGCAGCGTTGTCCAACCGTCGTGCACGGACTCCGTGGAAAACTGGCTTCCCAAACCCCCGAAGATAGGTCCGGAAAGTAGCCCCCGATGATAGGGGTCGATAGACGTCTTTGTAGACCTCTATGCGTTTTGGATAGGCCGCTAGAAACCCCTTCCGTTGTGGATAGACCCCCATCCATAGACCCCTATGCCAAATCCCATAGACCCCTGTCGATAGGGTCTATTATCCCGGCCTGTGGTAGGTCCCAATCCCGGATAGGCACCTATATATCTCGTTTCAGATAAACCTCTTATCTGCCAAAAAAGCGGTCTAGCGAAGGTCTTTAGGTACCTATCGGGCCTCCCGATAGGCCTGTATCGACATCCCAGCCGCCCATAGACCTCTATGGGCAAGTTTAGCGTTTATTTGAGGTTTAGGGTTTGTTTAATTTGTTTATGATTTCGGGTTTGTTTGATGTTTAGGGTTTGTTTCGGGTTTGGGAGTTGTGTTCATGGTTTTAGGGTTTTTTGGGTTTAGGGTTTCGGTCGAGTTTTGGGTTTGTTTATGGTGTCGGGTTGAGGGTTTGTTTAGGACTTAAGGTGTCTTTAGGGTTTGCGGCTTAGAGTTTGTTTCGGGTTAGGTTTGTTTGGGGTTTGCATAGGAGTTTAAGAATTGCTTGGATTTAGGGCTTGCGGTTTGTTGAGCACACAAGGTTTGTTTGGGGCCTAGGGGTTAGGGTTTGTTTCGGGTTGGGTGTTTAAGGTTTGGCTAGGGCACAGGGTTTGTTCAAGGTTGTTTCGGGTTTTGGGTTTGTTGAGGGTTTAGTGTTTGTTGGGAGTAGGGTTTGTTTAGGGTTCAGGGTTGTTTAGGATTTTAAGTTTCGTTTAGGGTTTCGAGTTTGTTTAGGACTCAGGGCTTGTTAAGTGTATAGAGTTTGTTTGGGGTTTGCCGTTTATTTTTTCTAGGTTTAGGGTGTAGGGTTTGCTTAGGGTATAGTATAGGGATTGTTCAAGTTGTTTGTTTTGTTTTGGGTTTAAGGTTTCATTCGGGTTTAGGGTTGTTTAGGATTTTGTGTTTGTTTAGGGTTTAGTGTTGTTTTGGATTGAGCTCCAGGGCGTATTTAGGGTTTAGGGTTGTGTAGGATTTCGGGTTTGTTAGGTGTTTAGGGTTTGTTTAGGGTTTAGGGTGTTTCTTTAGGATTTAAGGTTTGTTTGGGGTTTTGGCTTTGTTTCGAACATAGGGGTTGTTTAGGATTTAGGGTATGTCGAGGACTAAGGCTTTGTTTAGGGTTTAAGGCATGTTTAAGGTTTAGGGCTTGTGTGTGGTTTAGTGCTTTCTTAGGGTTCTTAGGTGTTTAGAGTTTACGTTTTGCTTTGGGTTTAGGGTTTGTTTAGGGTTTTGGGTTTGCTTTGGGTTCAGGGTTTGCTTTGGGTTTGCGTCGGTTTGGGGTTTGCTTTTGGGTTTAGGGTTTGATTGGGGTTTGGGGGTTGTTTATTTAGGGTCAAGCGGCTTTTTAGGGTCTAGAATTTAGTTTGGGATTTAAGGGTTTGTTTGGGGTTTCGGCTTGTTTAGGGTTCAGGGTTTGTTTAGGGTTTAGGACTTCTTGCGGGTTTGGGGTTGGTTTGGGGATTAGGGTTTGTTTAGGAGAAAGGGTTTGTAGGTTTGTATAGGATTGAGGCTTTAGGGTTGATGGCTTGTGTAGGGTTTATGGCTTGTTCCGGGTTTAAGGTGTCTTTGTTTAGGGTTTGCTTACGGTTTAGGGTTTGCTCAAAGTTTTAGGGTTTGTTCAGGGAAGGGGGTTTCAGGGTTTCTTTGTTTGTTTAGGGTTTTAGGGTGTGTTTAGTTCTTGAGGTGGACGAGGGTGGGAGGGGATAGACCCCTATCCATTTCCGAAAGGTGCCTGTCGGGGATAGACCCCTGTTCAAGATTCATAGGGGTCTATCTTTCTCTGCAGATAGGACCCTCCGTTTCGAATAGGGACCTATGGAGCGTGAATGGGGCCCTGTCCCTGAGGAATTGGTCCCGATTACAGGGGTCTATCGGATTGGATTTGGGGGGGTCTGTGGATAGGGGTCTATCCGAAACCTACTTTGCATGGATAGGGTCTATCCGATCGGGATGGGGGGAGAGGGCTATGCCGGCTATGCCTTTTCGGATAGACCCCTATCCGATAGGGGTCTATCCTATTAGGGACTCCTACTGTGTGTGTTTTGGGTGTGTTGGGGTGTGTTGGTGCGTGTTGTGGCGTGTTGTGGCGTGTTGGGGTGTGTTGGGGTGTGTTGGGGTGTATTGGGGTGTGTTGGGGTGTGTTGGGTGTGTTGGGGGGTGTTGTGGGATGTTGTGGTGTGTTGTGGTGTTGTGGGGTGTTGTGGCGTGTTGTGGTGTGTTGTGATGTGTTGTGGTCTGTTGTGCTGTGCTGTGGTGTGTTGTGGTGTGTTGCGGTGTGTTGCGGTGTGTTGTGGTGTGTTGTGGTGTGTTGCGGTGTGTTGTGGTGTGTTGTGGTGTGTTGTGGTGTGCTGTGGTGTGTTGTGGTCTGTTGTGGTGTGTTGTGGTGTGTTGTGGTGTGTGGTGGTGCGTGGTGGTGTGTGGCGGTGCGTGGCCGCCGCAGCATATGTCGGTGATTGGGCGGTGGGCGGTGGGCGGTGGGCGGTAGGCGGTGGACGCGGGCGGGCTCGGGCGGACGGGGCAGGCAGAAAAATTCAAGAACCCCGCGTGGCGATGAGGCGAAAAACGGCTTCGGATTCAATGAGTGTTTTTTTTAACGTTGGAGGCAGGCTCACTGACTCACTCGCTCACTCAATGAGTATTGTTCGACAACCTGGGTTATTATTGCACCTCCAGCTTTCTCGCTAGTCGAGCTCGGGTGTGTAGCGTTGAGTTTTGCATTCTGTCTATCTATCAAGTGCATGCTTGCGCAAAGGCAACATCCTTGGCACGCAGGTTGCAGCTTTTGATTGAGAATGCCCAGGCCCCAGAATCGTCATTCAAGTGCCTCAAGTGCTGCTTGCGCACTTCCCGAGGTTTCCGTCACGCTGCTCTTAAACTTTCATCTTGCCCAGCTAGATCACAATGGACAGAACCTCAGCTCGTGGAAAGAGGGTGCATGGCTCGAGGTTACCATTGTCGCTAAGGACGCCTTGCTGGACGAAATCTTGTCCACGAGCTGTACGGCGACGTGAATTCCATTCAAGTAGTGCTGCCTCTAGTGTCGACAGTACATGCAGTTAGGTTCTGTTCAACTTTGATGTTTGCAAGCACTTTTCAAGTCCAGGTGTTTCATGAAATTCCTGGAAAACGATGGGACGCCCTCACTCATCTGCCCCACTCTAAGCAAAGAGTTTTGGCAAGGACCCTTCGAAACAGCAGGGAGAGATGCTGTCAGGCTTGACAAGCTGGGTGTCTCGAAGCAATCGGTTGTTATGGCAGAAGTTGGAGTGGAGGCGGGGGCATGAGAAGAACATTCTCGGGTCATGCCCTTGCGTGGCGCAACGCCTACACTTCTTTGGGGGCACTCCACGGATGCTCGGAGCGGGACATGGCGGGACTTGTTGCGGGTTTCTTTGGGGCACTCCTTGGTGGAACTCTCTACAGGCTTCGTCGGGTGCACTCCAAGGTTCCTCGGTGGGACTCCCTGTGGGCGGGCTACCTTGGGGGCGGGGCCTTGCCATGTCAAAACAAAGGTGCAGATCAACCAAGTCTGCATTGCAGCAATATCTGGCCTTGCGCAAGTGGCTGGGACCTGGTTGCCCAACATGTTTGTCACTTGCTGTTGCAGATAAAGTTTATAACTGTATCTGTGTCCTTGTGCTGTTTGTGGGCATCTCAAAGTTGACTGCGGAGGCTGCAAATACCAGCCAACGGCTGTTGGAGCGCAACCCTCTCTTGTCGTACATTGGTCAAGGTCTCGGTACATCTCAATGCATCTCGAGTTGGCTTTGCAAGCTTCATGCCGAGGCGTGGATCCGTACATCAACAATCATGCACTCTTCATCGACGTCACTGAGCGCTTATCCCTTTTCCAGGATTCAGGCGCCGCAGCATGGGCATGATTCTCTCCATGTGAAGGGAGTCGCGGTCCTTGATTGGGATGATTTAGGGTCTTTAGAGTCTTCAGAATATGTCGGAAAGCTCATGATCTTTGGCTCCACCGTTACGTGCTGCCAGGGTGTGTGAGGTTTCGGCACCATTTGAGCAATGCCATGTGCGGACAAAGTCGGTGTGGACAATTTGTCACATGCGTCTTGGAAGTGTATGAAGCCTTAAGCTTCAACCAGCTAAGCTTCTTGCATTCACTCGGCAGTACTGCTCAACCCACGAGTGCTTGCGCTGCGCAACCTTCAGATCGTTCAAGTTCTTTACATCTTTCACGGCTCCTCTTTGTAGCATTAGCGGTCGAGACGGTTGTGGTGCGAATGTCGTTGTTGTCGTTGTTGTCCTTTTTGTCGTTAGTGTTGTCCGTGTTATTGTTGAGTATGATGTGTTCATGTTTGTAACGAATGCTGGTTTGTGTTCGTCCAAGCTGGAAGATCCTCAAGTATCATGCGCTTGATGCGTGTTTGCCTGTGAAGGCCGGTTTGTTCTTTACCGCAACACTTCCCTCAATGCATCGCTGTTTGTTGTCCCGGCCTCGGATATGCCAGTCTGTCATGTTCAGCTTTGCATATTCAAAGGGCCGAGCAGAGGCTGATGGGTCCTTGGACATCGTTTTCTTGGACGCGCGCCATGACTTTGAGGCCCCGTGTTGCGCTGCCTTCGTGTGTCCGTCGTGCAGTTGACACAGGTGGACTCATTGACTCATTGACCCATCAACTTGCAGGCTGTAGTTGACGATGTGGCAGCGTGGAAGCCGAAGGTTCGTCCCGGTGGCATCTTGTCAGGCGAGGTGCACTGGGTTTTTTGAGGGCCGCTAGCTCAGTGGGAGTTGTCATGCTTTTTGCCGCAACAGGCCACGACTTCAGCTGGATGTTTCCTACGGTGGCCGGAGCTTGAGCTTTTCAGCATCATGTTATGCTGTCAACAACTCGAAATGCGAAATGCCTAGGCGATGGCTGTGTACAAAGAGACATTCTCTTCGCCAGAACGAGTTGTGCATCTTGCACCTGATGGAGTATGGTCCTCGACTCAGATTGGTGTGTGTTGGCAGGCCATGGTTATTCAGCAGTCTGAATGTCTAAAAATGTTTCTTTGCAGCGTTGCAGGTGGCTACAGTTGTGAGTGCCGGCCATCATCGAAGTAGCGTCCGGGCACACGCTCTCTGACTGCCATGGTTGGAAAAGCAGCGTCATCTCTTCCGCCAGAAGACGAGAAAGCTGTCGCAAGAGACAAAAGCAAGACATCATGCTGATCTGTCAGGCACGAAATCACCATACCTATGGCTGGCGCAGGACTCTTCAATGAGAGGTAGAGAAGATGCTGTGATGTTGTGCCTCCACTGGAGAATCCAGTCTACTTTGCAATGGGCAGGTTCATGCGAGTGCCGTTCAGAGCTGTGAGAGCATTGTTTCTGCTTCTGAAAGTTCGAAGGAGGGCTTGGATAACCCTCCGTCAGACCGCAGGCTGAGTTCCGACCACACATCAAGCCAATTCGTCGGACCAAGTCATCCACTGTTCCACGTTTCCTTTCCGGCAGGTGGGTCCCGCTTCACCCTTCGGATTCTGAGCGACTTGAAGACATCCTCGCCCGAAGCCGCAGTGGCCAGGCCATTCGATTTGATTTTGTCTCCAAACGACTTCGAGAAATCATCTTAAGGCACTTAAAGTGTCAGTTAGAGTATGTTAGAGTGTTCATTGTAGGAGGCGCTCCCCGCCACGGTGCCTGTGGACTATGGCTGCGGTCTCAAGGAACCATGTTTTCGACCACACAACGCCATGTTCATGTTCCCACTACCAAAGATGAGGCAGGTATGACGTTGAAGTGGAGAGAAGAGTTCTGAGGCCGTGTGTTAGTCACGGTTAGTCGCATGTCGAAGTACATCACATGACACCTGCCTCCTGCGAAGGGCCGTGTATTGGGACGAGCCAGATCGGCGGGTTATCCGGAGTTCTTGGTTCAGAGGCGCTCAACTTTGACTATCTTCTGCTTTGGACTAGATGTGGTGATGACATTGTTGGCATTGGTTCCACTGATATGCAGTCGCACCGAGGCCGGAAAGGTGCCTGGGTTCCGTACGAGGAAGAAGACGGTGAGGCTGAGTGCGTCTGCCGAGTCCACATGAGTCCACCTTGCGTGCAATGTTTCTGTGGAAGGGCTTGGAAGAAGCCTTCCAGCGCTTGCGGACCGGCAAGGACACGTTATGGACCTTGTTCCGTTGCCATATGTTTGCCGTCCTACGCGCAGCATACATGCATTGTCCGACCTTGTGAATTTCGTGGATAAAACGATATTCCCTTTTCTATCTCCCGGGTCAACATTCCGGCCCTTGTGTTGCTACGCTTGTTCCCCTCCTGAATGCCTCCCCCTTCTGACTCTCTGGTTCTCGATGTCAACCTTCAGTTCGCACACGGATCAATGTCCCCAGGATCTATGTGTTTGGTCATGCCATCCTCCGCAATCTGCAAGTGATCCTGCACACATCAGGAGCAGGCTCCATTGCTGGTTCCCGTGAACAGGCTCGAGCTAGCCAGATGAATGTGCTGGCAACCAGAACGCCTGGAGTGCTTCTGACCAGGGGCAAGGATGATGTGCGCTTTGAGGCCTCGAAGCATCTGTTCTACACGATTTTCTCTCGCATCTGACTCATGACTAGCAAAAGGAGCTGAAATGCAAGAGCCAGTATTGCTGGTGTTTGGTCCTGTCCAGGCCTTGCCACCAGAAAGTGCCGCAGATGAAGACTCTGGAGCACGACTCAGGATTCTGTTGAAAACTGGTGTGAAGCTGTGCGAAGCCATGCTAAGCCTCATTCTGGGCGTGATGGCCTGATACTTCTTTGGGAGCTCTATCACTCAGGTGCAATATCCTCCATGCTTTTTTGGAACGCTCCAAAGCATCAGCCCGTGGCTCGATACCTAGCCCAGCGATGCACATGCGCATTGCTGCATTACGTTGCAAGCATGTTGCTGACACAACTGTGTTAGGGCAACTGTACCTCATAGGTACTCCTTTTTCCTTGTCATGCTTTTCTCGGGTTAGCTAACAGTAGTGGAACTGGCAGGGAGCAGACGTGTAGGCGATGCGTAGCTTACACCGCAACGGATTGCACGCCTTCGGCGAGCGAGACTGCGCAAAGATTGAAAGGTTCAGAACTGGTCCCAGACAAAAGGGGGTTGAACTTGCGGAGACAGCTTGCACAGTACTCACAAGGGCGTCCGAAAAAGGTGCCGGAAAGCACGTAGACAACGCTCCTGGTCGGATGCAAACAGGGGCAGATGCACTTGGGGACTGCACGTGGATGAGGGTTGGAGCACCCAGTGTCTGCTTCGCGCAGCTTCAGTGTTTCGACTTGCCTCCTGACCCTCCAAACCTAGACCCAAACTGTAAACAGCAGCGAGCGTGCCGGGGGTGACAGAAGCCCGGCCGGCACGACAGCCACACGGTGGGTGTGAGATTAGGGTTCAGAAGTTCGGCCTGTTATTTAGTTGTTGCCCTTCTTTTCTCTCCCTTTTAACCATTTTCGCATCTTTATGCGGCCGTCGGGTGGGAGGTTAAATTCTGCGGAAGCTGCAGGTAACAGATCAATGGGGTGATTCAAGTCACCCAATCAGATCACACTTTCAGATCACTGTCCCATGTGAGTCAGATCGGTCCCGAGGCCCGTCTCGGACATGACACAGACGAACAGGATCAGAGCATGTGGCTGCCGTAGACGAACAACATCCTAGCATCTGGCTGCCCCAATGCGGTTGTCTGCAGCCTGCTGGTGCCCCTTATGCGGCACAGACCCCTATCGTTTGTCCATAGGTGTCTCCTCCAGATAGACCAAACCCACAAACCTATAGACCCCTCGGAACAGCAAGGCTTGATTTATTTAGGCATTTGGGTTTACGGTTTGGGGTTTAGGGTGCTGGGCTTGCATGATTGTTTTTTGGGATGTGCTGGGTCTCAGGTTGTGGGGCCGCTAATCCTAAAGCCTACTTGCTCGCGAGCCGAATCATCCTGGCCTGCTCTGAATCCAGCGGTGGGAAAAGCCGATTCCACTGATCCAATTCACAGCCCCCCCTCCCCGGAGACTAGCGCTGGCTTGCGGAGGGGCTGGAGTTGGAAGTTGGGTGGACCTCCGGGGCGGCACTAAGATCCTCAGGTTGAGGGTTCGACGAGCACCCCCTTCTTCCCCCCTCTGTGGCGCTAGTGCGACAGTGCCTCGGTGTATGATGTTATGTGTGCATTCCTTGGACTTTGGGTGCAACTCAATCGTGGGTTGGGGGTCGTTGCAGTCTTTGAGCATCTGGAGGTCTATTTCTGGAGAGGATTCACTTTTTCTGCGATACTTGGAAATAACAGGCCGTGGGGCCCCTTTTCGAATTCAACTATGTTTCGGAGCTCGGAGCCTACTTTTTGGCAGCAGGGCGATGCGGACCCGGCAGTTGCACAGACGGATGGTGGCAGTTTGGGATGGGATGGGAGACGTGAGCAAGGCGGGGGTAGGGTCTACCCCGGGCGCCGACGGCGTGGTAGAAGTGCGGGCGGTGCTCGCAGTGCGTACGCTACGCGGTAGCGGTGCGAGCGGTGCTCGCGTTGGTATGCTGCGTGGGCGCAGACTCGAGGACAACATCACAAGGCAGAGAAGCTGGATATTGGGAAGCACGTGGTGTACAATTCAAGACTCATGGATTGGGAAGGAAATGTCAGCCAAGTAAGGTCGCGAAGTGAATCAGTGGTTATTGAGTGCGAGCGGGGATCAAGCCCCCCTCCAGCACCGTCGACGCCTGGTTCATCCGGCCTCTACCCGCGTGGTTTCGCCTCGTTTTTCTGCTGCAGCTTCACAGGGTCCTCATCGAGATGCTCGCGCAGGTAGAAGCGGTAAAGGACGTGAGCCTTTGGGTGGTCAGGGCGAGGGCAAATTAGCTCGCCATGGAGGTCCGCAGAGCGTTGCGTTGTCTCGTTCGTTTCGCGTTGCTGTTCCTTTGTGTTTTGTGGTTGTCGTGTCGTGTGTTGTTGGGGCTGGCCTCTTAAGCCTTGTGCCGGAGGGGCCGCCCTTTTGTTAGGCCAGGCTCGTGCCTCGGTCGATCCTCACCTCACCTCACCTCACCTCACCTCACAGCCCCCCCTGATCCGAAACGCCTGATCCGAAACGTGGTTCGACCTAATTCTGCCCACCGCAGACTTTCCTGCAAAGCCCTTCAACGGCCCCAAAATACACCTGCTTCTCACTTTGAAAACTATGAGCCAGCTTGCTTCAGACCGGCCCCGAAGCATCCCGGAACCTTGAAACTTTACACCATGGACAGCGAGATTCGTCTTGAAACCTGGTAAGCCAGCGCTCAAAACCTGAAAGCTGGATATGCGCCCTGAGAACTGTCAGGAGGCTCTGTGTTGAACACTAGACTCTAGACTCTAGGAACCGAGGCTAGGGAGCGCGTGATTGTCAATCTGAACGGGTTTTGGCATTGCCAACTTGCCCAGGCTCATCCCTTCGGGCCTGGGCGCATTCCCCTTTTTCCATAGCAAGCGCAAAAACTCAAGCTTCAGCCTGGTGAGTGGTTTTCAGAGCAAGTTCGACATCTTGGAAATATCTTGAACCGAGGGCTTCTTGACCAACAGGAATCCTATTTAGCATCCGGTGCCATGCGCTTGTTGTACTTGTCAGGAAGGCCCCTTCCGTGCCTCAGACATCAAGAGCGACGCTTCTTCTTCAGCAAAGGAGGCAAGTACGCCTAATGCTTTTCGTTTACGTTCGATGCAGCCGGCAAGCCCGTGTGAAGTATTCTTGGCAGGCTGCAGCATCCCACTCAGGCCTTGTCACGACTCCCTCAACTCTCTGTGCGTGTGCCTGCAAAGTGTCTTTGTGAACTGCCGATCAGGCGACAGGTTGCAATTCACTGCGATTCAAGAAGCGGTTGAAAGAAGCGGATCTCAAAAGGAAGCCGTGCAAGTGTGGCGCGGGTGTCTGGCCTCAGCTGCGCATCTGATGGACCGCGGCGCATTCTTTGCAAGCCGCCTGAGGTATTATGCTGTTACCGGTGAAGATGAACGACATGAGGACCGAAAGCATACGCTGGCAACCCAGGTTTATAAAGACCAGTGAGTGCCTATGCGTGCTTCGCAGGATGATGAAGAGAAGCTGCCAGAACACGTTGAGCTTTGGCCTTGGATGTTCTAATAGCAGTTCCGCATCAGGCTGGAAATTGGGATGCCGTTTTTCTTTTGAAGTTAATAGTTCTTGGCCATTCTTCTTCCACCATTCTTTGCCGCTTCCTGGCCCGGTGTCCCGCCCGCCGAGTCTCCTGGCCTGGTCCCTGGAGTAGAAAGCCGCCAAGTTTCCCACCTTCTTTAAAATGTCCGCAGAGTCCCGCCACGTATATCCCACCTTCAGAGAAGCTGCAGGGAGTCCCACCGAGTATCACTGGAGTGCCCACCCGTAGAAGAGCCCACCAACGTACCCTCAAAGAAGCTGCTAAGGGTTCAAAAGGAGAGTCCCGCTGAGTAGTGAGACCGAATATCCCTAATTGCAGTGCCGACGCCCAAAGCAGCATGCTGAGAATCCCTCCGAGTATCCTTGGAGTGCCCAGCCCCAGAGAAGCTTGCAGGGGAGTCCCGTATGCAGGGTTACCTACATGCCTTACCCTCTGGTGGAGTAATGCAAGCTGGAGGCTGGTTGAGGTCTAAGTTTGAGAGGCGGGGCGTCTGAATCCTAATTGGCCAACCAGCTGCCATTCTGCGGGTGTTTCGGTCTGCTGTGCAGTATTATTAACGCAGCTTCGCTTGCCAGGTGAGGGCTGTTTATGGACGTAAAAATGTAGAAGACATCGAGATTGCAATGGCTTTGTGAGGTGCTGCTGTACAGAGCAAAGGATATTCCAGGGCTGAGGGGCAGAGAATCATGCATGCTGCGGAGGGGGAGTGGCGGGTCTGAGGATACAGTCGCATAAACACAACCAAGGAACAGTAGCAATACGCAAATAATGCCACCTCCATGGCCATTGTTACCGCAAGTTGTGGCATGAAGTGGCCGCTGGTGAAGGTGCTTGACTTTCGTGGTTCACGGCATTGGCCAGTACCATCGTGCACAGCAAGGTGCTAACTCACAGTTCTTCAAGGCCAGTGCAGATTTTTGTCACCCGTGACCTGCTGCGAGCTGAGATGTCCCGAGATGTCCCGAGTTTGGAAGGAAGTGGCAAAGGTGCGCAAGCTGGCAGCACAGTACCAGCTTCAGAGAGCGAAGGAGCAGGCATGAACCGGCAATTCGCAAGGGGCTTGCGGCTCTTTGTGGCATGACGTAAAAATCCTTGTGCAGGCTCGTCAGGGACGGATAGAGTTTCTTCCACTGGAGTGGCATCTTGGATGCTTGATTGGCATTGTCATGTACACTCTGTGCATGTATTGTGCATTGCTGGCCTTTTCGAAGAGACTTTGCGAGACCACTTCATCCTTGTTCTGCAGGTATGGCCCAGTACACGTCGAGGTTGGAATAGGCGATCCTAGAACACCTTCCTGGTTCCTTGGCATTTGTACATTGCTGCGAGTTGTTGCAAGGCAACCGGCTGAAGAATGTCACTCTGAACTCGGCACCTGTCTGAACTTGCTCAACAATTCCAGGCGAGGCTCATCGCGTCGATGCCCCCACTGAGGTGAGCTACCTTCGTGACTTTGCCAACTTTGCGCTGGCAGACGTGATGGTATATCTGGACACAAGCTGTCATCAAGAGGATGCCTAGTGCGGATGTTTCAGAACGAAGTAGCTCAATCCTCGAGGATGATCAGTGGCGCGAACGCATACATGATGAACTGCTGAAGAAGATGGTCAAGCTCTTAAGTTGCAACTTTCCACTGCGCTGATTTGGATCAGAATTCAAAGAGTGGGCTGAGGGTCAACTGTGGAAGCTCTTTTCTGCACGAACTCCAAATTATTCCGGAGAGGCCGACATGTCAGTGAGAATGCAGTGAGAATGCATGTTGCTCGGGCAGAGTCGCTCTCCGGCAGGTCCCTTTCAGTTCTTCCAACTGTCAAAAAGTTAAAGGCAACATCACGACCATGGCTTGCATTTCGCAGCGTGGCTCATCTACATACTTCCTTCATGAATTCTGCAAAAGTGACGTTCACATGTGTGTTGGATCGGCTGCACCATCATGGGACTCTTCATCACCGGGCACCTTGCTCACGGTGGGCTTGATGCCACATTGGTTTGGGCTGGGCACACATTAACGACGACAAACTCTTCATGTACCGGCTGAACAAAGAGAGCGAACGTTAAGTCAAGTCTAAGCACAAAATTGTAGAAAGTTCTTTGCATCGATCTCAGTAAGTTTCACGCTATGCGACCCGCCTCGGCCGGGGCCTGCGCAGCGGCGACGTGCTCGTCGTCGAAAGGACACGCAGAGCAAGCCTGTAGTTGTCAAGCATGCGACGTGTCACTCACGTCCTTCCATGAATAAAAAAGGGGGCCAGAGCCTTTGCAGTCCACTCCCAAGGGGACACGGAATACGCGCAATGCAGGGTAGCGCCAGCAGGGGGTAGTTGGAAGGTGTAGGATCTGATCTGAAAGGAAGCGGCAAGCGGGTGGGGCGGGGGCAAAGGGGGAGTACGGAAGTGGGGGGGGGGGGGTGGGGAAGCGGGGGGCTGGTTGGGTGGGGGGGGGGGTGGAGTGGGGTGGGGTGGGGGGTGGCGGGGTTGTGGTGTGGAACCTGTTAAGCGCAGGTGGGGTGCCTGCTTTGTGCTCCCAGAGTGTCGAAGCATAGAAAGCAAAAAACAGCCTCTTGCATCGATCCCAGGAATATGTCGATGCTCGTTTCCTTTAGCAGTTTGTCGTGCCGATGTTCTTCTCAAAAGCTAAGCTGTGCACACATTCCTAACGTGGTGGGATCCTTTTTCAGCTTGTTTCTCAAGCTCTGCAGCCACGATCTGGCAGACTTGCAGGTTGCGGTCATTGGCCATTCCCTGGGCTCGGTCATCATGTTTGATCTCATCCAGAAGGTTCGCCTGCATGATCCTGCACATTTGGAAGACATCGAGGGCGTTGTTGGCATATTTGGAATCCTTAGAGGCGTCGTGTCACGAGTCACTTTTTCAAAGCAAATGGGGCGCTCAAAGGCTAAGTGAGCTGCATTGCTGACTCCGGCTGATTTCAAAGCTCTTAACAGCCGGGGGAGTGAAGAACTCGCCATCTCAGCAGGGGAGAGTTGTGTTTTCCATGTTTAAATACACCCCTTTTTTCTGTTAGTCAGCGCAGTACTCCGGCGAGTTTGATCTGAGCATGGCCAACCCTGTCCCCCAAAGCTGCGAATCGTCATAAGTATTCTGCTCTCGTCGCAATGTGATGTGGACATGGGACATATTTGCGAGTGACTTGCAGCCTGGTGCGGATAGTGTTTTCAGAGCGATGCCCCTAGCGAGACCTTTTTGGGGCCAAGGCTTCCTGTATGGGCACATGTGTGCGCCCCGTTAAGCTTTTGAGGAAACATGCAGAAACGATATGTCCATGATCCACTTGCTCTTGACAGAGGAAGCGATGCCATGCGATGCCTAAAACCCCATAAGCAATACCGGCGCGATACGAGCTCTCCAGTCGATCTTTTTCAGGACACGAGCAATTCAAGCGTTTCTGGACTCTGGCCCGAGTCGCCCCTTCACTTCCCGGAAGCCTTCCTGCCGATCATGTCAAAGTTGCCTTGCCCAAGTTCTCACACCAAGTTGCGTTGTCTGAATATTAGTGTTTCAGGATGCAGCGCCGGTTCTGTCATTCGATTCATGTTTCAACTGCATCCAAATCTGCCCAATGCACCTCGCCAATCCTCATTGATCCTCTGCAGGGGCTGGAGAAGCTTCCGTGCGGCTTGCATTGCTCGCCTTCCAAGGCTTGTTCGACTGTAGGGGCGGCTGACAGATACCTCATGAAACTTCATGACATGTCGGTGACACGGAAAGCGAGGACATGCCCCATGGTTCCAAGACCACCATGCTCTCCACGCCGGCCAAAGCCACCGTCGGCACACCGGGGAGTTTTGACAGGAAGGGCATCAAGCTCCTCAAGGCTCCACATTCTGCTGCATCTTCGTTGTGTAGTGCTGTGGTGTCAGTCTCGTAGGCTCCAACTGTAGCCGAACTCACAACCTGCCACTTGAGCGTTTCTCCACCGAAAGTCACGAGTATGATCGAGTAAGTATCCAGAGTCGATTAACGCACATTAACGCAGGAGCACGTGGCCCGGGGCAACCTTGCAGCCTTAGCGAAAGGCTGCAGCCCTGATGGCACGAGATGAGCACATCCCAAGCATCTCATTTTTAACGATTTTTAACGATCCACCCTGCAGGCAAGCATTCACACGAACACCCAATGCCGAGATGCCTCTTCGCGGTGGGCTCCCCGCTTGGAATGCCACTTGGAGCTACGATGCGACGCGATGCAGCGCGATGCGAAGCGGTGCGAAGCTATGTTTGCACGGCTTCATGGGTTCACGTGTTACTTGCAGGTTCTTAAGCATACGGCTCTCACAGAACGCTCAACGAGCATCCAGGCACCTGTCCAAGCAGTGTCGGATCTTGTCGTCAGTTCCAAAACGTTCCAAATCGTTCCAAATGTTCCAAATGAGGTATTTCCGAGGCTTGGATGTGAGATGGCCTCCCTCCAGTGCTGGACAAGGATGGAGGCCAACAGGCATCGCTTGGTTCCGTTTTTCCTGAACACTTGCGACTGCAGGTTCTTCAACGTGTTCCATCCTGATGATCCCATTGCGCGCTTTGACAGCAAAGTTTCGCTTGTGTGGCGACGTACTCCATGCTCGGAACTGTTGATCAACCGGTTACCGAACGATCTGCAGGTATCGCATCGAACCGCTGCTGAACCCGGCCTACACCAACATGAGCCCCAGGCAGTATTCTGCAAATCGTCGGATAGCACTGTCTTTTGCCTTCGATCGACTACAGGCGGTTGCAGCATGGCTTGAAACAGTCTTGGGGCCCAAAGAAACTGCCATCAACCGTTTGCGGAGACTGCCGTTCTTCACGACTTCACGATGCTTAGCAAGGTCAATTGCCAAAAGGATGAACGCTGCAGCATTCCGTATTGACGGGGCTGTCGCCCAAAGCCGACGATACAGCGTGCTTTGCGGCCAAACACACCGGTGCAGGGGTTGATGTTTGTTCGGCCCAGAATTCACTAGCAAAGTCCTTGAAGCATGGATCATTTTGACCCAGACAAGCTTACGCAGGGTGGTCCCTCATGCCGGGGGTCTGCGTTGGCACCATCGAATAGCGACCTTGTGGTCCTCAGTGGGTACGCGGCCCTGCCCTGCTGTTCAAAGGCTTGAGCATCATGCCCTGGTCGTCAAGCCTGAAGATGCCTGAAGTCATCCGTGTGATGCGAATTGGCCAGGTCGAAGAGCGGGGATGACGTAGATGCCGAGGTTAGGACGGTTAGGGCACATGAGTGGCCTCCTTGCATAGCCGACCTTTGTCCGATCCCGTCAGGCTCCGTTAGAAGAGGTCCTTGTGGTGCCTACGGAGGAGTGTTTCTGCGGGCCTCGTACTTGTAGAGGAATGCGCTACACTGTGTGCTGCATGTGAAGTAACTGGTGCAAACCAGATTCGGGCAGTGAAAGCTTTGTAAAGGTTAATGCAAAAACATGTGTAGCATAAATACATAAACTTGATACAGGTCACACGACAAGGCCGGATCACGACAAAGATAGTACCTGGTGATACAGCGAGGTGAGTTTTCGCTCGGTTTCCACCACCAACAGCAAGAGCAAAAACACCAGGAACAGTAACACCACCAACGGCACACAAACAAACAAACTGACTAACCAACTAAGAGAAACCAGCTAAACGAACTAACCAAAGCAAACAAACAAACTACCAGCAGCAGCAACTTAACAACAAGCTAACACCAACCAAACCAACCGACCTAAGAACACACTAGACACACCCTAACTGCAAACTAACCAGAAACGAACGCAACACAAACACGAAATATGCAAAAATCTAACAACAAACGAACCACAAACTTACGACATACGAACCACGCAGGAACAACAGACGAACCACTGACGAACAGACAACAAGCGGCTTGATGCGTCTTGAAGAGGGTTTGTGGAGGCGCCCGCTCGCCTCGGCTCCTGCCGCCGACTGTGCTGAGCTCCATTCTGACGCCCTTCTTTAGCTGCTGTCCCCTGGGGTGCTTGCCGCATGGAGCCCGCAGACTTCCTTGCGCAGCTGCGCCGCCGCCTGCGCATACCTGATGCTGCGGCCGACGTGTGGTGCCCTCGCTGCGAAAGTGTGCTTGACACCCACTCGTGGCATGCGAGCATGTACCCAGCAGGGGGCGACAGGACCAGATGTCACCGCACTGCTCATAGCCTTGCTGCTGCGTGGGCCGGCAGGGCTGGTTTGCAACCAAAAGTTGAAAAGTTTGACCTCCTGCTCACTCAATGCCTTGCCTGCTTGGGACGGGTCTCCCACCGCACTCGACCTGGGCATCATTGGTCCCAGGCGTTCCGAGAGCCCTTGCCGCTTGCCAGGAGCCGCTGGAGGCTGCCGCAGCCTACGCTTCAAGTGAACACGGCGCAGACATGTGCCAGCCAAGCGATCCGTTTCCAACCCCTCGTTGCTGGGAGCACACAGGGCCTTGCCAAGCTGTTCGTGTGGCTCTCGCCGCTGCGTTGCGTGAGGGTGGCCGCTGCCATCTGCTGCAGCTCTGAAGGAGCAGCCGGTCTGTGCTCGGCCCTGCGAAGTCCTTGCCCAGCCCGCCACTGCTGATTAGTGGGCCAACCCCACGTGCGTTTGGCGTGGTACAGGCCTCCTCATCCTTCACATATGCAGGCCTACACGTGTGTGAGGTCTCCTCCTTTTGCCCAGCTGCAGGCCACGTGCTTTCGCGCTGAAGGTCTGACAGCTCTGCTCTAAAGCTGTTTCTCGCTTCAGCAGCCGGCGTCCGCTTGCATCTGTCAACTGCCGTAATAGTCTTCAAAGCCCCTTATCTGGCCTCTTGTGAAAGGACCGATTGCTTCAGTTTTCCCACAAACGACCAATCAAGCAACAAAACGAACCAACAAGCTTACGAGCAACAAGTTACAGTACACAAACAGCAAGCCAGCGACAATCAAACAACAAGAAACGGTCATCAACGAAACAAGAGGCGAGCAACAAACAGACTCGAAACGAAGAGCGAACGCACAACACACAAAGAGAAAGCACAAAGACTACTGAACAGCAAACAAGCGCATGCGAATCCGGCGGGTTGTTCACGCGCGCCGAAAGAGTAGCAAGCTGCAAAAAACATCGTCGCTGCCGATGGTTCCTTGGTCCAGGGCAAGCACAGCAACAATCGAACAATCGAACAATCGAACAACAACAACAACAACAACAGATGTTCAAGGTCACATGGAGACCATTGAAAGCACTTCTAACCACCTTAAAAATCATGAAGCGAGAAAGCGACCCTGTCACGACCCTGACATGTACAATCCTCGTGACTCGAGCTTGGAAACTCCTTCAAAAGTCTTCAAAGTGGCGACAATCACCAGGATCGACAAAAAGAACACGTGAGAACGCTTTGCTGAGACGTTGTAGCACCGTGGCAGTTTTGGAGTCACCTCCTTCCCCCCAGCTCTGGCAACAAAAGCTGCTAGTTTTTCATTCGGGAAAACATGAAACAATGAATGCAACAACCGAAAACAACATATAATTATGTCACTATGTCCATGCTGGCAGGATCCTTCGAGTTTCTTCGAGGCGCATGCCAGCACTCTTGCATGTTCCCCGGCTTGTCCTGCCCACAGCAGGAAAAGCCTGGTCGCCAGTCGATCGTCACTGTTGATCGCCTCGATTATGCTTTGCAGGCCTCGCGAATTTGCTTCATGCACATGTCATGTCGCCAGAGCTGGATTCTTTGTGCAAGGCTAGTCTTCTGATCAGTCTTGTGATGTCGCTAATGTTCGGTGAAAGTGTGTTGTTATTTTATTTTCAGTTTTATGATGTTGTGCTTGTGCCCGGTAACAGATAGACCTCATTGGGGGGTCACAAGATCCGGCACGTTTTTAACAAAGGCATTCATCTCATTTCGAGCGCATTGCAAATCTACAGCACTTTTCATGCTGAGGGGCTGCTGATTGTCAAGCATCTGCCGAGACCAACGTGTATGAGAGCATGAATGAGATGCTGAGCGCCATCCGCAGCCACTTCAGCTACTGGGAGAATGAGGCCCTGCGGAAAGGGGCTCAGATAAAGGCACCTTGTCATTTGGGACACTGTTTCCGCCCAAGTCCGTTCGTGATGCTCTGCATCATGCTTGGTGCTTTGTCAAATTTTGTCAAAGTGTTCTGCTGCAGCATACGGTCATACCGTACTACCGTAATGCCATCACACCCTGCATGAGGACATGCTGCAGTTCATCATTGACCAGATCTTCGAATCGCTTGCGGCTGGTTGCGGCCTCAGTCATGCTTTGCCTCGCCATCTTCTGTTGGTGACACGTTGGGCTTGAGACGAGTCTGTCTTCTATGATTCGTTCATGTTGGACGTTGATTCGTGCCCTCAAACCCCCAGGCCCAAATAAGAAAGTGTCCTTGTTTAGCTCTTAAACAGTCGTGCGAAGTTTTGGCGCGAGGATTTGGGGGGGATGCTTTCAAACGCGGCCTCTCTCAAGTGAGTCCCCTTGCAAGGCAAAGACGTCAAAGAGGATCAAAGCAAAGCAAAGTGAAGGGCGCAAGGTCAAAAGCCGAGGCTTGGGTTGGACAACTGTGATTTTGAGAGGCAGCTGACTTACCCCGAGTGCTCCTCTCTCTCTCTCTCGCATTGCAGGGGACGGCAAAGGCGACTCCATGGCTCGTGCGCCCGTCGTGCGCGTGGCGGGGGGCAAAACCGCGGCAAAGAAAAGTCCGAGTCAAGATGAGTTTTTTGTACTCTCTCTCGGTCTGCAGAGCTGAACCAGTTGAGAAGTTGATGTTTAAGCTTCAGCCGCAGCCAGTCAGAACGTCTCTTTAAGGCTCATTGGTGCATAATGCCAGTGCTCCTGGGCGAGAGTTTTTTAAAATTGCAAAATGCAGCATGTTAGATAGTGCAGAAGTCAGTTCCACGCTTGTTTGGCGAAGCAGAGCCATGGCTCCTGATCAGGCTTGGTCCATTTTGCACATTCAGATTCGGCACGGAAAGACCTACCTTTCATGCAGACGCCAGGTCGAGAAATGGTTGCGCGGCTTGGGATCCATGTTGCCCCGAGAGGCCTTGTGTATTGCATCATAAACACCAGCGAGTGAGCCTGCCGTGCCAAGCGGTCAGGCAATTTCTGCCTTGGTTGAAGAAGTGCATCGGCAAGGTGCCTGCTGTCACATTTCCCAAACCTGCCGCAAGATGTGAGACAATCATGGAGAGTTGAGAATCCTTTGACCTGTTCAACAAGGGATGGACGGAGAGTCTTTCGACGTCTTAATAGCAAGGCGCACCGTAGTTGCACATGTCCTGTGCAGTCCGTGAAGCATCGTGAAGCAACATGAAGCAGCCATTCATACTGTCAGTCGAGCCATGCCAGCGCTGGGAGATGCAGCTGGGCACACAGTCTGGAGAGACTGCAGCTCAAGCTCAAGTTTGGATTCGGTAGACTCGGGTAGGCTACTTCAGACAGCTTTTGGAAGGTTCGCCCTGCACACATGGCAATGCTTCGGCGATGCTGGTGGTCTCCTCTGCCGTCCCAGCATCCAGCAGCAAGTAGTGTGCTGAGCATGTGGCAAGGAATGCTAACAAGCCATTCGCATCTTCGCAGGCCGCTCAGAAACGGGTGTGCAAGCTACTTCAAGTGTTTGAACAGTGCCACGAGTGTTCGGAGAGGTCGAGCAAGCCATCCCCTTCGCCCGGCATGACTCCCCAGAGGTGCCTAGAGTAAGCGACAGTAAGCTACAGCCCGTAAATCTGATGATTCAGCTACGGCGCAGCTACGGGTTCGCTTCAGCTTTTATTGAAGCGCCTGTGTTGGGGAAACCGGTTCAGATTGTGTGCGGGCTGACCTTTGCACACCTCAGGTTCGCACCGCCTCCACGTGTGAAAGCGGAGAAGGAGACAGACGCAGATCATAATGGCCAGAGCTGCCAACAGCTGCAGAGAGGGCAGCCAGGGCTTGAGCTGCCCGAGCCGCCCGAGCCGCCCGAGCTGGCAGAGCCAGAAGAAGGGCACATGCCATTGGCCGCGTGCTCGGCATTTGCTCAGCATTTGCTCAGCATTTGCTCAGCCTGGTCTTCTTGGCTCTTCTATCTCTTCTCCTTTTGGCGGTTCCTGGACCTCTGCCTTGATTGCGAAGGATTGCCTTTCGCCGGAGCATGCCGAGCCGGAGAATGGCCTAAAGTCGTCGACTCCTTTGAGCTCTGCCATGATGAAGCAGAAGGCACTCCGCAAGCACTCCGCAAGCACTCCGCAAGATTCCGCGCGGCATATTTCCTGGATGCGTTCTGGATCAGGCTGCGAAGCCTCCACAGGCATGTGTCTTTCAAACTTCAAATCATCTTACGTTCGAAGATGTCCGAAGAGTCTCTGCACCCGCGGCGGAGTCTCTGCACCCGCGGCAGGTTCCTCGCCTGGATCTTTCGTTTCTGCGGAATAAAGGTGAGCTGGTTGCATGAGAAGCGTGTGTCCGCGTGGAGTTGACGCCAAAATCAGAATGCTGCCTTGCAGGAAACTCCGAAAGTCTGCTGAAGCACGAGTGGAAGCCGGGCAGGCTGGCACAGCATCCACAGCTGTATCAAGAGCATCGTGTGCAAGCATCACGATGCTGGGCAAACGTTTGCCCACAGGCCGAGTCAGGCAGGCAGCACAACATCCAGCGCAGAGATGGTGAAGAGGCTGGCTCTGTGAGAAACTCTTTCATGAGCAGCCATTGGCAAGAAGTCAAGTTTCTTAGGTCCGGCTTTGCGTCTGCAAGTCCGGAGGACACTGAGAGTTCACGTCCCATGTGCTTGGGCGTTGTAGGGTTGCTCTATCGTCTTCTCAAAGTCGCCTCCAAAACATCCAAAGAACATCCAAAGCACATCTTCCGTACATTTCCGTGCGGTCGCCCATCGACGGCGATGAGAGCCATGAGATAGAAGTATCTTTCCAGCGACCATTCCAGCCGGTGAGCGTGCGTGGAATGTGTGGAACCGCGGAAATCTCCTTTGCCATGCCTCTGCTCCTTATCAAAGCAGCCAGAAGGTGCAAACGTATCCTGCAGTACCGAATTACAGTGTCACAGGAGGATCTCCTGTGATGGCGTGTGTTGTGATTCTACTCCGCAGCTGTCCGAAGTTTCTGAAGGACCAGCAGCGAATAGCAGAGTTTTACGGATACAGAGACGAGGACGCGCTGCTGCAAGAAGCCGATAGAAGTTGCATATGAGCTTCAATCTGTATCTTGCGACATCCTGCAACGATTCAGCCAAGTTCAGTTAGTTGCACGCCAGGGGTTCGTGGCCACAATGACGGGGCTGCGGACGGACCTCATCCGGCCCCGACTGTGACCTACATGAAAACTCTGCCCAGACGCCGAAGAGTCCGTAGAGGCTTGGTAAAAAGAGTCTACTTTTAGATGTCCCGAAGCCTGGTGCTAGTGCATGACGAAGGGTTCTGGGAGCCTCCATGATGCAACACAAGTTGTGTTTAGTGACGCAGGGTTTGGCAGCAAAATACTGCAAACGATTGGTGAGACCCTCTAGCAGTGACTGTGACCTACAAGAAACAAAGTGGGTGTTGTTCTTTCCTGCCATTCTTCCAATCTTTGACGATGGGTTTCTGAGTCAAAGAGCATCAACTTTAGTGTCTCGTCCAAAAGCACCCCCAGCAAGCGAGATTCGCTTTAACCTTGGCGAAGGGCGTAGATGGGCCTTCTTGTTAAGATTTCGGGCTTTCTCTTGAAGAGCAGGCCACCATCTAGAAGGCAGCATGTTCAAAAGAGACGTTGCCGCTGACATGCTCGTCAGTGACAGTGACACGTCGAGGTACGTGGGCAACATGGCGGACGACGCATACTGGCCAATGCTGAAGAAGCACACTTCCCAGTGACAGGGATTCAATGTGTTCCTGCAAAAATCCAATCGTCACCTTCCGCAACTGGAGGTTGGGCATCACTCACATAGTCAATTGCGCTATAGAGGCACGTCATGGGGCTTCATGGCACGTCCAAGCAGTCCCAGGGCTCCTTATCCTTCATGCCATTCGAATCAGGCACAAAAGGTGTCGCCCGCTTATGAATCGCATGGCATCCAGTGCCCTCGGCGTGCCCTTGAAAGACACCTTCGAGGGCTTCAGATTTCGCACTGCAGAGGTACCTTTTCCTGCCGTGGCAAGATAGAGAGGAGGAAACGCAGAGCCTGACTCGGTGGCCAACTCGGTGCGGTGACACAATGACACAGTGGCTTGTAGCAAGGGCCGAACTTGGAAGAGCCAGGCAAAGGTTCCGGAGCCTGAAGGGCGCAACAAAGTACGTGCACGGTGCACTCCAGGAGAACTACGGACACCCTAAGGCCTAAGGTTGTTGCTCAGGCTATGATAAACATGAGAAGCAGCGCACGCCATGCGCACTGCCTGCGCTCTTGGCAAGGACCGGAAATCTAACAACGTTGTCCTCGTACACTGTGTGCAGGCGCTCCAGACATCTCCGAACCATGTCCAGTGCGCTCTCTCTCTCTCTCTCTCTCTTTTTGTGCATGTGTCTGAAGCTGTGTAATTAGCATGGATGCTACCTAAATCGGAAAACAAGACCATGAATCACGCACCCATGGTTCAGAAAACAGCAAGGAACGAATCAGAAAACGGCGAGGTTTGAATCAGCATGCATGGACACCTAAACCTAACCGAGCCTAACCTAACCTAAGCTAACATGATAGGTTTAAGTGTGTGCGTTTAGGGTTTAGGTTTAGGGATCTCCCCCAAGACGCATTGGTGTAGATAGGTCTACTAAGTACCCCCCTATGATAGGCGTCGATAGACCCCTATACAGACCCCTATGGTAACAAATTTATGACTTGCGCTCGAGCAGCAAGGCTTTCTTCATTTAAATAAGGGGTGTTTAGGGTTAAGGGGTTTGCAAGGTTTAGGGTTTAGATTTTTTTAGGGTGCAGGTCTTGGGGTGTTGTAGGGTTGAGGGCTTAGGGGGTTTTAGGGTTTAGGGTTTGTTTTCGGTTTAGGGCTCAGGTTTTGTTTTGGGTTGAGGGCTTGAGGCTGTAGGAGGTTTTTAGGATTTAGGGTTCAGGTTTTTTAGGGTTTAGTGTGTAAGGTTTTTGCAGGGTTTTTTGGGGGTTTAGAGTTTAGGGGGTTTTTAGGGTTTAGGTTTTTTTTGGTTTAGGCCTCAGGGTTTTTTAGGCTTTAGGGGGTTTAGGGTTTAGGGTTGTGCTCTTGGGGTTTAGGGCTTCGGGGGTTTTAGGGTTTAGGGGTTTTTATGGCTTAGAGGTTTTTAGGCTTTAGGGGTTTTTGGGGTTTAGGGTTTAGGGGTTTGCAGCCCCGCCTCTCAAAGGGAACGCAGCACTCGCATGATGGGTTCGAAAAAGAATAAAGCGGGGGTGGGGGGGGGGGGGGGGCGCAGCCCGCTTCATTTGCAAACGCAATGCCCGCATCATGGGTTTGAAAACACATGCCTAGGTTTAGGGGTTTTCAGGGTTTAGGGTTTAGGGTCTTTTACGGTTTGGATTTATTAGGGTTTAGGGCTTAGGGGTTTGTAGGTTTTTGTTTTTTCGGGGCTTGAAGTTGAGGGGTTTTTAGGGTTTAGGTTTTTTTGGGTTTAGGGTTCAGGGTTCTTAGGGTTTAGGGCTTAGGGCCTTTAGGGTTTAGGGTGTTTTAGGGTTTAGGGTTTAGGGTTTTTGGGGTTAAGGGTATTTTTAGGGTTCGGGGTTTTTAGGGCTTAGGGGGTTTTAGGGTTTAGGGGTTTTTGGGGGTTTAGGGAGTTTTTGCCACCCTTCCCATTTGCAAGCGCAACACTCGCATGATGGGTTCGAAAGAATAATGCGGGTGGGTTGGGGGAGGGTTTTAGCGTTTAGGGTTTAGTGTTTTTTACGGTGTGGATTCATTAGGGTTTAGGGCTTAGGGGTTTGTAGGGTTTTGAGTTTTCGGGGTTTGAAGTTGAAGGGCTTTTAGGGTTTAGGTTTTTTTGGGTTTAGGGTTCAGGGGTTCTTAGGGTGTAGGGCTTAGGGCTTTTAGGTAAAACAACAGTGTGCCCACTCTTGCTGACTTTTGTTTCTGATTCGTGCCTTGGTGTTTTCTGATTTGCACCGCCGTGTTTTCTGATTTGCACTCCTGTTTGCTGAGTTATGCTTGGCTGATTTGCCTGTTACCCTAATTATCATGAATTAGCTGAACCCATGCCATGCAGTACCGATGCGTCAGAGATTTTGTCTGACTGACTCCGCAAGACTCTCCAGGGCCTCTCCAGGAGTGCCGCTTTGGTTTGCGCGTGCCCCCCCTGCAACGGATGTTTATTGCTCTCTGAGTTGAACACACGCATGTGTTTCTACTAAGTTCTGCTGGTCTCCGTGCGCTGCTCGCTTTGTATCGGCCTGCCAGGTATCTCATGGAGTTTGAGGGTCTTGGCTTGGACCGTGCTCTTTCCGAGGCCCGGCTTGCAGCAGCTTAAAAGTCAAGTCCGGAGGAGGGGCAGGAGGGGGAGGAGGGGCAGGAGGGGGAGGAGGGGGATGAGGGGGAGGAGGGGGAGGAAGGGGGGGGGGTTGTTTTTTCAGCTTCTATGTCATGTCTGCAGGTAAAATCAAAGCACAAAGGATGCTTGACATCGCCTCACTGGCAGGCTGGATGGGAAGATGCGTGGCTGGTAGGATTCTATCTGACTCGTGCGCTGACCTCCGTTCATTGTGAGTACCTCTGCTTTAAACCCGCAGACATTGCTGCACAAGTTCAACGCAGAGCTGCTCCGTGGAACCTGATCCAAGCTGTAGACGGGGTGTCCGTCTGTCAACGTAACAGCTTCAACCTGAAAGAAGCTGGTAGTTAATGTTCTCTGCATCTCATGCAGATAGATTCTCTGGTACCACCGCTCCATGCATCAGCTTGGTGCATGAGATGGTCCCGAATGACTTTGGAATATGTAGCCGACAGCGGTGCGCAAAAGCGATGACGGAAGATAGCTACAGTTGGCCGCAGGTCTTGCTTTTCAGCCTCAAGGCACATGTATGATGTATTCTTCTGTGTGGAGACGAGTTGACAGCCCTGGAATGCACAGACTAGCTGACTAGCTTGTTGGTTCGACGCAGCAAGCACGTAGACGTAGACAGCTGTCAATGTTTTGACAGGCCCGAAAGGCGTGGCAGAGCCTTCTCAATGTTGGTATGACTTTGTTGAACGTTGAACAACTTCAACACCGGCACGCACACGCATGCGCATGCGCGTGGGTTCAAGCATCCGTGTCGGGCACCATGACCAGAAAGAGCCAGCACAGTGTAGCTCACTGCATGAGAGTGGTTTTTCTTGAGAGCTTAAGCCCTGCGTAAGCCTATGACACCCCCCTTCAGTCCTCGACATGGGTGTTACAAACGGTGATTCGCTCTCAATCTACTTGGACCATCGCGCTAGTTGCGTTTCGGGTGCGTGGGATTGTCTTGGATGCGTTTCGGGTGCGTGGGAGTTTTTGGGATGATTCCTGTGTTTTGTCTCGTTTTTTGTTGGGCTGAAGGAGGTGCTGTACGTTCTTCCCTTGGAAGCTGTTATTTGGATGATGCTCTATTTGCGATGTGTGTGTATACATGCCCAATTATTTTACATATGTGTATATATACATATATATGTGTGTGTGTATGTCTAGATGTGTGCGATTTTCTTTTATGTACCTGCGTATGCTTGTTCGCAGGATATGTAGGGAGGCGGGCCCCCGCACCACCACCTGAGGTGAATGCAGGGGAAACGGTTTAGGGTTTAGGGTTTAAGGTTTAGGGTTTAGGGTTTAAAGTTAGGGTTTAGCGTTTAGGGTTTAGGGCAGGCGGGCCCCCTCTACAGTGCCAGCCTGGGCACTGCGGGGGGAAAAGGCTTAGCTCGTCGCCTTAAACTAGAAATACCCTAAACCCTAAGCCCTAAAGTGCTGGGAAGGGGTGGGGGGGGGGGTCCCCTGCACTACCACCTGAGGTGAATGCAGGGGAGTAGGAGCAGGTGGGTCCCCTCTACAGTGCCAGCCCGTGCACTGCGGGGGGAAGAAGACGACGTCGCCTGAAACCGTAAACCCCAGACCCTAAACCTCAAACACAAAAGCCTAAACCCTGAACCATAAAGAACTTGTAGAACTCCCAGAACCTCGGCCCTCAGAACTCGTATCACTAAACCCTAAACCTCTAAACCCCAATCCCCAAACCCTAAACCGCAAAACCTAAACGCATAGAACTCCGGCCTTCAGAACGGCTAGAACTTTTAGAACTTTTAGAAGTTGTAGAACTTTCAGAACTTTTAGAACTTTTAGAACTTTTAGAACTTTTAGAACTTTTAGAACCTGTAGAACTCGTAGAACTTGCGGAACTTGTAGAACTTCTAGAACGGTTAGAACTTTTAGAACTTTTGGAACTTCTAGAACTTTTGGAACTTTTAGAAGTTTTAGAACTTTTAGAACTTGTGGAGCTTAAGTGACTTGAAGAACTGCAGTACGTTTAGAACTTTTAGAACTCTTAGAACTTCCCAAACTTGTAGTACTTCTAGAAAGGCTAGAACCTTTAGAAGAGCTTCAATGACTTGAAGAACTTAGAACTTTTAGAACTTTTAGAACTTTTAGAACTTTTAGAACTTTTAGAACTTTTAGAACTTTTAGAACTTTTAGAACTTTTTCCCGAAAGCATCGCGAAGGGTTCTTCCGTGCGGAGCCCTCTGACCCAACAACATAGAGTGAAGTGCATAGAGTGAAGTGCATAGAGTGAAGTGCATAGAGTGAAGTGCATAGAGTTAAGTGCATAGAGTGAAGTGCATAGAGTGAAGTTCATAGAGTGAATTGCATAGTGTGAATTGCATAGAGTGAAGTGCATAGAGTGAAGTGCATAGAGTGAATTGCATAGAGTGAAGTAGAAGTTAATAGAAATTACGAGATTTACGTAGAATTTAGTAGACCTTCGTACCCAGTCCTAGATTTCTAAATTAAAATTAAAATTACTCTTTTAAAATTACTCTTCTAAGGCGGCGGGCTGGGTTGACATCGCCAATCGGGATTGCAACCCTCTGCGGGTTTGGGCGTGGTCGCGGTGCAAAAACCGTCGTGTTTTTACGTTTCTTGATTTGCGCGGACAACCCTCTGCGGGTTTCCGCGTGGTCGCGGTGCTAAAACCGTCGTTTTTTTACTTTTCTTTAGGTCCGCGGACAACCCTCTGCGGGTAATCGCCGGGTCGCGGTGCGAAAACCGTCGTTTTTGGTACTTTTTTCCGTGGCCGCAGACAACCCTCTGCGGGTTTCGGCGTTGGCGCGGTGCCAAAACCGTCGTGTTTTTGCGTTTTGTGACATACAAAAGTAACCCCTCTGCGGGTTTCGGCGTTGGCGCGGTGCCAAAACCGTCGTGTTTTTGCGTTTCTTGACATGCAAACGTAACCCCTCTGCGGGTTTTCGCGTGGTCGCGGTGCGAAAACCGTAGTGTTTTGCGTTTTTTTTGTCGACTTGTGTAGTACAGACGTAGTACGCCGGGGACTTCCGTGGCTGGAAAATCGACTTTTGTAGTACAAACGTAGTACGCCGCGGACACGCGGAGCTTCCGTGGCTGGAAAGTCGACTTTTGTAGTACAAACGTAGTACGCCGCGGACACGCGGAGCTTCCGTAGCTGGAAAGTCGACTTTTGTAGTACAGACGTATAGTACGCCGGGGACGGAGCTTCCGTGGCTGGAAAGTCGACTTTTGTAGTACAAACGTAGTACGCCGCGCACACGCGGAGCTTCCGTGGCTGGAAAGTCGACTTTTGTAGTACAGACGTATAGTACGCCGGGGACGCCCGGAGCTTCCGTGGCTGGAAAGTCGACTTTTTGTAGTACTCACGTAGTACGCCGCGCACACGCGGAGCTTCCGTGGCTGGAAAGTCGACTTTTTGTAGTACAGACGTATAGTACGCCGCGGACGCCCTGGGCGTCTGAAAACACCGCAAATAGCATGGTAACGGACATCTGGCCGCTTGAAAACACCGCAAATAGCATGGTAACGGACATCTGGCCGCTTGAAAACACCGCAAATAGCATGGTAACGGACATCTGGGCGCTTGAAAACACCGCAAATAGCACGGTAACGGACATCTGGGCGCATGAAAACGCCGCAAATAGCATGGCAACGGACATCTGTGCGCTTGAAAACACTGCAAATAGCATGGTAACGGACATCTGGGCGCATGAAAACGCCGCAAATAGCATGGTAACGGACATCTGGGCGCTTGAAAACACTGCAAATAGCATGGTAACGGACATCTGGGCGCTTGAAAACACCGCAAATAGCATGGAAGCGGAATTCCGGACATACTTGAAAACCTCGCAAATAGCATTCCCGCCGCGGACACCCGGAGCTTGCGTGTCGAAACCATCGCAAATAAACCATCGCAAATATCGCGGGACTCGAATTCCTCGAAACCCTTGCAAATGTCGTGGGACTCGAATTCCGGGGCCTCGAAAACTCGCAAATATCATGGGACTCGACTTCCGGGGCCTCGAAAACCTCGTAAATATCGTGGTTCCAAAACCATCGCAAATACCCTGGTCCCCGAATTCGCTGGTTCCCAAAACCATCGCGAAAACCATGGTCCCCGAATTCGCTGCTTCCAAAACCATCGCAAAAACCATGGTCCCCGAATTCGCTGCTTCCAAAACCATCGCAAAAACCATGGTCCCCGAATTCGCTGGTTCCAAAAACCATCGCGAAAACCATTGTCCCCGAATTCGCTGGTTCCAAAACCATCGCAAGTATACCACGGTCCCCGAATTCGCTGGTTCCAAAACCATCGCAAATCAGACAAGTGCAGTGTACAAGTGACTATGCAACCATGTAAGGGCATACATTTCTCCAAGTGCATACAGTTCGATTACAAAGAGTCAAGTGCATGGAGTCAACGCACGGCAAATCGATGCTTTCGGGCCATCCCTCTTCTAGTAGAACTTTTAGAACTTTTGGAACTTTTGGAACTTCTAGAACGTTTAGAACTTTTAGAGCTTAAGTGAGTTGAAGAACTTTTAGTACGTTTAGAACTTTTAGAACTTTTAGAACTTCAAGAACTTTTAGAACTTCCAAGATCGACTTGTAGTACTTCTGGAACGGCTAGAACTTTTAGAACTTTTATTAGAAGTTTTAGAACTCTTAGAACTTGAAGAACTTCAATGACTTGAATTTAAGAACTACCTCTAAAAGCTCTAAAAGTTCTAAAAGTTCTAAAAGTTCTAGAAGGTCTAGAAGTTCCATAGCTAGGAGAATGTCTAGAACTTTCAAAACTTCTAGAACTTTTGAACTTTTAGAACTTTTAGAACTTTTAGAACTTTTAGAACTTTTAGAACTTTTAGAACTTTTAGAACTTTTAGAACTTTTAGAACTTTTAGAACTTTTAGAACTTTTAGAACTTTTAGAACTTTTAGAACTTTTAGAACTTTTAGAGCTTTTAGAACTTTTAGAACTTTTAGAACTTTTAGAACTTTTAGAACTTTTACGCTTGGAACTTTCAGAACTTTAACAACTTCCAAGTCGCAGGAAAACTTTTAGAACTTTTAGAGCTTTCAAAACTAGAACGTTTAGAACTTTCAGAACTTTAACAACTTCCAAGTCGCAGAAACTCGAAAAAACACAGCTAAAACCCCATACGCCCGAAATGCGTCCAAGACATTCCCATACGCCCGAAATGCTTCCAACCCGGACCATCTTGGGAATGGACCCCTCAGCACAGAAAAAAGCGCTTTTTTGTGTCTTTCTAGCCCTGCGAAAGGAGCCCTCGCGTCCGCTCGGGTGCACCGCTATATAGGAGCGCAAACGAACAAAGAAAGCAACAAGAGAGACGCATGAGTCCTGTAGGAGCATCGCAGTATGCGTCTACGTCATCTGCGATCTGTTCCTGGTTCAATTTTCAGCCCTTGCCCCTGCAAGCTTCCAGGGCCTCTTCCCGGGCTTCGGGGCAAAGGGGTGAGAATCAGATCCTCGCTAAAGTACGGCTTATGAGTTTGGCCACCTGTGTGCACGTGGCTATGGCTCACAGGCAAATGAGTAGATGAGTGTAGCTAACACGGAAGCTTTTGGTGTGCATGGTTGCCAAAGGCAATCTATATGAGGCCAGGCAGATTATTCTTGTGAGCTACTAGCTGATCTGGAGCAGTGTGATCGTGGTCTGTTTCGCAGGATTGATACCGTCCTGGCTGTAAGCGAAAAGCTACGTTGGATGAGTGCAGCTAGCTCAGTTCAGCGTAGCTTCAAGGTCGTGTTCCATTCTTGATGGTGTCCCTGGCTGATTCCGGCCCATGCTCAGGATGTACGAATTGGAAACAACACTTCTCTTTCTGCAGGAGCCACTGAATTTGTGTTTTAGCCTTAGTGTTCTCGGCCTGCCAAGACATTGCAGGCCTTGCATGTACAATGGAGCATGTGCCAAGGCCGGCAGCCCCATTTGCGGGACGGTCGACGAAGGCAGCGGCATATGCTGCGCTCTCACCGACAGCTGCCGAGTTTTTGCCTGAAGGTGCGGCTGTTTCGGCACTTGGACACTAAAACATACTAAAACCTTTCGTCGTAGTTGAATCCTTCACCAGGCGACGCTCGCCAGTGGGGGTGGAATGCCAGGGCCTTCAACTTGAATGCTCCTCAAGTCAGAAGGGGAATCCTTCAAAATTCACACATGTCACGCGCCCAGGGCTCCTGGAGCCAGAGTGGAACCTGGACAGGACACGGAGTGCTTTCGACACTATCTATGGCAGCTTCTATTTTCTTTGATCTTATTTGCTCCTCTTTTTTTCTCCCAGGAGGAAGCTGGCCCGGCCAAGGCCTGGAGCCGAAACACGTCGGAGCGCGACATGCACGAAATGTGCACGACTTGCACGAACCGCTTTTTGAGCGTCTTTTGGACTGTTTCGGACGTTCGTGCTTTCAGTGTTCGTGTCGGAAGCTCTCCATGCTCTCATCCATGCACTCCTCCATGCTCTCCTCCATGCTCTCCTCCATGCTCTCCGCCATGCTCCTGCAAAAGGTTACTCCACCAATGGCGGAGACATAAACGGCTGGGCAGGTGAATCGGGATCCATGTCAGCGCCAGCTTGATGGAATCTCTCACAGTTTTGGTGCTTGGAGCAACTTGGGACAGGAGCTGCTGCGTCACCCACATGCTGGTTCAACGACGATGCATACTCCACTGAGTGTATGCCTCAACTCAGCTTGTACGGACGCATTGACTCAAGGCTCAAAGATCCTCGTTGTGGATTGTATACGATTCGTATATTCATGCCGTGCTGCAGTTCCTCTCACAGCGATTCGGAGCCCGAAGCTGACGCCGACGAAGCCCAGGGAGGCACGCTTTACTCCACGTTCTGTCCAGCGATGTCCAGCATCCACTTCATGGATGCCTTCTCAAAACTGCAGCATCCCACTCTTATCTCTAGGACCTTTCAAAGGTGTGGAGATCAGTTTGGTCTCGCATAGCATGCCAGTTGAGTATTGTCGTGTCAAAAGTGTCGCAAAGAGTATGTCAGAGGCGCCGAGCTCCACGTACTTCACCAGGCGTGCGAGGCCGCGTTCACGAGGAAATTCGAGAGCCCCCCCTCACATGTCCATGTTTTTTCCCACGAAGACTTGACAGAGGTCCCGAACAATGAAATTGCGGGTGATGACGATGACTTTGACTCGTTCTCAGAGGTCGGGGTGACGGTAGAACATCTTAGAACATGGCTTCAAACGATGCAGAGCCAGGGCTCGTCTGTAGCTACATGTGGCTACAGAAGTCGGGGTCAGGGCGTTTCGATTCAGAATGCTTAGTGAAGTGCCTAGTCAGGACGACGGCGTGGATGCTAGCCTTCCACGCACAGCCACTTCCGACGGTGAAGCTGAGCACGTGGTGCCTTCGAGCCGTGTCGACGTCATCTCGAAGCCAGCCTGTGCGGCTGGTGTTGAAGGCCCTAGAGTCAGCTGTTTCTGCCAGGTGTGTGGACTGCAGCCGTAAAGCCGTAAGTTTTAGATATCGTGCCTGGGCCTCTGCGCGGCCCCCAAATTTGGTACCGCACGCAACCCATTTCATACACAGGCATTGTTCTTTCATACCCCAAACAGTGCGAGACCATGTGAGCCCACATGTCCAGAACATTCCAAAACGATGACAGTTCTTCACATTTCATGAGCAGACGTCAAACAGTTTCGAAGATTGTCATGCGAGGCCCGCAGAACGGGCCCACACAAGCCCTGAACCCTAAAAGCCGTAAGCAAAGGGGATTAGAGGTGGGGGCCGCGACGAACCTTCGCATCGATACATCGTCCCCGTCCGCCAAGAACTGCATTGTCACATTGTGATTTTGACTTGCAGTACTAGAGACATTTTCAACTTTGCAGCTTGTTGGCGTGATGGTTTGAGTGTGTATTCCTCCGGGCCCCCACTTCATCCCTTCATCATCCTGGGTGTCGGGTTGGCTGGCAGGTTCAGATGATGGCCCTGCCTCAGAGGTGGCCGGAGCAGACGAGTACTGGTGGTGCCTTGTGTCGATATTTTCTTCACTTTGTCTTCCCAGGAGAAGTGCCGCAGCGATGCAGTTTTTGCTCGCAGTCGTGAGGAAAGCTGCTTGCAACATGTCAGTGCACAGAGGCTAGCGCAAGCCAGGCTTGAGTTGGATCTGCTGGGTCAATATTGACCCTTGCACAGGAAAGGCTTTTTTTGCAACCTCCTTCGGTGTGTGATTGTAATTGTAGTGCAACACGTCCCGCCTCGGCCGGCGGGGGGGCAGAAACAGTTCTCGACAAGATGTGCTAGGGGGAGGGGGTGAGTGAGGGAACGGTGTCATGTGGTGCGAGGGGCACTGGTGGGTCTGAATCCCGCCGAGCGCTTGCTTGGAGCCCCGGCCCCAGAATCCGGCCGATTTCTGGACCGCCCGCCCCAAATCCAGCCGAGAATCCGTCATCATCATCACCATTAGCCCCACCGTCAGCATCATCACGGGCGAGATGTCGATTCTGCCAGATTCTGCCACGACTTGGGCCTCGGGGGTCGAAATGATCGATTCAGAAGAGATTTCGGAGGTCTAAGAGGTTCAAGAGTGCTTCGAGGAGCATCTGCTGTTTTGGGAGACAGGTGGAGATTGGTATGTGGGGAGGTGATGGTCCGGTGTGATGGTGCGGTGGGCGTGCGGCTGGGATGTTGTGATGGGGGTGGTGGTGGTGGTGGTGGTGGTGGTGGTGGTAGTGGTGGTAGTGGTGGGATCATGGCACGGGCGTTCTGAGGTCACACGGTGTGGTTTGGTGAGTCGGGCGGTGTGCTGGGGAGTCCGAGGGTGAAGTGCGTGTTTGGGTGTCAGTGCTTGTAAAGTGGAGCCTTAAGTTAGCTTGAAGAACGCGTTGGTCTTGGTGTGGTGCCACTTGTACGAGGAGTTAGTGCAGAGCTGCACCGCTGAAGAGCTGCAGGCATTGGCCGCATTGTCGGTATCCGTATGCGTGCTGAGAAACCATGCTGAATGCGATTCAAACCCGGAAGGCATCAGGAGACAAGAGCATTGGGTGTAAGTACGACATCCGCTTCATGCTCGCAATGAGGCACAGTTCCGGATAGTTCCAGGTGCAGGTTCGTTGCGACGGAACATCGAAACACGTCGGAACTGGGCAGCCAGGCCTCCAGTTGCTGATTCAGAGACCAGCCTGCAGCTGCCTCGGTGCGAGCAGGCCAGGAAACAATTGCAAACTTTTCTATCTGTACTTTCGCTGACGCCAAGATGCTGCCGTTCCAGAAACTCTGTCAAACCGTCTTGTCCAGCATGTAGTGTCCTTGGACCTCGGTAAGTGTCGGAGCCCTTGCTGCAGGGTAAAAAGTGTTTCGCAGGTGCGACCCGAGGAGGATGTGCCAGACCTCGACTCAATGCCATGAGCTGCTCACATGCTGATGTGCTGGAATCTGGAAGTTTTGCAGCGACCCCTCCACAAGGACTTCTTGCGTCGCCGTGAGGACTCTGAGCCGAATGAAGAGGCCCATCATCTCCCTGGATGGAGTGTGTCCCATCTGGTCTTCACCTCTGTCCTTTTCTAGGAAAGCTGGCGAGCAACACGATCCGGAATCTTGGATCCTAACAGCGTACATGCACCAGCCGTAATCCACAACTGTTGTAGATTCGTCGTATCACTGGCACGAGCAAGGCGAAGCATCAAAGAATCGCAGCCGGACAGCGCAGGACACCGACATCGGCAGCGATGGGTTGAGTGTCGTACGAAGCAAGCTCCCATTTGTGGTTTTGCCTTCGTCTTGGCGTAAGCAGTAAGCTCAATTTTTGGAACACCGCACGCTTGTTGTCTCAGAATAAACCGCTGTCGCTGCCTTCGACTTGGCATTCACTTGCCACAGTCAGCGTTCAGTCGGTTCATGCATGTCCCAAGTGTCGCAGGCGTCAGCGGTTTGGGAACTGCAGGTTTGACACTCCTTCAGCAAATACGATGCAGTCTCTTGAAGAACACTTGAAGATACTCGCAAAGCCTTGGAGAGAAGCGGAGGGTTCCTTGATCACACTTAGAGCAGTCATCATCGCATCATTTGCACATCTTGCCGAATGTTGGACAGGACTCAAAGCAGACCAAGTCTGACAAGAGTGATAGAAGTACAAAGCAAGATGCACAAGCTTCGGCGATGAAGCTTGAGGCACGTGGTCATTTCCTTGCGAAGCGATGGCATGTCGGATGTGTACAGTTTCAACATACCTGACGTGCCGCCTAGCGGACCTCCTCAGTCCCTCCGCCAGGTTAGTGACAATTCCTGGGCAGCGCAGATCGCCAGAAGAAAGGCCTTAAGAATGTTGTCACTGCCTCGTTGGCCCTTGCTGTCTACGCAAGACCCTTGGCCCCTTTGCTTCAGGTTAAAGCGGTTGACAGTTGGTTAACAGTTCGGTCTCCATCGTGTGTTGCTTTGGGATGTCTCCCGATAAACGGGTACACAGCAATGATTATAATGATTGCATTGCCCTTCATTTGTTTGCTGACAGCTGTTTCCCATCATCTTTCTTTCCGCTGAACCAGGATTCCAGAGCTCCAGATCCGAACCAACCCCCTCCTCCGGGGAGGTTTCCCACAGTGTTGGGTTTCTTCCCGCTACTCGGAGGGCACACTAAGTTTGAGACCAGCTTTGAAGGGGGTGGCAGAATATTGACATTGGTGGAGGGGGCCCATTGTGTGCTGGCAATGGTGGAGGTGAATGAGGCCGTGATGTGAGTAGCTCCGGGTGCGCACAGGTCGGAGTGGGCACTTAGTATCTGCAGAGGGATCTGTGGAGAAGCGTGTTTGCCGCTATAGGCACTCGACTGGCGCAACTGCCCTGAGCGGAGGTGACGGTGTTCGCTTGGCTTAGTACCCTGCAGGGTGACCTCTGGGGGAAGAGCCGCACTGGACGAAGTGATCGCGAGGATGGCAAGCTGTCTTGCCTGCCGACCGACCGAAGCGATTCTTGTCTTAAACGTTTTTCCGTGGGATGCTCATCTTGAAGACTCGTCTTGCCGTGACCACGTGTCTTCTGTTTTGGACATTGTGTGCAGGGAGTTCCTGTTTCTTTGGGAAGCTCTATTTCGAAATCGAGACGTCGCCAAAACTTAGCAAACAATAATTAGGAACCAGACGAGAACATGAGCTGTCCGGACACCATTGTTTTCTGCGACAGGCACTCCTGTATGCCAGTGTGTCAGATATTCCAAGAGTTCCCGGAGAGAGTTTGGTTTATTCTTTTGACGCTACGCGACCCGCTTCGGCCTGGCCCAATTCAGTTCCCGGAGAAGGCGCTCAGCATGTGGATTCCGTAATCGCCTCCAAGCCAGTCCTCTGAGAAATCTGGGGCCCAGGGGGTCCAAGCTTTGGGCTACAAAAACGCTCAACCCGAAACCTCTCGCAACACCACGCCACAAGCGCCCCGACGTTGAAAAGGGGGGGAGGGGGGGTGGGGGTGGGGAGGCGAAGAATGCACCGTCCGCTCTCACACACCTGTCGCCTACAAGAAGTACCCATTCCAGGATAGAGGGTTCTTACCCTACCCAAAACACTTATGGCCCCGCATCCGCACCCCTTTTTTTTTGCCTGGAATTCCCCTAGGCGAAAGCGGACGGTTGCTGGACCCCCCCCCCAGCCCCCCCCCACCCTCAACACCCAGCCTGCACTTCGTTAGTTACGTCGACATATGGCAGGGGGGTGCCTGTTTTCGGGCTTGCTCCACTCGCATGATGTGCAGGCGCTGAGCAAAGAAAGCTCGGACGATTCCTTTGTAAAGAACATGAGAAGTGTTCTGAACAAGCTCACTGCAGATGCCTCAGGGTAAAGCGGTCCCTTTTGCTCACATAGTAGCGATGCTGTCATGTGTCTGAGGTTGAGAAATTCGACACGCTGTGCCGAACCGAGAACTTTAGCTATGTGCATGTGGCTTGTCGTGGTTGAAGATGGTTGCAGCGTATCTGCTGTCTGGCAAGGTCTGATCAAATCATAGACTTGGTGTCGCAATCGGACCGCCCCAACCACGGGATTCCTTTGCTGATGCAGTTGGTCTTCGAGAAGGCCGTGCTGTCTGGACAATCCGTCTGCGCACTGGATCACAGAAGTTCTGCAACCCCAAAGGCTACCACCCAGCACCACTTCATCAATATGTGCCTTGTCTGGCTTGTTGCTGGTAGCTGAGTGGCATACGGTACTTTTCTGGTGCTTTTCAGGTACGTGGGCTTGTGTGTTAAGCTCCACAAGTGGCTCACTGACAGTGACCACATAGATGGCGCTGAGCCGGAAGCCAACTTCAGATTCACATGTGAGGCAGCGGTACGAGAAAGTATTTTGCTTGAGAGATGCTAGAGGTCGCAAAGCAACTTCAAGCGCGTCCTTCTGAATCAATGTCAATCCTCATTTGAGCAGTGCCCCGCTGTTGTGTTGGGATTGCTAGTTTGTTTTGTTGATGGATCCTGCGAGGGTCTAGGCCCAGAAGGGAAGGCGTCAACTGCATGTGCCACCCGATCTCGGTCGCCTCCCCGATGCCGGCCATCCATCTCGCTCCCCTAAATGTGACCCTTCATCCCGCGATAGGAATCGATGAACTCGTTCGCCTGTTGCGTCTTGTTGCGCTTAGCTGCCTTCCTCCACTTTGCGCCCCTCGCCGCCCTTCGTTGCCCCGCTCCACCCGATCTCGCTCACCTCCCAGTTGCCCTGCATCCCACACCCGAACGTAACAGCGTCCATAAAGGACTAAGCGAGAACCCTAATCCCCTGAGGGTGTTTTTGGGAAACTTCTTAAATTCACATATATATGTACGTGCACACATGTTACTCTTTCTCTGTCACTATCATCTAGCCTTCACTTCTGCATACTTCTGCACTCATGCAGGCCTGCATGATGCCAGGTATCTGGAGCCTCCGGAAGGCTTTGATGGCCTTACAGGTGATGAGCTTTACGAGGCTCAGGCCTGGCACAAACCATCACATGCCGCCGTCTGAGCCGTTTGGCTGAGTCTGACACAGGTCAAGTACAAGACCAAGATGCTGGGCAACATCCGTCTAGTTGGTGAGCTCATTCGACATGGGATGTCGCAGACCTGGAGCACAAGTGCCAGCATGCTCTCATCTCTGCCACAAGCTCGATGGATGATGGATGCCACGTTCACCCCAGGCTGGCGCCAAAGATCGCCATCGCGGTGGCATCAGAGCTGGCTAGCAAATGCCTTGATTCTCCGAATGCCTCGCATCGGCAGGGTATGCCAGTGCTTGGTCAAGATCTTGGGCTAGAGTCAGGAGATGACCCCGCTGTGCGCAGCGAGCGCCTGGAAACACTAGCAACTTTCCTTGCGGCAACCTCAAACACTTCGTGGTCAGATCTAGACATTGCTGGCACACAGCTGTCTTGAAAGTTCTGCGTTTAGGAGACAGTTGGCGTGGCCCTTGATGACCCGAGCCGTGCTGGCATGGTGTTGAAACAACGGCCTATTGCCGCAGCACTTGGACCGTTTGGGAGTATAGCGCCATATAGCGCCCAGAGCAGCAGCCAGGTTGGAAGCACCATCACGAGCTCGAGATGGTCTTCGAGGAGGCAAGAAAACACAAACGTGAGCGCTGGTTCTTCATGTTTGAAAAGTGTTTTTGGGAAACGTTGACTAGGCGATCTTCACCTTGACCTTAGGACCTTGGCTTCGCCACATGCACAGTGTAGTCTCTAAACAACGCAGACAGGTTTTCCCTTGTTGAGCCGGCATCCATTCAATTCATATACGTCAACATGTGTAGAAATGCAGTGAACAGGCCTTTGGAGGTGTCCTGATTCCTGGATCGGCAAGTTCGTCCTCATGTTTGGGTTGGCTAACTCTTTCTCAGCGGATGTGTACCAAGTCGCAGAGCACAATTCGTGTCAGCCGCGCATGAAATCTAATGTGCCATGTGACGAAAATACAACAAGCACCACTGATGCGCTTGATCACAACATGTTAGAACCACCTCCATGATGGATCCTCGGATGGCGCATGATGACCTTTGCAGTGCTGACCTTTGCCGGAGTTCTGGACATTGCGAGACACCGGACATATGGCATACTCAGGGTACTCGTAACAGTGGGTGTGCGCAAGCTACTGGTGCACACAAATACCTCCCATGACATCTTTGTTCATGTTGGACCTACAGGTTCATGTTCTTACACTGCAACAGATTTTGATTTTAATGGAAACGTTTTCAAGCGTGAGCTTTGTTTATTGGTCAGGCTCCAAATCGAACAGGTTGAGTTTCGCTCGGTTGTTGAATGAAGGACTCTTTATGGGGCATGCTTGCCGTCCTCGCAGGTTGTTCGAGCCTGCTCTGATGATACTGTTCCTCGACGTGTTCGCTGCCTTCTTCAGGATGATGTTGCCCAGTACAGAAGCAGTTTCGAACTCATGAGTCAGCACAACATTGTCCAGGACGTGCTCGACCTGCGGAACGGTGGATGGAAGTCGAAAAGGCGCTGGGCATGCGCAATGCGGCGCAATGTGCGTGAGATAATGTGAGTTATATGAGCCAGTTCACGACCACAGCTGCAGCGCAGGCGAAAAGACCTTAGCAAGGAAACGCCTCAGACTCTCGCCCAAGTCCATGAGAAGGCATTGGATACCTGCGTCAGATGCAGGCAATAGACAGAATTTTGCGATTTGACAAACGAGTACCAAAAAGGCGAAGGCAGACCAAGTTCCGAGACGGGACACGAGCAAAAGCTTTTCGTGCCAGACTGAGAGCAGCGTAATTGAAAGGCAGATCAACAGGATCTTTGACCTCTTAACAATGGGGGGTGCAGCTTCTCCATGCCTCTCAGGTCCTGCAGGGCAGAGGCTGACTCTTGAAGTATCATTCGAGCTATCCGGAGCTTGAGCTTGACAGCCTTTGCGCTTGGCCACAAAATCTTAGCCGTTGCCTGGGCAGGTCTCATCTTCGCCATCTTGGACAAGTGTCAGGACGAAACAGGGCAAACCTTAACAAACCAATCCTGCCACTTTATATATTCTTGGATGACATTGGTATGCTTCGTGTATCCTCCCTATTCTCCTCCCTATTCTCCTCCCCACGGCAGGGATCTTGGACGACAGCTGTGACTGTCGCAGCTTTGCTTGTGCCACGCGCTCAAACTCATCCGTGCAGCAGACTTGCACGTTGAAGCATCCGCTGCCCGACAATGTATCCAGGTTAGGGTCTTTGGCAAGGCTGGACTTTGTCGAAGAAATCTGTTAATGAAGAGCATCATGCTCTGAGCGTCCGACGCTGTGACGTCTGACCACGCCGCGTCGGAATGAAAACTCACCCAGCTTGAAGAAGCTGGCCTGGGCTTTTACATTGATTTGCTGTCATCTGCAAAAAAGCCTAAAAGAACAGAAAAGAACCACACACATTAGTCACTGAGGAAGCACTTTGTTGATTTTTGTGCATCTGGCAACGTTCTTGCCTCTGCAGGATGAGACAGCTAATCAAGTGCTAATAAGTTCGCTGGAGGGCTCCACATGCGCCACGTACGCCAGTGCCTTGGCACTGCGTCAGTCTTCAGAAATTTCACAAAATGCCGAGATTCTCAGCAGACTCTAACTCTAGCTTGTGTCGCATCAGTTATGCCTTCTTCGGCGTTCCACAGGAGATTGCACAGCAGTAGCCTTACTGCCGAGGCCGATAAGCCCACCAGCTGCAGAAAAGAATTGGGTGTTGACGAGAAAGCCAGAAACATCATTCAGTCTTGACTATTTTCTTGCAGCTGCGGGGTAGTTCGAATGGCCATTGACAAGTCGCTTTCACGCGTGTGGCTGTATCCCGGCTGCTCAAAATCGATTTCCCTTCTTCTTGACTCGTCGTACTCATTCACTTCGCGACATGTTGACGACAAGCTGAGCATGATCATACACGATGAGAGCAGCCATTTGAAGGCACGGGTTTAGTCGATTGCTCTGAATCTAGAAGTCAATTCAGCTCGGTCGCACTTTGGAATGGCTCGCAGGGATCTGAGCCTGGCGAAGACGTCGTTGGGGCCAATTCCGACGTCATCTGGACTTAGGTTCGAAGCGGTCGGCTTCCGCAAGCCCAGAGCGCGGCCGGAAGCGCCGCAAAGTGGTCTTAGTGAAGGCGCAGGCCACGTCGTCGTGCGAGCTTGCTCCTTCCATTCCTTGGTGGGCTTTAACTCCATTTTTTCTGACCTGTTGAACAATCAGGCGGCCCAAGCGGCAGCGGAAAAGGCACTCGCACTCGCCAATCCGGTTTTAGATGTCACAGTCCCAGCTGTGCAGGCAGTGAAAGAGAAGGGCCGGCACCTCAACGAACGCATATATGGCAGAGTTTGGCAGAATGTGGCATAGGCTGTTGCATTTACCTTAACAGCGTTTTCCGCATTCTCCTAGGCAAATCGAAGCCCAGACCAAAGCCGTCGCCAATACCTGGCGGCACTGCAGGCAACGCCTCCTGCTGAAGACCCGTCATGTGCTGCCATGTAATGCTATGTGAAAGTCCGAGATGTGCAAGGCAGAATTCTGGAATGGCTGGGACATTCACAGCGCCCAGACCGCTGCTTGACGGAAGTCTGGAACGAGCTTCTCTGAATCATTGTTGAATCATTGTTGGCCCTCGTCTGTCGCAAGGCTTTAACACGGAGCGGGCAGAGGTGCAGGCTGCGCAGGCACGAGCTCTCAGCTGCTTTTTCCTGTGTGGTGCTGTTCGAGCATGTTCGAGCCACATGTCAGGTCCCAGCACAGCTTGCCCCCAAAGCCAGCGCGACCCTAATGGCGAACTGCTTTGGGTTGGAAGCTTGAGATGAAAGACAAGGCGTGGCGTGGCAAGTCTGTGCTGAGGATCCCCTGAGAAAAGCCGCCTAAAACCAGGCAACGCGTTTGAATCAATAGAGTCAGTCTTGCTTGAGTTGCTTGAATTGCTTGAATTGCTTGGGCCAACAGCACTTGCGCGTATCACTGTTGGCAGCTCCGCGGGTGGATACCGCAGCCAGTGATGATTCTGAATCATCCGCGACAGAGAGCAGGACCTTCCATGCAGTGGTGTGGGATTTCTTGCTGAGATGGAAGCCCGCAGAAGTAGAGTCTAAGTAGAGTCTAAGTGCCCTCGCGCGTGCTCACGTGTGCTCTCCGAAGGAGTAGCAGCCCGTCTCGAAGTCCTTCCCCAATTATGGCACCGGCCGTCGTTTGGCGCACAGACTTGTGGCAAAGTCCATGATGGGATGTATGAGGAGATCTAGAGGGGAATGGAGACAAGACATGTTACAGGGATCATGCGGTCTGGAGCCCTTCGTCAAACTCAGGACAAAGCAGATCAAGAAGAATTCTTATGCAGTGCATAATTGTAAACGCTTGCTCCACAGCCGGGCCGGCCCATTTGGGGGGGGGGGTCTGGGGGGGTCCCAAGGGGCGTCAGGGGGGGTGTGACCAGTGAGGGGGCAGCAAGGTTCTAGCCACAAGCTTTCCAGTTTCTCGACAGGCGGGAGGCCCAACAGCATCGGTCTGCGGCTCCTCAAGCGATCCGGGAGTAAAATCAGTGTGGGGGGAAGGGTTGGGAGGAAGTGGAGGCGCATAAGCAGCATTCACAAATCAAATGCATTCGTTTTTTTCGCATAATTCACAACAGAGGAAGCAGGGACTCCGAAAGGGCCAGAGGCCCGCTTGCAGCGCTGGAATTGCTGAACCTTACGTATGTCAGGCCAAGCAGGCGGAAGTCAAGCGCGAAACATGCAACGCCAAAAGAGAAACCTGATGTATAGAGCATGCTGGAGAATGCGGAGACTGACTCGAGCTTGAGCTCTTCGATGAAATAGCACGGCCTAAACTCACCTGTTAGGTGCCGGCGCCACCCGCCCCGAAGGTGACCAAAAGGCACGCAGTTTTTCTCTCTGTGCTTCTCTCTGTTCCTCTTCTTGATTCCTCCCACCATCTGCGCCCAAGCATGCTCAAGCTCAGTGCCGCTTGGAGTCTCAGGCCAAAGGCTGCGTCACCAAAGAAGGCCATCTGTCGGGCAACGCGATCGGCAGCGTGATAGGCAACGAGATGCAGGTCAAAAAAGCGCTCTCCGCAGCGCCGCCTGCCGCAAGCGCCACAGCTCCTTCGAAAGTTGGCAGAGCAGATGGCGTGCGATGGGGTGCGTTGAGAGGCCAAAGCCAAAAAGGTTGCGACAGCCGAACCTAGCTTTCCATCAGACGCCAGCTAAGTTTTTACAGTGAGGAGAGTCTGACGCGGCTGTGGGTACTGTGCTGCTCTCGGTGTGCTCTTGTCTATCCGAGGTGAAGAATGTGAAGACCAAGAAGGCATCTGCAGAGCCCGCTCCGGTGCGCCACCATGATGGCCTGCACAGATTACTGCATCTGCAGCGAGCAACATCCATTCAGAGGTCAAAGCAAAGAAGGCTGTGGATGTGGATCCCAAGCCAGCAAGCTCCGGGCCGTCGGCCTGAGTCTGAGAAGTCGTGAGCTGTCGAACGACATCGAACGACTTGTTCATCATCTTGCAATGTGATCTTGCACAGAAAATCAGGTGCAGCCACCCCCTGTCGCTGGATCGCAGCCGGTTCCAGGCTTAAGATCTGCATGATGTCGATGCAGGGGCATCTAATGGCATCTATGTCATCCTGCAGCAGCCCGTGTTCTTCACCTAAGCCAGTCTGGAGGGGGATTCGGCACAGTTGAGGAATTGTCTGAACTGGATCATGCGGGCCTACAGGCGAGTTCTTCAAGCTTCAGCACTCGTAGCGCACTGCATGTACCGGACTTATGATGAAATCAAATAGGATGCAGTATTGGAACGTCTTCGATCACTCTGCGATAAAGATGTCGAACCGAAGGCAAGCCGGTCGGAGTGAAAGCGTGTGCCCATGTTTTGCTGTCTGGTTAAGACCCTGTGGATGCTTTTCGAGAGGTTCTGGCTGAGTACATCGTAGTTCTAGCGCAGATGAACAAAGGCCACCTGTGCGCAAGTGTGTAATGTGTAAGCGTAATTCGTATTTCCTGCCGTTGTAAGTTCGCAGGCCCAGAACACCTTTCTGGTGAGCTGGAGGCTTTTTTCTCGGACAAGGCTGTTCTGCAATTCTTCGGGCTATACGGAGCGGAGCTTTGCTCTTGTTCTTTTTTGCTGTGCGCTTGGAGCTTGAAATTGAGTCCTGACGAGGGGTCCCCAGGCAGACGTTCTCTCAATATTTATTGGGGCCCCGGCTTGGCTGGTATTGCTGGAGATATTGGTGTCATCACAGAAAAAGCACCTTCATGTTCTGTTGATTCGGCCATCAATGCTTTCGGCCCCCCCCCCCCCCAAAACAATAAGGAAGGCAGAGTTCCGCAATAATTGGACCATGGCCCTGCATTGATTCTCTATTAAAAACAATGGGCTGCAGATCCCTGAGGTGCTGTAGCTTCGCATCTCCGCAAAGAAGCCTGCTAACAGAGTTTTAGACCCCCCCGAAAACAATTTCTTTAAATGTGGGGGGTTTTCCCCATGCGAAATCCCCCCTAATGGAAAGCAGTCTTCCGGCGAGCTTCCGGGCAAACCAAAATTCTTTAAATGTGGGGTATTAATTAAACAGGTGCTCGGATTAGGTTGGGGTTTAGGTTGAGGCTTCCCGTTGCGAGCACGCTGTTTTCCTGAGTTACATGAACTGCAGGCGTTGCTTGATTCTTTCGTGCGATGGGTGGAGGACTTGCGAAGTCTTCTCTTGATGCCTCCTAGTATCTCCTAGTATCTCCTAATCCTCGTGGACAAAAGGACTGCAAGTGGTCGTTTGTTCCTGGTGGACAGTCGTCGACGCCTCGAAATTTCAGGGCGTCTCAGGCATAAGAAGTCGCGGCAATGTTGTGATAGATGCCCATGCTACAGACACACACACACATACACGCACACACACACACACCATAAGTCAGCCAATGGTCATGTCTCAGGCCTGCAAAGCTTCGGCTCACGACGGTGCCCAATGCCAAAGGCACGAATCTTCCTGATGCTCCTCTAGATCGTGAGTTGGTAAATGCTTCTGAAGGTTCACAGCCGGTAGATTTCTGGGGCGGCTTGGCTGCATGTCAGTACTCTAACACTCCAAGCCCACAATGTCCACATGCCTAGGTAGCCAAGAGGGCTCATGAGATGATTGTTTCGACAAGTCTTGGTTGCAACATCCGGCAAAGGCCCAGCTCCAGTGGATGAGACATCAAATGGGTCGCGCTTGGCAAGCAAGACAGTGGAGGCCCCGCGTGGCGCCAAAGCGAAACAGAGCCAGAGGAGATGACGAGAGCATACGAGAGCATGCCGGTGTAACGAGATGTACCGAGAAAGCCTGCTCCAAAGCTGTGACATATCGCTCATTCGTGTTTTTGCTGTAGCCGCGGGTTTTTCTGCACCTTTGTCTTCCCGCTTGCCTCACACCCAGTGCCCTTTGCGTAGTCTCCCAGCAGGCGGCGCCTGTCGGACCAAAGACTGTCCGTCGTGGCTATGGCACCGGTTCCTTGCCTAGTTTAGCTCAGAGGTGAAAGACACTGAAAAGAATTTCTTGCAGCTGCTGGTTGAGGTCCGCATGTGGCCGTCACTAGCCGTGTTGTGCTGCAGCCCAATCCTAACTTTGATGCTGCACCTCCAGCGAAGGCCTTGTTTGCATGGCTCTCAAGCGTTTTTAAAGTTCATCATTGTACCTGCGTGCAACTGTGCGCACTTGTGTGCGTTTGGTGCGTGTGATGCAGGCTCCGACTAGCACTTCAGTCTCGAAGGCCGCAGGGCGGAAGGGGATGTTTATTTTCTGGCCAGGTGCTGACATCCGAAGCGTTTTATGCGTGATGCGTTGTTGTTCAGGTTGCTTCGAAGGCGGAGCTCTCGGAGTCTTGTTGATGTCGCTGCAGCTTGCCTTCAACTTGTGCATGCTTAGGTGTCTTCGACGCGCACTGCACAATATGCCGTGCCGCCGCCACACACTGCTGAAGCCCAGAAGGCGGCACAAAACCAGATGGGCTGAAGTGCTTCACTTTGAACATCTGCTGGGTGGTTCAGAGAAACTGCAGAGGGCAGGGGAAGATGGGAGCCGGGTTGTTATGACGCATTTGACAGGTTCATCTCCTGGGAGACTTGACCAAAACGCTGCAGCTCTTGCCTCGGATCTCCTCGGATCTCTGTGCCTCGTTGCATTGGCAAACATGTTGCAAGCCACACACTCGGGCAAAGGACCATTCTAACAAAGTTGCAAGACAGAGAGCTGCCTGACAGTCAGCGGGAGCAGCCGCACCCTGAGCCGGAGCGGCAAAGCTTTCCAGGTGTTGGCACTCCCATGTTGTCCTTCAGTTCTTCAGGTACCAGGCCATGGCTGACAAGATTCACCTTCGGATCAAGGCCATCAACCTGCCCAATGCAGCTCCTGCCCCGACGAAAATGCGCTGAATCGCTATGATGGAGGATGAGCTGCTTACCAAGGCCCCCCGCCGCCGTTGAAGGGCCGCCGAGCGTGTCGTGGGATCGCTCACAGAGGTAATGACAGGTAAGCACAGGCATAGCCGAGGCGTAGCAGTGTTTCAGGTGTTTCACACGTTGATTCAAGTCTGCTGTGGATTTGGCAGCAAAAGAGGACACACAGCGTTAGATTTTAGATATCTTTGTCTCCAAAGGCCAATGATTCTTAAAGTCTCCACTCTCTGGGCCCATCAGTCAAGTGCCTGAAAGCCTTTGAGTGCAGTGAATGCCTTCAAAAGAGAGCAGACACAAACCGCAGGTAGCATGACATAGCTCGCACCCACAGTGCATGTACATATATATATATATGTGTATATATACAAGGTGTATATATATATATATAAGGTGTATATATATATATATATAAGGTATATGTATATTTATATTCTTACCTACATCTATATCTAGATCTAGATCTATATCTAGATCTATGTCTATATCCGTATCTATATCTATATCTATACCCATATCTATGTCTGTATTTGTATCTACATCTATATCTATATCTGTATCTGTATCTATATCTATATCTATATCTATTTACATCTATATCTATATCTATATCTATGTCCATATCTATATCTATATATGTACATATACATATACATGTATATATATATATATGCTTATGCTATATGGCCCCTTGTCTTGCTTGGCCAGGCGAGGTAGTACTCATAAGTAGTACTCATATGTTCTTCAAGGTTACGAGGGGGGGTTTATACGCGCACGAACGATGAAGGACAGCTATTGGGACTCCTGCGAACAAAGTAGGCCAGAGCTGCCAAAAATTGGTAAGACCACTGAAATCCATGATTGTCATTGAGTTGTTTTAGGGATTTTCTCCATGCCTTCAAACCAAGAAACCAAACAAACAAAATCTGACACTCTTTACAGTATCGGCTTCTCCAAAAGGTCCTGAAAATTGACACTTTGGATCGGCGGTTTTGGTGCCATTTTGCTACGCAAAATTTTCATGTAGCTGGTATAAATCAGCTTCAAAAAGTCAACTGTCATGTGCTCAAGGGGGCCGCACAGTAAATACCTCATGAAGCGAACGATCACTTGCTTAAAGGCTATATGCAATAGCTACATGTTCGGATCCTCCATGAGAACTCAGAAAGCCCGTTTACCTGCCGCAGTTAATCAAACTTGTCTTCGCTTAGCATATTTTGCAGCTGAAAACTGCTGCTCCCTGCCCTAGAACCTTGTGCGTGTGTGTGTGTGTGTGTGTGTGTGTGTGTGTGTGTGTGTGTGTGTGTGTGTGTGTGTGTGCAACCTGCTGTACATGCAGGATTGGGGTCACGCCCTTTTTCAGTTTCATGCAGGGGGACGCAGCACATCACTGGGACTGCGTCCAACGAAGCTACCAGTGATGTGGGAAGCCGGAGTTGGCCGCTCCGGTGTACCTGCTCAACACAGATTTGTGACATCATCCATCGTGTATGCTGTGCATTGTTGAATCTATCGAACATCATCGCTGTGCAATTCAGAATGAACCATTTGTCGGACCATGTCATTTTCGAGGCAACTGCCTTTGCCTCGGCCCACAGCTGTGCACATGTCGTACACATCAGTTACCGAAGAGGCTGCGCATCAAAAGTGGTTGGGTCCATTGACGGGCCTCGATCACAGCTCGTGAGCCGACTGTAGGGCGCTGATTCAGTCAAGGCCAGCGACAAAGTTGCAAGATGTTTTTTGAGGGTTCTGTGATGCTTGATGTTGTCCAGTCGAGTGTCCGTCTCATCAGTTCCAGACAAGTCAACGTGTGTATGGTTCTGGCGTGTTGTCCCGTCGCGGGGCCAGATCCCAGAAGACCCGGGCATCCGGGATTGACTGAGCTCTGCTGACTGAGATATTCATTCATCGGGATCATCTGCAGTAGGCTTTGTGACATGAGTGAGTGCGAGCACAGACATGTCATCGGGATCATCCAAATTGCAGACGCAGGGGTACCCGGACGGCACTGCTTTTGTGATCTTCAGAGTACGCTGTCCGCTGTGAACAGGTGGTTTGACTGAGGCTGCATCAGGTACAGACACATGTCCTCCCCGCTAGTGTTGGTAAAGTGGTGTTGTCCTCCCTCCTGTTGTTGTTGGTGAACTTCCTCTGCACCTCTTGCCGTTGTTGTTCATGCGCGTGAGTTAACATGTCTCTTCTGCTAATGGTGGTAAAGTGGTGCTGAACTCACTCCTGTTGTGGTGATGATCTACCTCGCGCGTTCTCAGTCTCAAGATGTTTGACCTGTCTTTGTCCCGTCCGCCCTACGGGGGCATGATGCTGCCATACGTGATGCCCATGATGGCCGGGCAGACACCTTATCCAGTGGTCATGCCGCAATTTCCTCAATTTCATGCGCAGCTTCCTGCGGGACCTGCTGCTTATGTGGCGCCCTCTGCGCCCGCTGAGCCTGATGTGCCTGCGCCAATGCAGACCGCCCGGCCTTCTAGACGTGCTGATTCCCCCGGGTCCAGCACGCCCACTTCGGAGTTGATGCAACGCCTGCGGCACCGGGATAAACGCCGGCGCAGATCGGCGCCGGATGTGATACCGACACCTGCACCGGTGTCTTCTCGAGGAGCATGTCCCCCGTCGCGGTCCAGGTCTCGGTCACGCCAAGGACGCAGACGCCATGATCGACATGTACGCCGCCGTCGACGCCGCAGCCATTCAGCCTGCCGAGAGCGCTCTTCTGACCGCCCTCCCCTGCCGCGACGCCCACACCGAGGACACCAACGCACCAGGCTCTCTTGTCCCCGTTCACCCAGCCGGCGCAGTGTTGTCCTCCTTCCAGCACGCAGCCCCCTCCGCCCGACCCGCAGCCCGGCTTCAAGACCGCCTGCTCGCCCTCCTACCCCTCCGCCCGCGCCGCCCAGGCACCGCGCCACCCAGCCCAAAGCCGTGCCCAAGCCCGACCCCCAGCCTACAAGTGTTCGACGAGGTCGAGGAGTTGGCACTTTACATCGTGGACGTGGTCGTGGTGCCCAACATGACCCTCATTGGGAGCCGCAGTCCAGTGGATGGTGGGGAATGGCCAGCGCGCCAGATCCCGATCTCATTGTTCGACCCTATGTGCAACTTCGGGCTGAGGAAAAGGTTCCTCTGATCCCTTATGCGCCCGAAGACAGCGACCGCACGGTTCGAGCCCTTTGTGATCTGGACGATGGTCTTGCTGATGGGCTACTCCAGATGGTGGCCAGGATTTTGCACTCCAGCGGCGCTATCGACCATGCCGAACTGCACAAGATCGAGATCATCGATGTCGCAGAAGGAGCGTACAAGGCTTTGTTGATACCGCTCGACTACAACTCACCCTTGCCCTTCGGCCACACCCCAGGAGCCCAGGCCCTGGGGAACACATATGACTACGTCTGGAACCACGGTACCGATGAGGCATCGTGCTCCCTGATCCTCCGTGAAGAACTAGTGCGTCCAACAGACGCTGGACAAGAAGGCCTCCATTCCGTGGCCTTTTATTGTCAAGCAACTCAAGGGAGTTTCAACAGGCACACGGTCGCGAATGTGATCGACAAAGAGCTTCGCATCAGCAAGGGCACCCATGGATGCCACATCCTCGGCAGCTTTTCCTCCAAAAAGCAACATTACAAGGTGTCCTGGGGACAGGCGCCCGAGGAACAGCGCATTTGCGCCCAACGTGGCAGCGTTCGGACACCAGATCACTGGGCCTTTTGCAGTGTTCATGCTCATATCCGAGCTTTGGCTTTCCCCCTCCCTGCGTGAGGGTAGGCACATGCAGCATTGGACATCCTGGTTGCAAAAAAAGGCGCGTTCCTCGTACGCTCCATGCACTTCAAGCAGAGGTCCATAGTGGATTTGCGCGCCGAGTAGAATTTTTCACATGTTCTTTTCACGTTCCCTCAGCCATTGCAGTTTTTGATTTGAGTTTCACGTTTAGGCGTCCGTTTCACTCGCCATGGATCGCAGTCGCTCGCCAGCGCCCAGAACTGGCAACCTACCACTCCCCCCTCCCCCCCCTCCCCCATTGGCGACATTCCCTGCGCCCGTGCTGCCCACCATGACGCACCCCTTTCCCATCACGATGTGCCCACCTGGACATTCCCAGCCAATGCATGTGTTGGGACAACATTGGACAGGTGCTCCGCCTTGTGGTTTGCAGAAGCCTCGAGGCCCTTCGCACAGCGCACCGTGCGCGCACCCAGCGCAAGATCTGCTTTCCCCGCCCCGGTCCCAACCATACCAGCTTACGCAGACCGGGTGCCTCGGAAAGTCTTCTGGTCCGCCGGCATCACCAGGGACCGCCGGTGCTGTACTGCAAAGGACTCAGCAGCAATTTAGCCTTCCGGACTCATGGGCCGCCGATGCAGATTTCCTTGATGCAGCCCGCAGCATTGGCAATCTCACCTTGCCGCGTTATGTGCAGCCTACAGCGTGGGCTCGAGCCGAGGGTCTAGCAGGTCTCGCAGTGGAGAAGCTTCATCCAGCGCACTTGTTGTTTGCAAACTGGCAGAGCTACTGGTTGAGACATCTCGCGCACGGCCGCGAACTTTACCTGCTAGCCGCCAAAAACAAGGGCGAGTTAGTGCTCGCTCAAGAACTGTTGAGCTTGATCCGGTCTCGCAGCATTGACATCGAGGCTGCGGCCACAGCGCACGCAGTCGCTAGTGGCCAGTCTCAAGCGAAAAATCTTGCAATGAAACAGGTCGCTGCGCTACTTGCAGACCAACTGCAGAGTCTGGTGCCCACAGCCACAGACACAGAATCCCAGAAGCACATCCGTGAGCTTGAACGGACTGTGGCCAACTTGCAGCAACAGTTGGCAGGCAGGGCCCCTGACACGCCTCGAAGTCCTGCAAAAGCCCCCTCTGGTGCAGGGGAAGGGTCTCAGTTGGATGCGGCCCCGCATGATCGTCGTACACCTGACACCATCATTGACAATCCTGCCTCCCTTTCTAACCCTAAGAAGCAGACCCCGCTCAATTTTGCCAAGGCTTCCTCTCCGAAGCCTGCAGCTGGCAGTGCAGGGCACACCGATGCTCCTGCCGAGGTCGTGCCGGAGGTCATAATGAGCCCGCCCGTTGAAGGCTCAAGTTGGCTTGGACTCAACATGCCTCCTAAGACCTCGGATCTTGAGCTTAGCAAGTGGATCGCTAGCTTGCCCCTCAACTCTCGTAAAAAGGAGGAGCTCCATAAATGGCTCCAAACTTTGGAAGAGTGGGCTGATTCGCAGGGTGATGATTTTGGGCCCAAGGTTCGTCGAGCAGGTGCCATTTGGGGAGTGCCTGTCAGTGCAGTCAACAAGATTTCAGTAAAAGCTATCGTCAAGGTTCTGGCAGTCGCCTCCTATATGGAGAGGTGACTCCGAGCATTTTGCGAGACTCGCCCGGGGGTCCGCCTGACACCCCTGGAGCGTCGTGCTCTTTCGCATGCCAGGCAGTTTTTGGACGCCCTTGCGCCTCACATTTTGCACTTAGATCAGTTTGCATTTGGAATCAGCCGCTGGTGTGTTGCCAGAATCACGCTTCTTGAAATCATGTTCACTTTTCCTCATTCGCATGTATTGAACAGCGTGTTTCGCCAACTGCAGCTTTTTCCCCACGATTTGACCTTCTCAAACTTTCAGACACCTAGCCGAGTCTACATTCGCATCTCTGCTTGCAAGGAGACAGCCAAACTGTTCTACGTTGGCAGCACCGAACAAGCTGTACACCTGCGCGAGGCCACCCGGTTTCGCAAGTTCAAGCAGGTCCAACAGGACAAACTCGTCTCTGCAGAGTTGTGCATCAGATATTGGCACAAGATGGACAATTTTTGGGACTGGGTCACTGTGCCAGTCATGTTTCGAACTGATCCAGACCAGCTCCTTGGTGCCGAACATGCCTTGATTCAGACCTTGCAACCCCCCCTCAACTACCCATACATTGCTCAGTGGTTCAGCCCTAAGCGAGGTATTGTTGGCAGTCACAACTTAGGCAAGATTTCCCATGATGGGCTAGGCAGACTGTATCGGAAAAGGCGAAAAGCTGCGACGCTACCCAGTCGCTTGGGTTACCCTCCCATTGTGGCTGCTGTCGTGGAATCGCCTGTGTTTCGTGACAAGGAAAACACCTGGCGCCTCCTTGCGCAGCTTGGCAGCAACACCTTGGCCCGGTTTGAGGCCTCGAAGCAGATAAGGTCTCATGCCTTTGATTTTGCCACCCTGTGTCTGCTTCATAAGCTGGCGCAACATCTTCCTGTGCACCTGGCTTCTTCGGCCAAGCAAGCCATTCAGCAGGCCATCAGATTCAAAGGCTTTGAGCCCCCGCCGCATGGATGCCCGTTGGTGATTCCATTCTTGGCGACCAGCAACTTGAGAGGTCGTATGCGTGAGTTGATGCGGCAGTTCATCACTGCCAACCGACCTAGCCTCATACCATTCCACGTTCCACGCACAACTGTGGTCTTTGGCAAAAACCCCAAACTGCATCAGAGCCTGTTTACCCACAAGTTGGCCCTTCGGTCTTGGGCTCGCGGGGAAACGCCCCCTTGCATGTGCTCTCTCATTGCACGGTTTGCGCCTGATGCCCAAACCTTCGCAGGTCACCTTGCCGCCAGTGGCGACCAGATGAACCGCCACCTGCCGCCTATTGCGCAGCGGATCCTTAGATCCAACATGAACAATGCCTTCTTCCCCAACAGGGAACGTGCGTTTGAAGCTTTTGAAAAGGGCGTACGGCGTTGGTTGTTTAGGCACCACTTGCCGCAGCAAGTTTGCGGCATCGCCGAGATTTTCTCGGAGCTGTGGGATTCCCACCTGCAGGAGGTGGGCGCACGCTTTCATCATGGCGTGCTTCACGCCCTGAAGGCTACTACCAAAGGACTAGTTTGGCACTGTGAGGATCACCACGCCCACCGGGCCTTATGTTATTGTCCGCAGTTGTATCATGACATGCTCACCAACACATTTGTGCATTCGGACATTTTTGCGCCCGTGGAGGGGCCTATCGCCGAGTACATTCACGGCAATTACAGAGAAGCCACAGCACGGTTTCGCAAACGGTACCCCTGGGCTTTTAGGGCCACCCCCCGCACGCCTTACGCCTTCGGGCTCCCGAAGCGAAAGAAAGACTTTAAGGTTGCCCGACCTATCATCAGCTTTGTCGGCGCCTTCATGAGGCCTCTTTTGGAAGCAGTCGCCAAGCTGATTTTCCAGCTCACTGCCGTTACTTTCCCCGAAGCCTTCGCGTCGGGAGATGTCTATGATCTCATCCGGGAAATCCAGGTGTTCTTTGCCCGCATCGACGAGCAACCCGACAACCCTGAATTTCAGGACATCATGTGCCGCAATCAGGATTTGTCGGGTTTTTTCACCAGTGTCTCCGCCCAGCAGTTCCATGACGGGTGGGAGTTCTTGCTCGGAAGGTATACACATTTATTTGGATGCCAGCACGATGCATCCTTCACCATTGATGTGGTTCAGAGAGAGCAATCTCTTCGCATCTTTCGAGGAACGCGCCGCAAGCGAGCCAAACAACATGTCTGCATTTACATCCAGGATGTCGCAGACATCATTTCTCATGCTCTTCGCATGCAGATTTTTGGCATTGCTCACAAAGCCTTCCGCCAACTCAAGGGTAGCCCTATGGGCTCGCCCATCAGCCCAGCGCTGTGTTCCATGGTCATTTCTGGACTGGAAGATATATGGAAACGCACCTTTTCCAGCCTGCTTCGCAACATCTCTCTCACCAGCTGTTTCTTACGGTACGTTGACAACCGTATCTTGTTCTGCCCTAGACACGTTCTTGTCCAGTCTGGCATTCGCCTGCTACAGAACCCACAGTTCTACGGCCAGGACATTTTGCTTGAAGACGAAATGGAGTTTGATTTCCTTGGCTTTGCCATTGACGTGCAGGGACGCAGAGTGATGTACCGCAGAAACCTCACGTCCTACGACTTGATGGACGTACTCAGTGCGTCTCCTGAGCACGTTCTCGTCAGTGGTGTACTGGCACGCGCCAGCGTCATAAAGAAATGCTCCTACCCAGCAACGCAGCGACACGCTGATCTACATTACCTATGGGACCAGGCTCAAGAAGCCGGGCTCCCTGTTCATGATTCCAGAGTCAAACGAAAGTTTTTCAGGTGCAAGGATCGCTTTCGCCCCGAAAAGACCTTCGTGCTTATGATGTGCTGAGGGTTCTTTGCATTTGGACCTGTGCGTGTCATGTTGCATTTCCGGCCACGCAGTCATTTTTCGGCCCGGGTCTCCCTGCCACGCCTGGCGTTGTGATGTCGATCGGCGTTCTACAAATGATAGTGCAGTGACATGGCCAAGGACGCCTATTGCGGAGGCCCGCTGTCATGTTGCATTGTGTTTTCGAAATGAATTGCCGACAGGCGCCCGACGTGCTGATCTATGTTATTTGTGGGACCAGGCCGGAAAAGCCCCATATTCACCATTTCAGATCATGTTGGCCGAGCCAACCAGCCTTTGATTTTCAAGGATGTCACTTGGCGCTCTACAAATGGTATTGCAGTGACATGGCCAAGGACGCCTCTTGCGGAGGCCCGCTGTCACACTGCATTGTGCTCTCAAAATGGATTGCCAACTGGCGCCCGGCATGCTGATCTATGTTACTTGTGGGACCAGGCTGGAAAAGCCCCATATTCACCATTTCAGATCATGTTGGCCTAGCCAACCAGCCTTTGATTTTCAAGGATGTCGCTTGGCATTCTACAAATGGTATTGCAGTAACATGGCCAAGGACGCCTCTTGCGGAGGCCCGCTGTCATACTGCATTGTGTTCTCAAAATGGATTGCCAACTGGCGCCCGGCAAGCTGATCTATGCTACTTGTGGGACTAGGCTGGAAAAGCCTCCATATGCATCATTCCAGATCATGTTGGCGTAGCCAACCAGCCTTTGATCTCCAAGGATGTCGCTTGGGTTCTACAAGTGATATTGCAGCGACATGGCCAAGGACGCCTATTGCGGAGGCCCGCTGTCGTGGTGTATTCTGGTTGCAATGGGTGCAACCGCCAGATATCGGTTGGTTCGACTTTTACCCCTAAGCTTGACAACGGACCAATCAAATGACCAAGAACAGTTTTGGTCCGCGTTCTCTCGGCATTACTGATAGTATTGCCACACATGTCATTGTCAACCTTGGATTTCGCAGCGACATGGCCAAGGACGCCTACCGCGGAGGCCCGCTGTCACTGTCGTGATACATCGTGGTTCCCGAAATGGATGATTGTTTTCCGCCTGTAGGAGGCTTTGGTGGCATTACTGCGAGCACGCGTTGTCGCCTGTGTCATTATGAAACTTGGATGTCGCAGCGACATGGCCAAGGACGCCTGCCGCGGAGGCCCGCTGTCGTGCTGCATAATGGTTCCCAATATGATTTTTCCGCCTGTGGGAGGCGTATGCGGAGCGCGAACGATGTGGTTCCGCATATAGACGGCGCTCCTAGACAATTCCGCCAGCGGGAGGTATGATGTTGCTGCCTGTGCACTCATGCAACGGCTTTAGCTCCCGAGTATCATGTCTTTCTTGCAGCCGGTTCAGCACCTGCTTTGGTGTGTCGCCCCACGGGGCATATGTGTGTGTGCAACCTGCTGTACATGCAGGATTGGGGTCACGCCCTTTTTCAGTTTCATGCAGGGGGACGCAGCACATCACTGGGACTGCGTCCAACGAAGCTACCAGTGATGTGGGAAGCCGGAGTTGGCCGCTCCGGTGTACCTGCTCAACACAGATTTGTGACATCATCCATCGTGTATGCTGTGCATTGTTGAATCTATCGAACATCATCGCTGTGCAATTCAGAATGAACCATTTGTCGGACCATGTCATTTTCGAGGCAACTGCCTTTGCCTCGGCCCACAGCTGTGCACATGTCGTACACATCAGTTACCGAAGAGGCTGCGCATCAAAAGTGGTTGGGTCCATTGACGGGCCTCGATCACAGCTCGTGAGCCGACTGTAGGGCGCTGATTCAGTCAAGGCCAGCGACAAAGTTGCAAGATGTTTTTTGAGGGTTCTGTGATGCTTGATGTTGTCCAGTCGAGTGTCCGTCTCATCAGTTCCAGACAAGTCAACGTGTGTGTGTGTGTGATATTTATACGAACTTAGCCAGAAATGGTAGGTACATCGGGGGGTTTACATATGTATATACGTGTATACCTGTCTATATACATGCATGCATGTATATATCTACATATTTGCACATGTATTTCTATATATGATTTGTATGTGTGCACATGCATGTACGCCGTTGGACCCTAGGCCCTAGCAATATACGCTCTGCACGACGATCCAACAGACCAAAAGAGGCGCCTTCGCGCATTGATGTTCGCATCTTCTTGTGGTTCTGCTGCTGAGTTGGCTCGAACCCACGAGCCACAGCAGCACCTTTCTGCCAAGTTGTTTTGTTTGACTACCAAACATGTTCGGTGCCAAGTTGGCGAGCATGGGCCAACGAGGCATCCATTCAAGACAACGCTCGATAAACTGAGGCATTCCGTCTTTCAAAATCCAGTATCTGAATTGCAGAGGCACGAGCCTGTGCCTCGAGACATCTCGACAGATGAAATATGGCCAGTCTTCCGAGCTGAGGTCTTCACCCTCCAAACGGCCACTGTTTCGGAAAGCCTGGCCAGGGTCCTGGTTCTTGAGGGTTGGACATTGCCCCTATGAGCTCGCGACGGCCAGGCTCCGCATATCCGATCACGCAAGTCCTTTCTTCTTTGGAAGTGGGACTGAGCCTGGAGTCCAGGACAATCTCGTTGAGGCACCAATTGGCTTTCGAAAGTCGGCTTTTCTAATGTTAGCGAGACACGACCCGCCTTGGCCGGCCGCCGTTGCTCAAGAGCACAAAAGAGGCATATGGCACTTGTGAGCTGGTTGGATGTGGCCTGAAGTTGGACTTTGCAACCCTAGTGAATTGAACCCTGGAATTTTGGTGTCCACAAATGCCCCCTGGTCCTGACGCACCTTCCGCTCCCAGATGCCGGTCGGACCGGCGGTCAAGTGAAAAAAAGTGTTGCGCAGCATCTGCTTTGAGGAGGATTCGGGGGACTGCTCCTCAAACTCCTACGGCCCGAGGTTTCGGGGGATTGTCCCTTTCGATCCACCCATTCTCCTTGCGTATCATTCATCGAAGTTCCTGGAGAGGGCAAAGGGTAGCCTGGTATCCTCCGAGGCCCTAACAGGGATCGCACTCTGGGGAACAAAGAACTAAATAAATAAATAAATAAAGATAAGAAATATGTGTATGCCACGTCGAGCCATGTCCTTGAAGTTCTGTGTCGAGGATTTGCTTTGAAATTCGTTGGAGGCTACGTCCCCCAGAATGTGCTGGGGATTTCTTGAGCCCACAGCGGTGAGGTGGTACGCCGAAACCCTGCAGCGGCCACCCGCCTCCTGCACACGACATCTTTATTCAGCCAGCTTCTCGAGTTGAAGAGTTGCCCCGGTTGCCCGCGTGTTGCCCTGCTCACTTCATGACTCACTGACTTTGGACTAGGCTCCATCGGCAACGCAATCTCTGCCTGCAGCTGCTTTGTGATCCCCTGAGTTTCCTGCCGACTCTCTCATCAGCTTGGCTCCCTTTACCCATGCTATGCCTTTCGTAAGGTGTTCCTGTGGATGCACTGGCAAGTCTGCGCCACCTGTGATCGCCCTCTGAGGTTGGCATACACTTCCGATCAAAGCAGTGCAATACAGTAACATGCGCTGCCAAGTTTAGCAACTTACAAAAAGACTGGTTTGCCAGGTGGTGGCTTCTGCTTCAAGCATGCCTGCAGCTTGGGCAGTTGCCTCTCGAACGGCAAAGCAGTGTACGCTCTTTTCACTCAAATCCCCCCTGAGAGCCGCTTAAGTCCTCAACCCTTGTTGTTCGGGCCCCCAGAGAGATACCCCTGAAGTCCCAGAAAGCGTGTGATCTCGGAGGTGCGTTCAGGATTCTTGGGGCTCAGGCACGGCTTTAGGAAGCGACAGCGAATGATATTTCCGTGATGCTTTGCGTGTGTCGGTTTGAACCACGGCTGGACTCCAAAAGAAACCTGTTGCTATGACCTCCAAGTCTTCATGCCCATGTTGTTTGTTTGGGGTCACCGGCAAAAAAGGTAGAAATCCTGTTGTAGTTCAGTTCTCGAGCTCAGGCCGGTTCGTGCGGTGCTGCTCTACAGCGTTCGCGGCGTGGAGGCCCACAGACACTTTACGCCTCTTTACTTGAGACATAGAGCTTTACAGGTCCGGAAGGCCATGCAGATCCAAGGTGTCACTTGAAGATGACCTTGCAGTAAAGGAGTAGTCACATACACATCATGCTGCTGCCATGAACTCACGCTTCGTGTTTGTTGGCGCTGGAGCCAAGCATCGAGCATCCTCACCGTGGACATTGGTTGTTTTCCTGAGCCGAACCGTCCTGCCAACTCGAACAGCAAACTACAGATTGAGCAGCACAGACATGTTTTATCTCGAGAGCGACATCCTGCTGTGTTCAGTAGATGTGCGTACGACTCATTCACGTTGCCTGAGCAGGAGTCTGGAGCTAGCTTGGAGGCAAGTTGATGTCAGAGTTTCCTGAAGCACTCCATCGTGTGCCTGCATCTTCAGGATTTGGTTCTGCGCTTAACTTCATCCAAAGCTCGAGACTTACGACCCTATGCAATTGCGGCACTGTGCCCATGTTTTAGTTTTTAGGCCTTCCAATTGAGGCCTGGCATCTTAGCAAGAAGCTGGCGATCTTCCAGCAGCTTGGGCAATCCAGTTCGCAGAAGCTTTCAAGAAGAATTCTGAAACTTCCAAGGTATGGCTGGTTTGTGCTGGGCATGGTTTGGTGGATGCATACGGACACCTGCCCAGACTGCCCTGCAGTCTCAAAGCTGATGGTAGCTGTGGGATCCCAAGTGTGGCAAAATTGCAAGCCTTTTGGTTTCAAACTGTTGGTTTCCCTGGTCACCAAGCGTTCGGGGCACCTGCTTTGCTAAGCGCAGCTTTCTTGTTTGATCTTAAGGGTAAGATTTGAGGTGTCATGAGCCGATTGTATGAGAACAGATTGGGAAGTTCCATAACGGCAGCTCCGAAAGACAACATGCCCAGAAAGACCTGCAAACACCGCTGATTCAGAACTTTCCAGCCTTTAAAACTTGGCGCCGAGGGCCCCCCCCCCCCATGATATCCCCCGTCTCACCCATGGTGGTGGGGTTTAGGGTTTTCAGGTTTCTGACTCAGTGCTCTGAGGTTTAAGGGTTTAGGGTTTTATTAGACTTTTAGGCTTTGAGGGTTTGAGGGCTAGAGTTGTCATTTCTTTCTCAGGTTTTCGGAAGGGTTTGTTTAGGTTTTCGGGTTTAGGGTTTGAGGTGGTCGGAGCCGGGGTGGTTGGAGGGTAGGGCATCCCCATCGACGAGGCTAGTGCCTTCCTGTTAGTCTCCCAGGGCAGGGCGGGCAGATGGCACGGGTGTTTTGCGCGGGCTTCCTTCCTGATGATATGCCTCCGTAAAGGGTGCAGTGTCGCCCAGTCCCCCGCAACCCCATGCTCCCCCAAGGTATCCCCTGTGAGGGGTTTAGGGTTTAGGGCTTTGGGCTTAGGGTTTACGGGCTTTGGGGTTTGAGGGTTTTAGGGTCAAGGGTTTTCGAGGTTTTGTGGGTTTTGCGGGGTTTAGGGTTTGTTTAGGTTGCAGGTTTTAGGGCTTAGGTAGAGTTTTGGGGGTTTAGGGCTCAGGGTTTTAGGGTTTAGAGTTTAGGGTTCGGGTTTTGGGTTTTGGTGGGGAGGGCAGGGGGGGCGGGGGGGGTAGGGGGTGATACCATGGAATGGTGGGGCGCTGCTGACACGGTGACACGGAACCACATATGGTCAGGCGAGTTCATGTTAATGTAGAGAAGAAATCGAGGTTTTCTTCTGGTACCAGAGAGGTTTCCCATGAAAAAGTGTGTTGCGGATCCTTCTGCTGCGGGCATTCTCTTGGGGGGGTCTCGGATTCTCTGCGGGGTTCTTTGCAGGGCACTCCGGGGATGGATTCTTTGCAAGATGCTCTCGGATTCCCTTGGGGGTAGGAGCTTGGGGCGGGCAGGCTTCCCGCCATTCTCCGCATCGTCATGAAGCTTTGTTTGGTAGGTCCTGCTAAGTGGGGCGTCATTGCTTCGTTGAAGTTGCGTCATGGAGATTTGCGCAGGCTGTGCTTCTTGAAGGCTTTCTACTTCGAACCTAGTCCTGGGGTTGAGGTGTAGGAGGAGCAAGTCGTGGTGGCGAAACAATGGAGTGCACAGTTGTCCCTTCTGCGCCTTCCCATGGGCTCCGAATCTCTTAGGTCATGTCCCTTTCCGCAGTGCGGGCGGCTGTCGCGATCGGCATCTTTCGGGCACTCTTTCGCGAGGGTGATCTCAACGAGGCGACATGACGCAGTGATGGCTCTCTCGAGATGGAAGATCATGCAGTAGCTGAATCGTTGCTTCAGGTTCCGGCTACAATGGGGGTCAGCTTCTCAATGGCGTGTCTCCACTTAGCTGGCTGCCATTCCTTTACAGCCCTTTGCTGGTCCCAGGCCACCAAGACAGAGATCAATGCACTTCCTGCGTTCCGCTTGACAAAGACTGTTGAGAACGACCAAGATGTGCCTGTCTTACAGTTCATTTTACGGGCTTCATGGCTATCTCTCACTGATCCTGATTGTGATGCACGCGCGTGCAAAAGTGCCTCGCCCGCCCCTCCCCCCGCCCCAAATGCTTTTGATGAACAGTCCTGAGTCCTTTCCAAAGGCGCCTTGCTCCATTTGCCTCTCGGGGTTTGTCGATGGTACGCTGCTTCGAAGGCAAGCGATTCCTGATGCATCGGTAGGGCCATATACAAGAATATGCTGGGTCCCTGACTTACGTACATGGAAGGTTGCCTTGCGGGCACGAATTTCATCGTCACTGCATTGACAAGTGGTGAGGGCCTTTAGCATCCGGTGCATTTACTCAAGTGCACGAGTGTTGGGGATTCTCCGGGGGATTGGCCTTACTTAGGCTTCGGCGCAACAAGCGCTGTCCCTTGTGCATGACATCAATCGATTGCTGCCCCGGGCTGAGCTGGAGCTTGGTGTTACTGTGCAAATACGCCTGCGTTCTCCGCTGCGAAAGTCCCGCAAAGCAGAGCAAGTAGTGGAGTTGGACTCGCGGAATGAGGTATGCCATTACGGCATCGGACTCCTGACCGGTGCAAGTAAAACGCTCTTCTCCGAGCCTTGCGCCGAAGCAGCTGTGGTTCTGCGAGCTGCGACTGGCTCTCTCTCCACATCGAACATCCATATCTCCATGATGTCCTCCACGACTTGAGTGCATGCAGGGCACCTGAGCGAAAAAACGTCAATGGTCGAAGCTGCGCTTGTCACACAGGCTTGATTCATGTCATTTGTGATGGGGTTGCATGTTTGTCGAGTGGTATTTTCTGCTGTCGGGGCTGTGCAATCTTGAAGCATGACTGGTTTCGCGGGGGTCGTGGGAGTCTTGACTGGCTACCCGAAAGCTGCTGGCTCCAAGTCTCAAGGGCCATGTTAGCTTCGCATATCTTAGCATATTCATCTCAGGACCTTGGTGCCACATCCTAAGCCTACGACCCAGAAAGCAGTTGTTACACAGCTGCACGGACAACTCACTCCTCAGCTGCTGTCTTGCTGGGGTTTTGACAAGAACCCATGTGCAATGGGACACGGCTTGCGACGGGCTGAGATGACCGGTCTGTTGATCCTGCTGAGTCTGCATGTGCAGAGTCTGCTGAGGGCAGTGCAGCAGTTTTGAGAGGTCGATTCAGTGCTGCCAGCAAGAGCAGTTGAAAAGGCCCGTGCCCTGCCTCGGACATTTTCTGACGAATCTTGATCATCTCAGCGCGTTAGTCCATGCCTGCAGGTGTGATGGTGAATTGCGCACTGGTTCTCCCCACTTCCACGTCTGCGATGTGGATAAGGCGCTTCAGCGAAGAAGGGCTTTTCAACAATGGCGAGCCATGGTCAGCCATGGTGAGCCTTTTCTCATGATCCAGGTTGAGTGGGGTGGACACAGTCATTTGTGCTTTGTTGCTGAAGCCAGTTTGGCGCAAGGGTGCGAAGGGATGGTTTCAAGACTTCAGGTTGTTGTCGCGATCGCAAGAGAAATCGAGAAAGTTTTCCATCGAACTTCACGCACAACTAGTTCAGAGTTTTCCAAATTCCCTGCTGCCGGCCCTGCCGGAACGGAATAATCCTGTGCCACGGTGCCTCGGAGGTGAGGTTCGAGGTTTGAGAAGTGGGCTTCCGAGTTGAGGGTTGAAGCGTGAAGCTTAAAGTGAGGAAGAAATCCACCCTAGCTCCCAAGACAAGCTCTAAGCTCGCACATCAGGACGAATGCTTGCCCGAGCGTGTCTATGTGGCCAGCTGGACTGAGAGGCTGTAGAGAGCGCTGAGATTGCACATGATTGCACTGTTGGCACACATAGCGAATCGCTCACGTTTCGTTTGAGTTTGTGCTGCCTTGCAGTTCAAGCGCGCAGCTGGTCGTCGACGATGAGCGGGGAGAAGACCCGAGGCATGTACGCGAGGCGCGGGCACGGGTGCCTCGGTTGTTAGGAAGCCGCCCTCCGTAGCCCAGTTGTTGCTGTTGTGCTTTGCTTTACGTCTACGGTGCGTGTTGCATTTTCAGCATGTGGCGCCAAGCAGGAGCTGCACATGCAGACCTTGAGCTACTCGCCGGAGGGGGCCCCCAGAGCAGACAATTACAGATAGCTGTTCTACTTCTTAAGATGCCTGGAAGTTGCTTGAGTTGCGCAAACGCGACTGCGCAAGAACGTTGCAAGAAGGTCAAGTACGAAGAGTGCGACACAATTGACACTGCTCGTTCTCAAGAACGATATTCCAATGCATTGGCCGGGAGCTGACCGGAGACAGTCTGTGTGACACTGCTCAGAGTTCTGGCCGTACCACTGAGACCCCGCAGTTCTGCAAGGTCCATACGGCCAGAATGAATACACGACGGCAACTGCTTGACAGACAGGCCTTTGTGGCTACAGAGTTTTGTGGCCACAGCTCCGGAGCTGAATGTTGTCAGCAGCTATGCCCTACGCCCTTGCCGTTTAGCCTGGATGTAGCCCCTTAGCCCAGCAAGAATCCTGAGACCTAGTGGCAGTGCCAACTTCTACAACCGACTGGTTCGTGCAAACCTGTGCCGTTTACAATCCAGCCGTCCTGACATGTCAAGCGAAATGCTGCTAGTTCAATATCCAAAGCCTGCACATCTGCCGTCAAAGTATTCAGCAAATGCTAGGTAAGTTGAGTTTCAAGTTTCATTAGAAGTGAGTGCAGGGAGACTGCGGATAAGATGGCAAGGTTGGCAAGCAGTTGTAGATGGCTTTGGCATCGCAATTACAAAGCGCCGCAGGCCTGGCTGAATTCTGCTGTTCAAGGCAGATATGCCATGTTGCTACTGAACTCTCCGGAGGCGGAGGCCTGTGCTTCCTTGTATGTTCCCCCGATGCCGCTGAGATCTGAGAGATTTTTGCCGTGCGCAAGGCGCATGGGGCTCCGATCTGGCGTGTTCCGACAAAGCAGTTGCCCTCAGATCTTGCGAAAGCCGGTCTCGAGTTGTTAGTCGGACGCTAGTGAGGCATACTGAAGCAAGTTGTTGCATGCACAGGTATGCTTAAATGTGCCTCTTTGTCCCTCTGCATTTGCATGCTCGACAGACGATGAGTTGGCAGGTACTATTTGGACCACAATCACTCTTCTTTGCCCGGGGCTTTGGAGCATGGTGATTGTTTTGCGGCCGTGCCGCTGACAAGCCCAGGTTTTTGGTAAATGTCCGACATTTTGGCAGAGCCGATGCCGAGGTCTTTTTCTCCTGGAGGGACAGATGGAAGCCATCTCGCCATCATGATGGATGCTATCCAGGTGGCTGGTGTCCTTCGGCATCTTTGCTTTTGTTCGCGTGTCCCTGGTGAACATGCATGGAAGGGCATATGTTCTCTGACCGACAGCATGATGCTGATTGCACAGGCAGGATGTGCTCAAAAAATGTTAGTCCAAAGTTTGCTGCAATGGTTTGCCTCAACGGAGAATCGGATCTAAAGTTCATGTGGAGTTTGCTTTGGAACTTGCCATTCGTTTTCATGTTAGTTAAAGAAGCTGTCTGCTGTCTACAGTATCGGCATGCTTCGCAGAACTCGGTGCGCGCTGCCAGTGGGAGTCGCATTTGACCGACGTGGAGAAAAACTGTGGAGTATTGCTCAAGTGCCCAGAAGCAGTTGTGCTTCACGATTCATTTGCTGCCTGGAAAGCGCTTCGCAGCTTGATCGCATCGCACATCGCAGGGTGCTATGCAGTATCAGGTACCGCTGCGATGATGCAAAAGCATCAGGATGCAGCGGCTGTGAAGTCTGCTTCCTGGAAGAGTCGGAGGCGGCGAAGGTGCGCCGATGTGTCGCTCTGTGGATTCCACATGCATGTCATCGCACGATCTTCGGCTCGCCGTCGCTGTCATTGTCCGACCTTCTTCCCAAGCTCTGTCAACACGTTTGCGCGCTCGACTGTTTTGTATCCTGGCGTGAGTCGGTGGCCTCGTTAGAATATGTTAGAATGCAATCACAAGCCTCTGTCCTTAAGAAGCGTGCACTTACACATTTCAAGTAGGCTGCAAACTCCAGGCGATCGTAAACACGCCATCAATGTAATTAGCACTGCAGCAAGAGAGCGACTTGATATTCGCTTATCTGACTGACGTTTTCACAATCTTCGCATACTCCGAGAAGAACTTACACATACTCGCGCTGGGACACCGCAGTTTCTTGCAAAGCTTATACGGCGCAGTGCAGTCACCGGAACGTTTCCGAGTTTTGGAATGAGTAATTCATGAACATGTCATTGCAGTCTCCAGCTTGCTTCCATTTTTCTCTTGATACGAAGTAAGGATGAACTCAGGTTCGTGGTTTTGTGCCATTTTAGTGGCCAGACGTTGTGCACGCGACAGGGCATGTGTTGACAAGCTTTTGCGCTTGTCTTGTTTATTTTTGCTTTTGGATTACAGTGATACAGTCATTGCATCTTTTGGGGCATGGCATGGTCTTCAGTGTCTTCAGGACATGTTCATTCACAGTCTGACGGTGCTGTGGCTGGAGAAGCGTGAGCCCTACTGTGCGCTCATTCGGCCCCAGCTCTGGTGAGTGGATAGTTCGCTGCTACACAGTGCTACAGTGTGTTACAGGCCTCAACCGCACTCCGCCTGGTTCTGAGTTTCACAGGGCCAACACCAACCAACAGCCCGAAAGTTTGGCTGGAGCGGCGTTCATCGACGTGAAAAGTCGTGCGAGAACGGGCCAATGCTTGTGCAAGTGTCATCTGGAGCGCATGTCAAAGAATGTGGAGAATTGTCGGAGCCGTGTGGCACAGCATCATTAGGTTGCCGCCGTTTGTAGCCAACGACGATCACTGAATTCCTGGTGCCATTCTGGATTTGTGAGATAGCTGAAGTGTGTACCTCCCCTCAAAACCTTCGGCCATCTCCGACGATTCTATGCTGCACTGCGCATGCTGAGTGCCTGTCAGAATGATCGTGCAGCAAGGGTCACTTGTCTCATGCACACGACAGATGAGGATGTCGATGGGTGCGTCGCGCAGGCAAACGGCAAAATGTTGTGCAAGCATGCCGAACACCCTAAGCATGCTTACCTTTACAGGCCAGAAGGCCTGTACTAGACTATTTCTTGTCTCAGGGGGGCACCCCGCAAGAAGTTGACCTACGACAAGCCCGGCTTGACCGAGGACTTGAAACCAACAGTGATGCACATGTGCCAGCAGCTTCACACTTGCGATTTCCTGACAAATTCTTGCCACTTGCTACGCTTTGCAGAGGACGAAATCGATGAGATCAAAGAAGCCTTCAATCTCTTTGATACTGATGGTTCGGGCACCATAGACCCGTGCGCCACACCCCGTGCATTGCGCTAGATGAGCCAATGGTGTACGTTACGTCGCTACTTGAGTGGAGTCGCACGCAGGGGCGAGCTGAAAGCAGCGATGAGATCGCTTGGATTTGAGACCAAGAATCCGACCATCTTCCAGATGATCGCTGACCTGGATCAAGATGGTGGCGCTGGCATGTCTGCTTAAGATCGCCGGAGCGGAGATGCCTGCTTTATCCGTTTTTCTAGATGTTGCATGTGCCTTCCTGTGCCTTGTGAATCGAACAGCTGTTCGCTCCTTCGCTGGGTTTCTGATTGCAAGTCAGCTCCGAACCACCGTGTCGTGACTGCTGTTTTGTGGTGTCCGATTTTTCATTTTCGTTTTCATGGTTTCAGTCCTTGGGGGGGTGGAAATGTCAACGCGCAAGGGCTCTTGTGACATGGAGGGAACTATTATAGGGGCAGGTGAGGCCCGTGCTTTTCCCGAGACGGTCTGCTTGTTTAGGCTGCTTCTCCATACTTTTAGTGCGCGTCTTTGCATGTCAAGAAATTTTTGAAGGCGAGAACTACTTCTCAATTGCGAAAGGCGTCCCTTCTGACGTGGGGCAGCCGCACACGGGGGTGTTGCCGATTCACGTCCTCTCGTCGTTTCCTGCCGCTTCATCGATTTCCGAGCTGAGGAAAACGCATATAGTCCTGTGAGAGATGATGGCAGAAGTCAACCGTAATCTCCAAAATGACAGACGGGAGAAAGCACAGGGTCTAGCAGACTCCCAAATTTTTCCAGTAGTATAGACGATTCAACTTCTCATTGGCAAACGTGTGAGAAAGCGCCAACGCATCAACCCTGAGCTCCGGAAACCCTGAACCCGTCTGGATCCCCATCTGAACCCCCATGAGCTCAGGCACGAGGTCGTGGTACAGAACGTAGTACGATGAAGAAATATCATCCTTCAGCGACCAAATTTAAGTGCTTTGAGTGTGTTTTTTTTCAGTCAGCTCCATGAAGATCTGTTTTTGGCAGGGACTGCAGCCGCTGACCCCCCCCCCTTTGGCAAAATGCAACCCAATCGCAGCCACGTGGATGCCCCTCATTCAAGACAGACGAGGAACAACAAAGCGTACCCTCACACATTGCCCAACAGTCAGGACAAGCCACAGGACAAATCGGGCCCTTCTCCATGCAGGAGCACCAAGTCATGTCCCCATCAATGCCTCGCAGTCAAGGCAAGCCAGATGGTTAAAAACCAGGACAGCAGGGTCGGTGAAGAGTCGGTAAACGTGCTGAACAGGGTCAGGAGATGCGCAGCAACATGCACCTAGCAGTCTACTCCAGATGTGCAGCTGGCGATTCAGAATGTCACGTAGAAACATGATGATCGCACACCAAGCATGCCAATGCATCAAAAGCTTCAGTCTACATGGATGTGCCACTTTTGGCCAGTCCCTTATTGCACGAAGAACATTTTGTTTCCTCTATACTTGTATGGGAATTCTTTACCTCTCTATCTCCAAGAGGAAAGCTTTCATTTTGGTCTGAATTGAGGATCTCGAGTCACTCGGCATGTTTCTGGAATTTCTGCTGTTACCATAAATGTCGGAACGAAACAGTTATTGTAAGCTGTAAATGGACCCTTCATTGCCTGTGCATTTCATAGGACTCCTCTGTTTCGTTTACACTGCCTTTAAGACGAAGAAATCTGTTTCCGGCAGATTTGATTCGAAAATGCCCCTCCTCCGTGCCATAAATGTCGGTTGCACGCTCGTGACAATTGGCTATTGTGGTTCGAGTCTGTTCTTAACTCTCCGCAGAACATCGTCAGGCAATTTTGCACAGTTTCGAGACACTTCTCCTGATTCTCGTCACCCTGCTGGTTCATGACCTTTTTTGCCTGTCTTTTTCCTGCCTCCCGGCTCGTTTATTGACTTTGGGGTTCCTGATTTTTCCGACGTCCGCCTCATTTAAAGGCGCGCTGAGCCATCGAAGCACTAGTGTTAACACTCAAATGCTCCGTGCCTAGAGATGTGCACAGGGGATTCTGAAGCGACTTTAGTGGAGCTAGGTGTGCTTGCCAGTGAGTTTTGAGCCTTTGTGCAGGGTAACATGGATGAGCAAGTGTAACAGATTAGCCACAAGCGGGCTTCAAGTTGTCAACCCATGAGTAGTCTGGGGCTTTACTTCAAAGGCAAGGAACCCGCTTTTCGAACCGCACGTGACTGTGCAGTTGTCCAGACATCCCTGACAAGCCTTGACAACCGACTGAGTTGGCGGATATATATGGACATCTCCATATTTCAAAAACCGTTTCTGTGAAGTTTGACAGCATCCGTTTTCGTCAGGAACAGCCATCGGATTCGACGATTTCTTAGATGCCATCACAGCAAAGCTGGCCTCAGCCTTACTCAAAGCCGAGGCCGTCCTCTGCAGTCATTTCAATGCTCACACCCAGGGCGACAAGGAAAGCCGAGAGGGTATCCACAAAATCTTTAACCTGTTCGATGATGACAAAACCGGGACAGCTTGCGGCATGTGTGACCCCTTCGAATGGGCATGAGGCTTAAGTTGCCATTGTGCTGCCAAGAAGTCCTGGCACCAGGACTATCACCTTGAAGAATCTCAAAAGAGTTTCGAAGGAACTCGGTGAAACAATGACAGAAGAGGCGCAGTTTGGTTCTGCGAGTGCTTCTGCATTTCAGTTACATGCAGAATGCTGTGATGTAGGAGCTCCGAGAAATGATTGACCGAGCTGACACAGATGGAGATGGCGCCATAACCCCTGAGGACGACATGTTGTGCGAGAGGTTCCAGTGCCATGTTCCTGAGTGCGAGATATTATTGATTCTCAAGGACTTCTACAACATCATGACGAAGAAGACCTTTCCCTAGGACTGTAGGGGGGTTGAAAGCCGTGGCCGTGGAGCGGCGTGTGAATATGTGTCTGTGGCATTGCGGGGCTGCAATGAGAGAACACTCCTCGTTCGCTTGTGGCCACCGACCGCAGGAAAGCGCGGCTTGCAGCTGACCATGGCAAATCGCAGCACAAATTCGTTGCTTGATCCTTGCACAGCCATCCGGGGATTCCAGAACTCAAAGCTCGAGCTGGCTCTGGAGACTGGTGTGCGCGCTTTCCGCGCTTTAGAAAGGTTGAGGATAGGACGCAGGCATGAAGCAGTGCCAGGCAGTGCCGTGCTTCGCATGTAGCATAGCTCCTCTGATCTCCATTTTGCCTCGAAGACAAGAGATCTGCTCATTTGCCCATCCGTGTAAGCCAACAGCATCTCAAGATCTCTATTTATGTCTGGGCAGATGGCGGAACACCTGGTCTCGAGGTTGCCAAATTAATGCAGTACCGCTTGCGGCATGACCAGACAGACATGCATCCAAAAGCAGATGTTGTAATGACGGAGCCTCAACATGTGGGCCACTCTGACATGCAGAGCTGTACTTCCTTGAGTAAGTAGGCCTTCCTGCACAGGCTCTGCAGGGTTTATTTGAGGCCGTTACAACGGGGAGGGTTGATGTCAAGAGCTCGTTGAGGATCGTTTCGTCTGATGTCTAATTTCTGACCTCCGTGAGGCGCCGCGTTTCCGCTTTTGGTTCGAAGCTTCTCGGAGCTGCCGAGACATGCTGGAGGCACATGGAGGCAAAAAGGCACCTGCCCCACGCCCCCCCTCCCCCAACTCATCTTGCGCTGGTTATGTCATCAGGCAGAACATGTCGGAAGAAGAGAGTGGCAGTGCTTGACTCCCGAAGTGAACAGTCCTAGCCTGCAACCTGTAGCTTCCATGGACCACGAGTGCTCTTAGATCCTCAGGCTGGGGCATCGAACGTTGTGCCCGCTGTGCTGTTGAACCCATGAACATGCCCCAAATTTGTCTTCAACTCGGTTCTCTTTCCGAAACTAGTCATGTGGGAGTGCACGGAGTGCACTTTTCTGAATATACTGAGCATGTCTATACATCTACTACAAGTTCATATATATATATATATATATATATTTTTCATGGCTACCGCCAATGCCGCCGACCCCGACAGGAGGCCCTAGGGTTTACACAAACACCCCCTACATTGCGCTTACATATATCCATAGGTTCTAGAGTTCAGGGGGGGCGAAACATTGAGTCTTCACGCGCAGGGAGTTGGCGCGCAACCTTAAACCCTAAACCTCACACCTTAAACTCGAAACCCTGAACCCTTAAACCCCAAACTACTAAACCCTCAACCCCCTTAACCAGGAGAGCCGAACCGGGGTGAGGTGGGGGGTAAGCGGTGATGGCGGGGGGGTGGGGGGGGTTGGGGGCAGAGGTGAAGGGGTGAAGGCGGGGCGGGGCGGGGTGGGCGGGGTGGGGGGGGGGGGCGGGGGGGGTCCGGGCATGCACTGCAGCCCCTCAAAACTTCATTTCCAAGTAAAAGGCAAGGGGTAGGGGTGAGGTGGGGGGTAGGGGTCCGGGCATGCCCTAAACCCCTGACACACTTCATTTCCAAGTAAAAGGTCAGGGGTAGGGGTGAGGTGGGGGGTAAGGGGTGAGGGCGGGGGGGTGGGGGGGGCAGGGGCCAAGGTTGGGGGCAGAGGCGAAGGGGTGAGAAGGGGTGAGGCGGGGCGGGGTGGGCGGGGTGGGCGGGGGGGGTCCGGGCATGCACTGGAGCCCCTCAAACACTTCATTTCCAAGTCAAAGGCAAGGGGTAGGGGTGAGGGGTAGGGGTCCGGGCATGCCACACTTCATTTCCAAGTAAAGGTCAGGGGTAGGGGTGAGGTGGGGGGTAAGGGGTGAGGGCGGGGGGGGGTGGGGGCCAAGGTTGGGGGCAGAGGCGAAGGGGGGGCAGAATCAAAGGGGTGAGGTGGGGGGGCAGTGGGCGGGTGGGTGGGGGGGTGGGGGGGCCGGGGGGGGGGGGGGGGTTGGGGCATGCACTGGAGCCCTCAAACACTTCATTCCAAGTAAAAGGCAAGGGGTAGGGGTGAGGTGGGGGGTAGGGGTCCGGGCATGCCTAAACCCACTTCATTCCAAGTCAAAGGTCAGGGGTGGGGTGAGGTGGGGGTAAGGGGTGAGGGGGGGGGGGTGGGGCCAAAGGTTTGGGGGCAGAGGCGAAGGGGTGAGAAGGGGGTGAGGGGGGGGCAGGTGGGCGGGGTGGGTGGGGGGGGGGGGGGCGGGGGGGGGTGGGGGGGGGGCATGCACAGCGGAGCCCCTCAAACACTTCATTTCCAAGTAAGGCAAGGGGTGGGGGTGAGGTGGGGGGTAGGGTCCGGGCATGCCCTAAACCCTCTAACTTCATTTCCAAGTAAAAGGCCAGGGGTAGGGGTGAGGTGGGGGCGGGGTTGGGGGGGGGTAGGGGTCCGGGCATGCCCTAAACCCCTGACACACTTCATTTCAAGTAAAGGGTGAGGTGGGGGCGGGGGCAAGGTGGGGGCGGGAGGGGCAGTGGGCGGGGTGGGCGGGGGGGCGGGGGGGGGTCCGGGCATGCACTGGAGCTGATTTCCAAGTAAAAGGTTAGGGGGGAGGGTGGGGGGGGGCATGCGCTGGAGCCCTAAGAGGGTAAGGGTGAGGTCGAGGGGGGTGAGGGCGGGGGGGTTGGGCATGAGGGCAAATGGGTCTCACTGACGCCTCCCCCGCTAAAGCAGGGGTCGGCGGATATGTATGTATGTATGTATTGTATGTATGTATGTATGTATGTATGTATATGTATGTATGTAGTATGTATGTATGCATGTAAAACACACCAATAGAGGCGGCAGACACCAGGACGAAATGGCCTGGTCTTGCTTCCTTATAAACAAATATGAAATGGCCACAAATGTAGATCGTGCTCTGTGCTTCGCTGCTCTGTGTTGTGGAAGGCTTGAAACAGGAGAGCAGTTAGGTTCACAAGCGAGCAGCTGTTGCCGGCGTTGGTGTGCGCTGTGGTGCATGCAGTTTACATCGTATCAGATGCAAGCTGAAAGTGCATGCTGCCGAAGAGCACAAGTGGCGAATGCAGGCGCAACATGCGATGAGCGGACATGAAGGGCCTTTCAAGATAGTCATTGGGGCGAGGCTGGAAGTCTTGCACATCGGTAAGCTGGACTGTGCTGACTGTATGCCTGTGCCGGGCTATGCCGGGCTGCTGAGGGACGAGTCGGCAAGACTTCGCTTTTGCGGCAGTTTGTCTCGAAAAACTTCAGCGATCAGGAGGTGCGTGCTCGATGCAGAATGGATGAATGCTGAGCAAGCAAGCCTGCCAGGCATCCACCCAGTCTGCGGCCTACTTGACAAGGTACTGCAGCTCCGAGGCACTCAGGCGCATCCTGCAAATCAGTATCAGTCAAACAGTCCCCAAGCGTGCAAGCGTGGAAGATCACAGCTGGCAGGTCCAGCTTTCGCTTTGGGATACAGCTGGCCAGGAGCCATTGTAACGTTGCAAGAAAAGATGCGAAGCGACGCCGATGCATGCCGATGCTGACGGTCTGTGAGTGTACACATGTCTGCGCCGTTCTTCCTGCATTCTGTTCCCTGGGGGCGTGGAGGACGGCCTCTTATGGTCTCTGTCAAGTCACCTAGTTGTCGATTGATGACTTTGATCTGCACTCTTCAAAAGGAGCGCTTCCACTCCTTGGCCCCGATCTACTACCGCAATGCTGATGGTAAGCAAGCCTGGGCTTCCTCTGAGGTGTGGAAGTTGAGTGCGTGTGTGTTTGTGTGTGTGTGTGCGCGCGGAAGCTGTCGGGAGATGTTCGAGATGTTCGCTGTTGCACGCTGCCGCACGCCTTTGGCCTCGCCGAGGCGCCTTGCTGGTTTACGACGTCACTGACCTGGAGAGCTTCAGGTGCCTTACAGGAGGGAAAAATGATCACCCGTGAAAGCTTAGACATCTCAGGCGAGTCGCGAAATGGGTGGAAGAGCTTCAGGTGATGGCTGGGAGCTCATGGCTGGTGCCAAGAGGGGCGACTGTTTTGGACGCCGCAGCTTTCGATTTCTGCAGCTTCCTGAACTAAGGGCACCAAGTGTGTTCTGGCGATTGTTGGCAACAAATCAGACTTGCAGTCCCAGGCACCGGGCAGCTGGAGTGCAGGGGCGGTAGATGTTTGCACTGTGAAGAAAGCTGAGGCCAAAGTGCCTAAGGCCGATGCGGAGACCTACGCAAGGATCCTTTGAGTGCGTTTTGAATGCGCGGTGGACGTGTTGTGCTTGTGTTCTGTACGTTAAGTTTGTGGAGCATCTTGAAGCATGTCTTGAAACATGTTCTTTGGAGCACCCTTTTATAAGACCATCTCGTCGCTTCCCAGGAGTATCAATGCACGACACAGCACAGTCGCTCGGCACGCGAATTGGAAGCTTCAGAACGCCTGGCAGCGCTTTGCGTTTCAGCGTTGATTCGCTCCCTCTCCCTCTCTCCCTCTTGTTTCTCGCTTTGTGCTTCTACTGTACAGCGTTGACTCGCAAGGGGAAGCACGTACCCTGCCACCCCGTCCAGTCGAGTCAAGGCCTCTGCCAAGCTTGGCTTTGGCGTGGATGCTGGCGGCTTAGCATGCTGGCCGCGCGGCTTATCAGTCCCGGATCCTGTAAGATAGAGGCCTTTCAGTAGGTCATTCTTACCCGTGGCAGGAAGCCTTTGGGGCCTTGGCGGAAGACGTCTGTTGCTCAGAAGCAGTTTCGCGGCTTCCTGCTTGATGGATACACCCACACACGCATGCCATTGGTTATAGTCTCGGAGGGCTACAGGCCAAGTTTTTGGCTACTTCATGTGGAGACTCAGAACAATCACAATCTTCAGTGAGGCCATCAGTGGGACATCCGAGGCTAGGGGGTTTGATCCAACACTCCGATCTATAAGAAACCAGGGTGGTACTCAGAAGATATCTGATCCAAGGCACAAATACAAACCTTGCACCGACATGGAAGTCTGCATGAAGGACTTTTCACAACGGGCAGGTACACACCGGGACGTCTCCCACTATATTACTAGAGAGTGACAAGTGTTTGGCATCGGCCGGATGGCCCTCACTGAACAACACAGCAACTGAAGCAGTCAACCCACTCAAGGAGACTTGTGTTCCAACAATAGATTCAACACAAAAGTCGGGCTTGCCGCCCTCCGCACGCGCCCTCCGTAGCTACTAAGCCTGAGGTCCTGGCATCGAAAGCGCGGGCTCCAGGCCCCCCATTAGCTGGTGTAGCACTGGTGAAGTCGCTCCGGATTTCCGCTCTTGGGTGGGAGAGCTCTGTGACTGTCATGTGAGGCCAGAACCAGACTTCATCTAGGCGAACACGAGGAACCTTAGTTGTGGCCGATGATACTGGTGGCCAGCCTCCGCGTCAGAAAAGCGGATGTTGTGGAGGCCCATCAAACACCCCACGAAGAGGTTTTCACAATGATTCACAATGTCTCACATCTTGACGAGGCGGATGACATGTGGCAGGTCGCCTGAACTGGTGGCCCCAAGTTTGGGGCGAGCAACCGGTTTCAATCTGACGAAGGGCGATATTGCGCATCGTCGCAAATGGAGCGCAGCGTTTGATTTTCCATGTCTCACCTGGCGCCTATCAATTTGTCACGAGGGCGTGCTTGTTAATGCAGTCCGGCTGCACAGTCGACCTTCCATTGTGTATTATTGTCGCCGGTTGAAGAGGACAAACGTGCAGCCTGCTAACGAAAGCCAGGCGACGTGGCGTGCTGTGTGACGGTGTAGCTCTTGGTTCCTTCTGAAAGTCTTGGAAAAGTGAAAGCAGCTCTTTTGTGGCGCTGTGTTGGAGCGAGCTCGCTAAGAGTTTGTAAGGCTGCCTCCAGCCATGCAGGAGCCTGTCCTAGGTCCTAGACTCCTGGGCATCATGTCAAGTTGCAACATGACGTTGTTTCCTTCCGTTTAGGCGTTTAGGAAGTCGGGCAACCAATCAGACGGAGTCTTCAGAGTCTTCGAAGTATTGTTGGGTTGCTGGTTAACAGGTTCACTTCACTTCTGTGCTCTGAGTTCACCCCTTCGTTTGTCCTTCGGGATCATTTGTGGAGGCCAGGGCTTCAGGGCAACTCTTTCAGCACATCGCCGCCTTGGCTTGCCTTTGGCTCAGCCGCCAGTCATGTGGGGGCCTTAGCTACGTATGTCACGGTTGAAAGAGTGACGCTTTGGGGCATGGCTGCTGCGCCGCCGCTTCCGCGGCCGCAGCGTCCAGGCACCCTCGCGCTGCGTGCCAAGCAGTCGGCATGCACATCCTGAACTTGCTTTGGACAGCCTCAGGAGCCCCGCGGACTACAAAGTTTGTGCCACACAGCATCGAGGACCAAGTCCGACTAGCATACAGCACACCCACACCTCACGCCGGAATCTGAGCTTACTGTAAGCGGTTGTGGAGTTGCAAACTTTGCTCGCACGTTGAGTTTGGGGAGGTCTACCGTCCCACTGATCCAAGACATCCAGATATAGCAGAGCGGGCAACCCAGGGACGGGCATTTCGCACAGCGAAAGTAGCCGCCGCACGTTCTGGGGTCTTCCATGAGAATGGCCATGTTGCTCAACAGGCATGCAGCACTCTGACACATTGACGGCTGCTATGATGCTGGCATTCGCCCATGCTGGCTTTGTGTTGGCAGCAGCTGGTTCCCAGCCATGACGTAGCTGAGAGTTCAGCCTAATCAAACATGTCGAGGCACGACCATGAAGAAGGTGTATCAGACCGACATGCAGCTGTATTGAATACATGGTGAAGTTTGCTGAAGGCCGACTTGTTGCAGAGAAGCAGCGGCGTAGGTCGGCGTAGGTGCATGCTCACCTATGGACTGGTCAAGGGAGAACGCACATCTCGCGTCGGACAAATCGGTTTCATCGGCATCTTGGCCTGAGGATCCCTGGACCAAGTCGCTAAACGAGCTGATCCATGTGCTGCAAGCCCACGAAGCAGACATCTGCGATGCAATTGCAGCTACGCTGGTTCTTGCGCTCACGGCCTCGTTCTTCGTTAAACGGCCACGTGCAACCGGCGCAGTTGTGTGCACCTGGCTTGCTTGGTTTGCCTGGCAGTTGGCGCGTGGCCATTCTGCGTGGCAAGAGGTCCTGGAACATGCAGAGGCTGCTGCGAAGAGCACTGCTGGTGCCGTGCGAGCTAACGGGGAGATGCTGGTGGCGTGGGTGACTCTTGTGCTTCCAGCAGTTCATGACTTGTGCCGATCTCAGAGGTCTCAGGTCGGAATACGTCAGATAATGCCAGAATGTCTGCTAGCTCGGGCGTCGAGGCAACATAGGGTTCCTCAGATATCCTGGACTTTGAACTTTACCGACATTCCCCTCCCCCTCTCTTGCAGTTTGGAGAGTGCTCCTCGATAATCTGTCTCTATGACACTGAGGTGGTGTCTTATGTGCCCGATTCTGCTGCAATTGTTTGATTTGTTGCAGTGGATGTGGGAATCCATGTCATGGGAGCAGAGGGGCATTGTGGCGCTTTGCGGCATGGGTATCGGAGGTACTGCCTATGCAGTCATGCTTCTCTGGAAATCACGGTCTTGGCTGAGGCATAATTCCCAAGCCTTTCTCAACTCTGCAAAGCATGTGCTGTTCCACGTTTCTTTCATCGTGGTGTGTCCCACGGTGTGGTTTGCTGCAAGCTTGTGTTCGTCCGAAGCTGTGCCTGGCATTGTGTTTTTCTTGTTGGCAACGCTCCTGCCTGTGATGTGGACAAGTCGTGCTTTGATCCAGCATCATCATGAGAAGGCTGCAGATGAGGAAGCCGCTCAGGCACAGAATTCGGGCGGTTGGCTGCGTATGGCCATGCCCCGTTGGCGGGACACATTCTCACCATCTGCCGATCTTGAAGAGGACATGCGTTATTTGCTCTCTTACTGGGCTTGTTGGCCGCTTTTATGTGCAATTCAGTTCAGCCTGAGCCGGTTACCAGACGAAACCAAGCCCGGTGCAGAGGGACTCTTGATCGCGCTGACCATGTGGCTGCAGTTCTGGAGGGGCAGCTTCCTAGCCCCGTATCTGTTTAATCTTCTCACGTCACTGCTCAGCCACACGATTGAGCACATGGGCAATGTCCTGGAGGCCGCACGGCAAGCTGTTTGTGCAATGCTGCAGAGACCCACTTGCAGTTTGCATCTCCTGTCGCTTTGCCCACAAGAACGTTGGGCGATGCTGGTGGCAGGCATCGTGTTGCTTGCCGTTTGCTTGGAAGTGGCCTCCGTTGTAAGCGTACTGATCACAGTTGGATTGCTATTTGGCATTGCCTTAGAGTCTGCCCGCTGCGTCGCCTCAAACGCCAGGCAGATGTATGCCAATCGCCTATCTTTCTGGGTGTTGGTGAATGTTTGGTTCTGGGCTCTAAAGGTTCCCGTGCTTGGTGCAGTGCTGTCACTTTGGTCGCCGGTGATGTTTGGCTTGGCATTTGTGGGAGGTGAGACTGCCTTCAGTGCCGTCATTGGCCTGACTCTCTATGTACTGGCCCTTCTTGTAGGTGGGTTGAGCAAGTTGTGTGATCATTGCACTGCTCAAGCACCCCTGCAAGAAGCCCTTCTCGGGGATGGCAACGAGGACGAAGTGGACGCAAGTGGGTTAGGAGGAATCCCCGCAGAGTCCGATGGCAGTTTGTCAAAGCGGCCCAGCAAGTCCTCAGAGCAAGCTTGGACCGACCATCCCGAGCTCGCCGAGCTCCCCGAGCAGTCCGCAAGGATCGAGATCGATGAGCCTGATGAGCCTGAGATGTCTGAGGAGCTCGAAGTTCTGGAAGCTCAGCGGCTCGAAGAAGGCGAAGCTCCGGGAGTGCCGGACTTTGCAGGCGGAACGCCTATTGACGACATGAATGTGCCGTCATCGGCCATTCCTGGTCCCCTTGACGCAGAAACCTCGAAGGGGAGTGGACAAGAAGTGGATGTCAGCTGCACGAACAATACGACACCCTCAGCGCCTCAAGTCCCATCGGACCCATCCGGCGTGAACGTCCCATCGGACGTGAATGTCATTGATGCCACCGACGCCGACACGGGCCCTTCGCAAGAACTGCTAGTGGATCATGTTGACGATGCTGCCAAAGAAGACGGCACGGCCGTCGCAGCAAAAACGCATGAAACTTCGGAGACTTGGCAAACTGCACAAGAGCACTTTGTTTCTGTTGCCGAGATACAATGATATACAAGTACTGGAATCGCCATGTGAAACTGCCCGTATGAAACCGTATGAACATGTTTGAACCACAGGATGCTGATAAAAAGAGCATAAATGATGGGCCACTTCCGGGTTCCCTAGTCTGTTAGGTGTCGTTTGGGGATTGGCGTCTGAGGTCACAGGATCTACCGATAACTTTCTCACGGCAAGATAGGTTTGGACAAGGCTGCGCATGTATAGAAAGTGGGCATAGTCGTGTCTGCAGCTGTCTGCACGACAAGGCATGCGTAACGCAAGATGTAACTACAGTGAATACGCCTCGCGAGGCATTGGAATCAAGGCTGTGTTGCTCAGAGGAAGAGTTGATTTTAGGCAAGAAGCCTGTATGCGCATCTTGGAGTTGTGTGTGCACATGAGCAAACTGATCGAGGTTAGGACGGGGGGATGGCTGCACGAGCCCAGGAGCTGGCCGATTCCTCTGCCAATGACGGCAAGGAGAATCAGACCAGTGAGCACAGTGAGCTGCACACAAGCTGCAGGGACAACACAGATGCCTCAAACCATGTGGGCGCTTGAAAAGGGCATTGAGCGTCTCGCAGCGAGCAACGCCTAGCAGTCCTAACACACTCTGCAGCCCTTTCCGTGTTGCTGGCACGAAAGTCTTGGAGTAAGGCCCAAACCTCACGGCAAGATCAGCGCGTCCAAGCACCCATCAACGCTGGACGCCAGCATACATCCGAGATGCTTGCGTGTTGCCTGAAGCTGAAGACGTCCTGGCACCCTGCTAGGACTATGTTACCAAGCACAAGGGCTTCGTTCCTGGTCCCACCTATGTGCCTCCACCCTGGCCCCTCAGCTTTGTTCTCACATTCGCGATTTTTGAATCCGAACGTTGCTTGGCATGCTTGTGGTTTCCAGCTGTCCATATCTCTAGACAGCTTTCAGCCGAGGCAAAGGATGGGAAAACCGTTTTGTCCAGAGGGTGGGCGCTTCATGCTTGAGGCGCGTGCGTTGCTGAAATCATATCAAAGTGGTTTTCTGTTTATCTACGCTGGCGCTCGAGGCTCACAAGCCTCCGAGCTATTTCGATGTGGCTCCAAAGATTTTCGATGCCAACCCACCACCTGGTTCGTATGACGCCAAAGGCGCGGTCTTGTGAGATGTCTTTGCGGTATCGAGCGGTTCTAGTGCTCCATATCCACTTTATTCGCCCGTAAACAAAGATTGCAACTGGCAGTGCGAGTCATATATCTTTGCCCATCTCTTGACTCGAGTCACCTGCGTTATTCAACCAGAGTTTGGGTGAAAAGCTATGCCGATCATGCCCATGTCATCTAGCCAGTCTGCCCGTCAACTCTGCAGCCGAGTGAAGTTTGCCTCTGGGCCACCGTCAATGGGTGAGCTCGTGATGCACTTGCACCGCGACTTCGATTCCCTACTCAGTTTGCTTGTCTTGGACAGTTCTGGTATGTCAATGTATGTCACTGGATCGCACGTTTCCTGGAATCCGCCGCGGTCCACAGTCATCACCTTGCCAGTCGAGCCTCACCAGAGTCAACTTGGCCACTTTGCTCTTCAAAGCTAGTCTCAACAGTCTCAATATGTTTCAATGTCCGTTTTGCTCGCGACGACGGAGGCTCTGTCGAAGTCAAAGCGGTTGGCCAGCTCGTGTACAGATACGAGAGTGCCACCTGCTCCGAGACCAAGGCATTGATTGCCAAGGCCGGCGCATTCTAGGGCTAGAGATCAGGCCGGAGCAGAGGCTAGAGACAAAGGTGTCGTAGCGGTGTTGTAGCGGTGTAGCTGGTGCCCGACTCAGCAATCCCTGGAGTCCTGGCTCCTTTGCAAGGTTGTCGGGGATCCCGAAGAAGTGCCTGGTGGCGAACCTGGTTTGGTGATTCTTGTCTTCTCTCTCCTCAATTGTCTTCAATTCTTTTCATTCTCTTCATTTCGTTTCGTGTTGTATGTATAAATAAAAAATATATATGCATATCTGTGTATATCAAGTTTGAAGCATGCCTTCGACCACCATGAGCCCCTCGGGAGTCATTGTGTCTTTGCGGCAAGGGGTATCCACAAGCGCTTTTCAGGCACAGAAATCGCATTGAGCAGCAATCTTTGCGGCACTTACCATGCCGACCGCCCCAGTGCAGAAGCCACGTGTACGTCTCTTCCGAAGGCCCGACTTTGCTTTGTGAATGCCAACAAGCGTGGAGGTCCTTTCTCGGCTTTCCCTTTGGGACAGAAAATGGACAGATGCTCCGAGGTTTGGGGATCGCTACCACGAAGAATTTGGAACGAGAACCCAGTCTGTTTGACCTTCGGGCCTTCTTGCACTCTCTCCGCCCCTGCTCAAGCTTGCGGTTTCAACTTCTTTCTCCGCCCTGCTGGTGACTGTGCGGCAGAATCCTTTGAGCGCCTGAGTGAGGAGGAAGCCTTTCGTTGAAGTTCCTAGAGAAATGCATGGCATGGTAGTTCGAAGTAATGCAGCAGCGGGCTGGAACCCTTAGTTCATGTTGGTCCTCGGATGTTGAAATAAAAGAAGAGGCATGGGATGCTGGAAAGTCTAAAGCTAGTGACGATTGGAGCCGGGGATGGGGTGTCGAGAAAATGAGTCAATACCGAGAAAGACGAGGACGATAGCGAGAAGGAGGGGAAGGGGAAGGGGAGGAGGATGCCGACAACGATACCGAAAAACCATGAAGGGACCATGGTACTGGTACCATCAGGAACAGTTTTTGCTAGAACAAAAGCGAGTGACGGCGCCAATGGTGCCTGCAAATGCTTGCAGACCAGATGTCATTTAGTTTGTGCATATTAGCATCTTCCAACGTGGGCGAGTGTTGTTACTGAGGTCCTGGTCATTACACGTTGCCGGACCCGCTTCCACTGGCAGCTCCTCCAGCTTTGAAGGCGACCTGCCTGCATTGCCTGTCAGCTCACAACAAATCACCGCAAATCACCATGTGCATCAAGCCGCGATAGTCTGACTTGAAAAAGCGCCAGGGGCGAATGCTGCCCTACAGCATGCCCCATCCTTATGCCTACAATTGTGCACCGGATCACACTCGAAGCTTCCTGGAGCCTGTGCGACCCTCGGAGTTGTGTTGTTTTGTTCCTATCGCTTGCTGGCCACTCCTTCAGGGCGATGCTGTTCTCCTTGCGTCTTGCAGAATCTTACAGACACGGTGGGCATGGCAACGCCTGCATCTCGAGGTGCGCCAGCGAAACAATGCCGACCAGATCTTCGGCAGCTTGCTTGCATGTATGCGCGCTCAAACTCATGCCGACTCATCCAAGCAAAATGCAGGTACTGGTTGGCGATCAGGTGCTGCGCGGAGAGGCTCCGTTTAGAGATAGGGTGGCCGCTGCGGAAAGCCAAATGGCTCAGTTTCTGCTTGTGGCGACAAAGGCAAGTCTTCTCCGTCGAAGGAGGATCAGGCCGGGTGTGGTCTGGTGTCGAGCGACAAAAGCAAACGCTGCAACCGGAACCGGGTCTTCGCAACGCAGCAACAGCAACCGTGGCCACATCCGCAACAGAAGCCCCTGTGCCGAAGCTACAGTGATTCGCGAGAATCCTCTTCCGATTCGTAAGGGCAAGGGGAGAGTGAGGAATACGGGTGACAGTCCACAGGCCTTTCCCATCCCGGCTCGAGGCCTGTTCCGCAAGGTTGAGGCTTGGGGGCAACGCATGCATCTTCAGGCCCAGAGGCTTGGGACTTAGGACTTAGGGGTTCGGATCGGGTGGGCAAGCACCGGAAGCCATCGTCCAGCCCAGACACACACACACACAGACACAGACACAGACACAGAGACACAGACACCCATACCCATACCCATACTCATACCCATACACAGACACCCATACCCATACCCATACCCATACCCATACACAGACACCCATACCCATACCCACACGCACGCACACATACGAAGACAAGGGGGCCTGAAAGAGACAACTCACCGCACGAGCTTAAAGTCCATCCCGATGTGCAACATTTGGGCACGTGTAAGATTAGCGTGATCCGTCCATCACAGTGTCCGGATACTTCCGAGCATCTTACGGGTGGCCCTCTTCACTTCGAGCTGCGCAAAAGCTTCCTGTATCAAAGGAGGCCAATTCTGCTGCGCTGGGGTAAGGCTCTTAGAATGCCCCAAATCTCGGGTCATTTGTATTACACACCCGCCAACCGCGATGCCCGAAGCATCCGCGATCTGTGCTGGAGGGCAAGCAAGACCCATCTGCGGTGGAGGCCTCGTCAAACGTGGCCAAGCTGATGTGCTTCTGGCATCATCTGCTTAATAGCCCTAAAAGCCTTGCAGCCCCTGGCGGCTGGACCCAGCCCGCCTTCGGGGCCATTGCCCGAGGACTTTGGCAACCAAGCAGCCAATTCGCGCATCCCAAATACTGTTGGATGCGGAGCTTCTCCTTCAACGGAGGAAAGTCGACTGCGGCTTGGGATCGCTCCTCGTCAGGCGAACTGCCGTCCCGCCCAATCTTGTGCCCAAGAAGCTTGCCTTCCGCGAAGCAGACCTCGGCCGTATTCATGCCGAAGGAGAAGCCTAAAAGAATTGACTTGTCGAGGAACGTCGCGAGCGAGACCAAGTGGTCGAGAAGGTGCGGGCACGCATGGGCACGCCTTTGGGTGCCGAGTGCGCGGATCCTCAGCGCAGGCGTGTGGCCCCACAAAATGGGCTGAACTGGCCACGAGCCGAGACGAGACTCCCGCCATGGCGCTGGAAAAGTCTGGAGACAAGTCCGCTCTTGGTTGTTGAGTGAACAGGGCGTTCCGCACAGCTTGGCGTTTCAGGCCAGGGATTCCCATTTGGATGGCAAATACACGCAAATACCCACTATTTCAGTCCTTTCCAGCCGCTTCCAGCCGCATCATGTGAGAAGCTCTGGTCTCATACCTGTCGGGGTTCACGTGTGCGTCCATGCCAATGTACGGCCAAAACCTTTCCGAAGCCAATCAGCACGTTTTGTTTAGGTTTGCCAAGGCTTTGATTGTCCTTTTCTTCGCGGCTTAAGTGAAAGATGGGTGTGCAGACATGCGACGTGTTGCAGTGTTGCAGGTGCAATTGGCCGAACTTCCACCTGGCGTAGGCCAGGCCAGCTTCGGGTCATATTTGACCATATTTAGTCACTTTAGTCAGTATGGTCATATTTGGTCATACTTGGTCACATTTGGTCATACTCGGTCATGAGCCATCTCAGACTCTTTGTAGTTGACACGTTTGGGTTTTTTCAAGGTGAGGAGGAAAAGCCTGAAGATGACGGAGTCGTACATTGGAGGCATATGCTGCGAGAGGGGAGTTGCGAGTCAAGTCGTTTTGATGTCCTGGAGCCCAGCTCTCGGGGGGCTCTCCTTCAAACATGGTCAAACAGCATTGCAAAATATTGCAAACTTGCAAACCCGCCCATTGTGCGTCAAGCATCCGGAGTGTCGGGCACTTTCGGTGCTCCCTGCTGCACAGGTCTGGTGGCTTCTCCATCAAAAAGTCGCGCTCGACGGCCGGCATCAGAGCCACGTGCTGAGCAGCACTAGATACTACTCGTTCTTCCCAGCGTTGCATAGGGACGGGCCCATTGCAGGTCTGAGAATGTGGGTGCACAGAGCACAACGAGACACAACGAGAAGCTCAGCATATGTGCATGTCCTGAGGCTCCAGATGTCGAAAGGGAAGTCCTGGAGGCCACAGTGCGTTGTAGTGCAACCGTCTAGTTCTATCAGCATCGCACAGGGCGTCGGCAAATTCTATCCGCCTTTAGCACAGAAGCTGGGAACTCGGATCACACAGCAGCTCAAGCGTTCTTTTGCCTCAACGACTAGGTCAGGGTGGGTGCAGCTTTTCCATAGGAAGCGAGTGACGTGTGCATGAAGCAACTCGATATGATTCAAATCGATGACCGCATGCATGCTTTTGCCCAGATTGTTCTACCATAGACTTCCATAACAGCGGGATCTGACACAGCAGAGCCATGCCGTTCCCATCCGACTGCCCAAATTTCGCACACGGGTTCGACTTGTAGCGCCCACATAAACTTATGCTGACTTATGCACGTGTCGCACGCAGAACGGAGTTAAACCAAGACAATGCAACTCCGGCCCAGGGAAAGCTTTTTCCGATGTTTTTTGGTTGGGGACATGTTGCTGGCCAAAAGGGGTGACTTGTGAACGTGTGTGAATGTTGCCGCGTGTACCAAAGAAGTTCCACAGCTCAGGCTTTCCATGCTTCGGCACCCACTCTTTCGACGTCGGAGCAGCGTGTCCGTAGTTAGTGAGTTGTTCCAAACGTGTCGTTTTTACCGGCCGCCGTGATGTTGAGTCCTCTTCATTTGCAATTCGCAAAGAGATGATCGCTCGAGGCATCGCTGACCGCCACGTTATCTGCATTCTGGACTTTGAACTATGTCAACTCCCACATTGCAAGTCTCGACCTGCAAGCCAAATACTGACGCTAAGCAACATATATCCTGCTTTTTCTGACGACGCGCCTCAACTGCCAGCAGGCTTCTGACATCTGTGTGCAGATATCATGACACTCGTTTCGCAATGCCAGGCGACACACACACACACACAAACACGCCATAAACGATGGGCCACGCAAGCAGAACATGCTCTTCACGATGTCTATCATGATGGCACACTTGTACCTGTGACCCGACCTCTCGTGTGCACCCTCTGCACGGCAAGGCTTGCAAAGAAACGCGCTGTCACGTTTGCAACGACTTTACCAATACTTGAACTGGATCCCTGAAATCACCACCGCTGAAAGCAAGAAGTATGAGTGTCCACACCGGACCCTGTGCACGACTGAGAAGCGAATGCTACCCGACTACCCCAAGGGCCCTATGGCCGAAACGCCGAGATCAAAGACACAGATCGGTGCCAATGGGGCCCACCCAGGTGACAAAGGTGACCTCCGATGCAGCTATTTTGGACACCTCCTTTTAGCTATTTCGGACCACTACGCCCAGATCGCCAACCAAATGGTTTGACACACTACATTCTGCTCGTATCCTGTTCAACTGTAATTTAGCCTCATATATCAGCTCAGACCCTCGAGAGAAAAACCGACTTTAATACAGATCGGGACGCCGTCTGAGCAACGACTGAGACCAAGAGAGCGACCCGAACACGGACCGAGACAGCGCATGACCAAGACACTGACGGAGACGCCGATCGTGCGGGGGCCGGGACGTCGACTCAGACATCGACTAGGAGCTAGGATGGACTAGGGTACCGACTGGGAAGAGACGGACGAGAGCGACCCGGGACCTCAGTTTCAGAGTGAAGATCTTTTGAGTTTGAATTCTCGTTCTGAGTTTCCGCACGCAGTGTAAGGACGCAAAGATTCCCAAGCCCTGAACTGCCTTCAAAGCCTTCAAAGCGTTTTAAAGACCTGAAAAGCTTTTCTGTGTCAGAATTTGGTCCAAACGGGAAGCTTTAGTGTGGCCAGCGCGGGGATCTATCAGATCAATGCTCGGTCCTTTGCCTGTAGGCGGGGAGCACGCTGGGGAGCCGAAGATCAACGCTCTGTATGTCATTACGTGTTTTCACATGTTTTCAATTACCAGCTGGCAAAGCAGGAGATGGCCACAAATCATTGTAAAAAGAAGACGTGGGCCAGGAATGCGCAGTGTAGGCGAAAGCATGCCGGTTTGTTTTGACTGGCATTGCAGAACCCTCGGGCAAGACTGCAGGCAACGCTGCAACTCGCAGTTCCTGCCAATGTCGAGTCGAAGGACACGATATGACACAATGTTGCGGCAGCATGTGGCAGCAGTGTGATAGCATAGTGCCGAGTTTCAATGCACTGTCAAGGACAGAGTCCGTTCGAACTCGCGGAGCTTCCGAGGCTTTTGAGTTGCGAGGTGTTGCAGTTGCAGCACACGCACTCGACCTTCTGAAGGAGAACCAGCGTCTTGGCCAGAGCAAATGGAAGCTGAGCAAAGCGCTGGAAGGAATCGAGGCAGTGAAGAGCTTCAAAAGAATGACGTCGTTAGTAGATGTTTGCTAGGAAGTTCTGCTGGGGCGGTGTCCATTGAAATGCGTGAAGCATTTGTGCAGAGCGCAACCAATGCTGCCCTGGAGCCGCTGGATGCCTCGGCCCTACACCACACAGTGGTATACAGTGCCCCACGCTACAGACTCTCCTGATGGGTGGGTACCGGCGAACAACGAAAACCTACCGGCGGACAACGACAGACGTCTCATAACAACGAAAGATGACAACGCAAACATCCTGCCAGCATCGATCCTGATCCCGTGGGCAAGGGATCAGCGAGCATCGCAAAACATTCCGCCGAGCATCGACAAACCTTCCACCCAGCATCGAAAAACCTTCCGCCGAGCATCGAAAAACCTTCTGTCCTCAGATTCGTATTATGAATACTGCAACCATTCCGATTACTATTGTCATTACTACTATCATTACAATTATTATTACTAGTGTTTCTACTTACCATCATTTTCCGTTTTGGCTATTACTACGATTATTACCAGCAGTACTTTATTGCGATTAGTACTACTATTTCTATTTCAACTGTTATGACTTTGATTGCTATCATTACTATGATTGCGATCATTCCACTTCTTTTTCTATAAGTCTGTTTATTCTTATTGTTATTCTTCTAGTATTCCGATTATTCTAATACTACGATAATTATTGTTATTACTATTATTACTACTATTACTATTTTTAGCATTATTCTTACTATCATTACTAATGTTCGTATTGGTACTACTTTTCCTTGTATTTGCGATTAGATTAGTACTTTTATTACGATCACCATCCTCAATTGTGACTTCTGACTACAAAAAATTATTAAAGCGAGTACGGGTATTACTGTTGTTGATGTCTGTACAATAATTTTAACGCTACGCGACCCGCCTCGGCCCGGCCCAGCGCATCCGCGTGAGCATGGTGATTCCGCAGCGCCCAAGTTGCTGGGCCCCAAGCAATAAGGGTTGGGTTTAGGGTTTAGGGTTTAGGGTTCCGGGTTTATGGTTTATGGTTTGGGGTTTAGGGTTGAGGGTTAGTTTAGGATTGAGGGCTTAGGGCTCAAGGTTCACGCTTTGGGGTTTAGGGTTTTTTGGGTGTGGGGTTCAAGAATCGTAGGGTGGAGCCAGCCCATCAGGGGTAGGGGGGGTGGGGGGGGAAGGGGGGGCAGGGGGAGGGTGGGAGGGGGGGGGTTTGTTGAAGGTTTGAGGGTTGAGTGCTTCGGTTAAGGTTTAGGGTTTCGGTTCAAGCTTAGATTCTTCGGCTCGTGTAATGCATCCCAGGCCGTGCTCACAGCAGTTGAGCCTCACCAATGTTCTGTAGTGGTTTTGGAAAGGGGAGGGGGGTTGTGGGGGGGGTGGAGAGGAGGGGGAGAGGGGGGGGGAGGGGCAGGGGGGGGGGGGGGAGAGGGGGGGGGGAGGGGGGGGGGGAAGGAGGAGGGGGGGAGGGGGGGGGGAGGGGGGGGGGGGGGGGGGGGGGAGGGGGGGGGGGGGAGGGGGGGGGGAGGGGGGGGGGGAGGGGGGGGGGGGAGGGGGGGGGGGAGGGCGGGGGGGGAGGGGGGGGGAGGAGGGGAAGGGCTGCAACTGCCTCTGGTGGCGAACCATCCGCTGGCGGCCCCTGCTCTCCTAGGGGGGTACCCATTTTTGGCAAAAAAAGGGGTCCGAAAAGTGGCGATTTGGAGGGGCAACCTATACACCTTCGGCCCGAGGCCTCGGCGGATTTCCATTATAACCATTATTGTTCGTCTGCAAGGGTCATCGTTGTTGTTGTTGTCGTCAGATTAGTACTATTAACACTATCGTTACTATTCTACAAAGCGCCTAAGCCCCTTAAGCGCCTTATGACGTTTTTTGTACTGCACCTAAACACCCTTTAGCCCCCCCCCCCAGCCTTAAAGACCAAAATAAGCGCCTAAACTCCTAAAAGCGCTAAACCCCTTGGCCTAAGCCCCTTTTAAAAGCCTAAAAGTGTTTCTAAGCTCCTAAATGCATGTTAGCCCCCGAACCTCTAAGCCCCAAAAAGTGCCTAAGCCTCTAAAAGCGCCACAGGCCTTTTGTTTGGGTGTCGTGTAGGAATCATAAGGGTTTTCTTAGGGTATGACGTAGCTTCCGCAACTCCAAGAACCAGCAAAGGCAAACTCCTAAGGCCACTTCAGCCCTTAAACCTGCAACACGAACCCCGTACTCAACGCCCTAAACCCTAAACCCTAAACTCCGCCTGGTTCAAACCCTTGGGGCCAGACTTGAGTGTAGGCCTAGGGAGTTTATGGGAGATGGCTGCCGCCGCCTCCTGGTAACCCGGTATAGCTGTCAGGTGGCCCAAATACCATGGGGGTCGGAATATTATTAAGCCCTCAGCCTTTGAGGCCTAGGCCTTAAGCCTTAAGCCCTAAGCCCCCCTAACAAGCCCTAAGCCAAGCCCTAAGCCCCCCCCTAAGCCCCTAAGCCCCTAAGCCCTAAGCCCCTAAGCCCCTGAGCCCCTAACCCCCTTAAACCCCGAAGCCCACAGCCCTAAGCCTTCAGCCTAAGCCCTCGGCCCTAAGCCTCAAGCCCCAAGCCTAAGCTCTTGTGCCCTCCTGCCCTGCCCCGCCCCGCCGCCACCCCGCCCCACCGAGCATCGAGCGGAAACTGGCGCACATCCATAGGTCACGACTTGTCTTTCGTTGTCATCATGTGTTTTGCGAAGTTCGCCGGTAATATCTCCGAATCTCCTGTGCAGGATGCTCTGAGCAGCAAGACGCTCGAGTCGAATTCAACTTATCTGAATTATGTGACCATCGGACACGCTGCCCCTCAAGCCGACTGTGCGGAAACTCGCTGAAGCTTCGAAGCCTCTTGCAGTCGTAGACCTGGCGGTTCGCTGGACCCCCGAGGGTTCATTGCAGCAAGACGGATGCTAAGTCGGCCCCGATGGCAGCTGAATCCCATGTCCGCGCACCCACACACACATACATTCTCCTGAACATCAGAAGGTCAATGTTGTGAATGCAATTGTCTTTTTTTTGCCGAAGGGAATGAATGTACATACTTCTTCTGTAGAAGAGTACGAAAGCCTGTAAGCGACAGAGCGATTCGCAACACATTCCGAACTTACCGATGCGTTGGTGCCTGCAGCTGCAATGCAAGGTGTTCACTGAGTTCGGCGCTAACCAACCAGCCAACCAGCCAACCAGCCAACCAGCCAACTAGCCAGCCATTCAATTCACTAAAACACACACACACACACAAACACACGCAAACAGCAGATTTGCTAGGAAAACAAGCCGAAATGCCCAAGTACTGTAGCAAGAACAACGGTCAAAAACATGCGGCCAAGAACCGAACACATTCCTTACAACAAACAGAAAAACAAACGTTGCGCACGATTTTCCAAAGAGCTGGACAAGAGCGGGGCGACTCCGCCGGAGTTCACGGCAAGCATCCGCAATCATCTTTTCCATTTCACATACTTCTCAAGCATTTCGTATGCAGATGACTTCAGGTGCCTTTTGTTTGTGTTGGCTGGCAAGTTTTGTGACATGTACTGTATGTTAAGGAGTCTCAGAGCCGAAACGGTGGGTTTTGCATGTGCAAGGTCGACAAACTCAAGCAGCATGCGATGAAAGGCTTGCGTGACAAGGTGCATGCTGTTGAATTGCGAGCGCGGCTTTGGTCATTGAGCTAGATCTGACCTGCCATGCTGCCCTAGGACCATGTTTGAACTTGCTGCAGGCAATCAATCGCATGAAGCTTCAGGGCGTCAGCAGGGATCAGCAGGAGGCGCATGATTTTGCAATATCAGACTCTTCCGGGTGATCTAGTCCTGCATATTTGACGCCCTGCGCGGCAGGTGATCCTGGAAGAGATGGATGCGCTGCTGCGTGAGCGTTCGGAGAGAGTCAAGGCTGCCTGGGCGTGATGAATGAACGGCTTCGGTGGGCATGTGGCGGGTCACAGGCTGCTCAACTGGAGTCCCAGGAGCTGGACATGCAGGCCGACTGTTAAACAAAAGGCTGAACGTTCAGGTTTGAAGAGCTTTTCAGGGAAAAGGTTTTTCAGCATTCACCTGCTTGCTGCTGTTCTTTGCTGTTCTTTGTGTGCAGCCGCAAGTACGTAGATGCGAGATGATCGTCACATGCAGTTCGTCCAACTTGCGGTGGCTCTTAGCAGTCAGGAGGACGTGGTTTTTGCACCTCCGGATGAGATGGAAGCGAGCCTGGAGACAAGAGAAGATGCTCAGCAGGCAGAGGCGCGGGCAGCCTGCCTCACGCATTGCACTGTGACGGCTGAGACATCTTATGGTCATTCGCTCAACCGCGGCGGGTTTAGGGCCGGGCCCATTGCCTCTGTGTTTTCTGCCAGGATGCCGAAGCACATGTTGCCTCCTTGGATGCGCGCGACGCTTAGCAGCTTAGCATGGTCTCAGCATCCTGAGATATCCTGAGGCCTGAGGCTCCGGCACTTCAGCCCATGCTTAGCATATCTTGGCATCTTTTGAAGCTCTTTGCCGCTCCATGGTGCAGCTTTGCCCGAGATTGTTTGGGTGTCCTATTTTTCTGTCATATTCTGTCATTTGCAAATTTGCTATCCTTCAGGCACCCGGAAGGGAGAGAAGCACCAGGAGGGCCCGCGGAGGAGTGAGAGTGCTGGAAGGCATAGCCGCAAATCCATGCGGTCATGCTGAGTCTCACAATCACACGCATCCTGTCTGCCCAAGTTCAGCTGGTCCAAGCTCAGCCCTGTGAAGCGGGGACAACCTCAGTCCTTTGTATTCGATTCAGGGTATTCTTGCTCTCTCCGCTCCGCATGTTCGACGGTTACTTGGTTGCTCTCTAAGCTGCCACGGTAGAGACAAGTGCAAAGACAAGTGCAACCGGTGGAGCCTCCTTAGGAGACCCCAAGCTGAATTCAGGACCGGGTGGTCAAACGGCGTTACACGTCGATGCATTGTGGGTGTGTCACGGTGTGTCTGCTCAAGACCCAAGCCGCACGTCAGAGCCAGCTTCGCGACTCGAGCTGGTTTGGCTCTTTGTCTGCAGATTTGACTCAAGTCAAGCTCTCCTCATGTAGGTGCAGCCATTGCAGCCTGTTGGCTGGAGTCTTGTACATAGCATAGTTGGGCACGATGTCCATAGCAGATGGCGTCGAAGAGCTGTTCGGCCTGCTCCTTGGGTCAGCGGAACACAGATACCTGGTTCAACCGCATGTTAAACTGTGGGCTTGCTCACCTGTCTGTGAGCAGATGTAGCAAAGTGCCATGCAAGTCCAAGGCCAAGTCATAACATGGAAGACAACAGAGAAGACAATCAGCAGGCAGCAGAGGCCTCTGCAGAACAGATACGGCATAAATGCCGATCAGGAGTCCTGATGAAGAACAGGCAGAGCCACAGGCGCAGTAAGCCAAGAGGAAACAAACTTTGCCTTGACCAGGCGGCAGTCTCTCTGGAGGCAATGAGGAGCGTATGAACGCTGCACAACATTCCCAGCAGGTACCAGCAACAAGGAAGAGGGTGAATACCATCAACACACAGCTTCTTTGTCCTGACCCAAAGTTCATCAGTGGCTGTAAATATCTGAATAACAGTTCGTGCACACTTGGATTCGAACCCTAAGCCTCTTGTTTCTGTCAAGCACCGTTCTTCTCCCATGTGCACCTCTTCCTCAACATCGCTGCTCAGGCTACAACCGAGAGAACTTCATGTTCGACCAAGTCTTGCGACAGTGGTCATGGTCTCGATTCCGCCGTAGATGCTGCTCGAAAGTCTCGAAAGATCTCGTATTGAACTCATCAAGGCGGGAGTATCAGGAGCAGGACATGCGCGTGAAGCAGTTCATGCTCTATCGAGAGGCGTGGCTTTGTGACGGCAATGCCTGCCTGAGTGCGATGAACAGCATTATTGTTTCGCGTTCCCGGTTGCAGGATGTGCGAGATCTGACTGAACTGACCACCAGCAAGTGCCCCCCCCCTTGTGCTTGCTGGGTACGTTGTCGCACGTTGCCGCATGTTGTGAGCACAGATTGACCTCATGAGCCAGGATGGACAGCTACTTGATGATTGCTGTCCTTGAGCTGGGGTGCTGCCCGCTTTCTCAGAAGGTTTTTGCTTGGTGCTTGCGGGCCGTCATCTCCCGTCATCTTCTCTGTGAGGTCTGGACCTACTGGTTCATGGTGTCTTGCACATCAAAACCATGACAGGCCCTGGTCGATCTCTCTTTTTGCCGCAATTTGCGGGCGTTTCTTGCCAGATGAGCCCACATGGCTGCTATGGCTCTATGTGATAAGCTGCATGCCCAGCAAAAGCTTTTCCTAGGAATCAGTGACTGAGCAGCTTGGCAAACAGTATTCTCTCCCAAGGCCTCGCTGAAGCGAGGTACTCAGCATCCAGGAGTACGGCGGAGTAGAGCAGCGCAGCGTAGTGCAGCCATGAGCGAACATGAAATCAGATTCTGCTAGGCCTTCGTGTTCTTGTTCCTCAGCGCGTGGCTAGCCATCCATGCATCTGCCGGACTCCTACACAGTTCTATGTGGTTGCTTGTGGTTATATGCAAACTCCTGCATGCCAATGAGAGAGTTCAAACCCGAACAGCGGATGTTGGCAGTGGCGTTTCGACGGCCAGCCTGGCAATGTGTAGTGGTCTGGAAACCCCCAAGCCACTTCAAGCACATTGAACGTGGAATCCCTTGTTCACCATACAGTTTCAAGTTTGACGCACGAGAAGTAAATATTGCAAGATTTTATCAAACAATTGCTGGCATGACATTCCAATTTAACTCTGAGCTGAGGTGAGGACATAGTCAAAAAGAACAGTTTTGCCCCGAAAATCCTGGGTACGTGCTGCATTCATACGACTCGCTTGCACCGTCGAGACTTCGTGGTAAGTGTCTTTCCTCCAGTATATTCTCGTGGTCGTCAATTTTTGAAAGAAACGCACATGCTATTCTCACAAGCGAAGCAGGAAATCTTTAACATGCATGTAGAAAGCTACCCATTTTTAGGCTTTACATGTAGAAGTTAAGGCCTTCCCATCGCCAGACCATCCACACCCCAAACATGTTTGCATAAGACCAGTTTAGGTTTCTTGTGACATGTTTGGACTGCCAACCAACACCGAGGTGTCTGCCCATTCCTTCAGCGTGAGGACATGCTCCCAGTGAGTCTGCTTGTGCACGGCAACTTTTATTGCTCAGTGTTGCTCAGAGCTGCCTCGTGCCGCGACCCACAGTTCTCAGGCTGCTGACACAATTCGTGCGGCTGCCGCTGCCAAGCCGCAGGCATCAAGTGTTCAGAGGAGTGCGCTTTGTCATACTGATTCGCAATTTGCTGAAGCATTTGAAAGATATTCGATATGTGATTTTGAAAGGCAGATCGATGCCGGATCAGCTCTGGCAACTGACTATGAGAACAAGGGCTTTGAGGCATGCCTGTGCCACTCGCATCCACTCGCGACATGCGCTCCAACATGCTCCAAGGTGGAACCGGCACTTGTTTTGCTTGATTGATTGCTTGTTGTGGCCAGGATCTTCTGCGCGTGCCTATTTTGCGGCAACAAGCCGAGCGTCTTGGTGATGTCCTCAGCGCTTGATGCGTTGATGCTTAGCTGAGACGACGTGGGACCAGGTGGCACCGGCCCAAGCCGGGCTCCGCAACAAGATGCGTCAGGATGCGCAAAGCGGACGTTGAAGTTAAAGCAGAATCGGCTCAAACTTTGGCGTTTTGAGAGGAGCTGCCGTAGCTGGCTTGGTCTCCATGTCCCAGCCAGGGGCAAATGCAGCCATTGCGGCGGTCTCGGATGCAGGAAAGAGGGAAAGGTTAAAACTTGAAATCGCCTCTTGTCGCTTGGTAGCTCTCTGAAACTCTCTGCAGCCTTTTCAGGCTGCGAAGCATGTACGGTGCGGGAGCCTGGAAGACCTCTGCTCAACGCGCAAGTAGCTAGACATTGATGGGGCTGAGCGACTAAGGCTTTATCGTGACCTGCAGGACAATTGGCAGGAGCCCTCGTTGCGAGGATGTTGTGTCATCATCTGTCGTCAAAATAATCCCGCATGTGTTGCTCCTGTCAGGCGCATGATGCTTATGCTCGTGCATGCCTGGCACTTGGCCGAGCACCCAGGACATGCACAGGTCATAAAGGTGTAGCTGGGCTGCAGTCCGGAGGCAGTGCGCATGGTGCTGATGCAATATTTTCAAGCCCACGCTGGCTGCTTTTCACGAAAGGGCCTGCACTTAATAATGGTTGATGCATGGTCTGCAAAATCTGCAAAATCACGTGACGGAGCCACATTCAGTGCTGGAATGACAATGGAATGATCCTCCCAGCACAGGTGGAAACAACGATTGTCGCAATTCCATTGGTGCTGCAAGTTGTGTAGCATCCGTGCAATGCGATTGCTCGGAACTAGCTTGGAAACAAAGCCTGCTAGCGGCGTTTGGTTTACAAATTGCTTTCCCTCCAGTGGGTTGGTGGGTTTGGCACCTGCCCCCTCCCTCCCCCTCCCATGGCGACGAAAATGAGGACTCCTTCCGTGCGTCCACTCGCTTTTGTCCAGAGCACTTTGGAAGTAGAGGAGCATGACCCACAGACACGAGGCGTGCACATCTGCCTTTGAATCGGCCCGGCTGTTGCTTAATTAGCGTTTGGATCGGCAGACCCCCGACCCAGGTACGTACAAGCTGCTGCACGCCGTGGCTTACTACACAGTGGGCTTGGCTCTCGTACTTGAATGCCGGCTCCTCTTGATGATTTCGGTCAGAGTGACTCATTCTTTATTATCCAGAGGCTTGCTGGTCCTTGAGATGCATGCGCCATGGGCGGGTCTCGCGTGTGCGATGCTTGCCTTAACATGTTTGCACGCATGCTGGTTGTAATTGTCCTGCAGCATGGCTGCTGCTGTGGCCGGCATGCAAGGACCGTGCTTCCCATGCTGGCTTGGCTTTTGATCAAGTGCCTTCCCTAGCCGGCCCTAGCCGTGAAGGTCAGGGTCCTCTCTGTTTGGTCAATCGCGGTCAGAGTTGTCAGGCTGGACTTGTACTTCGCGAGCACCAGAAGAGTCTTGGGAGCTTTGTTTCTCATGTTGGGTCGCAAGCTCAGTCGTGGGCACCGTCCCTAGGTTTGCAGGCCCCAAATGTTTTGACAATGTTTTTGGCGCCAATTTTGGCAAGGTCCTTTGCTTGCCTTGGTGGCTGCCGGACACTGAAAATTCAAAAGCACAGCACACCTTCTGGTGCCTTGGCTGTGACTTTTGGCTGGCTCGGCGCCAAGCGAAGCACAGCCAAGGCCACCATGGATCCCACGCTGAACAAGCTGAGCGAGCTGCAGTACCTGGCTCAATTTGCAGAGGCCTGAGAACTCCCTTGGAGGGTGCGCAAAAAGCAAAGCTCCTCCGGACCAGAAAAAGTTGGGAGAGTCGCGGGATCGACAATATGCTTGCACTATAGGGGGGGACGTATCCGGCCTCTCTGTGATCAGTCGCTCAGTTTGGGGGTCACCGAGGGCATGGGAGATGGGAGTATACATCTCTGCAAGCAGCTAGTCAGCGCAGTCAATCCCAGTACGTCAATCCCGCGTCACCAGTCCACAGTGCAGCCCTCTTCGTTGGGTATCCAGTTGCACTGCGAGATGCCCCCCCTGCTGACTACGAAAACAGGCATAAACAGCCTTCCTACCTTCGTGGAAGAAGCATAGCACCAGGCCGGTCGAAGCCGGATGGTGGCCTAGGTAGCATCATACAGCCGATGGGATGTCTATGCCATGGCCGGATGATGCAATCAGCTAGTTCTGCCAGGTTTGCGCTGCGTCTGTCGCCTTTGTCTGCACCAGGGGCAAGAAAACAGCTAGACAGTTTTAGATGAGAATCTTGCCGGCATCGTATTTCATAGTGTCTCTTGCTACCCCCCTCTGATATTCTGTCAAAGGGCCGAGCATATCTGCTTGGGTATGTTTAGATAGGCTTGATGATCAAACCTGATTTCCGCATCTCCGAAGTGAAGTTTCTTTCTGCCTCACTTGCGCCAATGATCCACATGATTTGAGTCCCTCATATCTTGACTCTGCTTCCCACGGTGCAACCAGACCCTTTATCAGAATGTTATCGCAAAAGAAGTCGGTGCATCATGTATTTGAAATCTACCGAAAGGCCTCAGCGTCCACTGCACAAAGAAGGTAAGGCAGGCATGGTTGCCGATTCACCGTCACTTCCTGCGAGCAAGAGATCTCAATGTCGTTCGAAGTACGGCTGGTGGCACGGATGGGCAACCAAATCACCCAACCAGATCTGCCACTGACCTGAAAGTCATCCGAACACCTTGGTGATCTGATGGAGCAGCACTATCGTTAGACTCATCCAGTTGCAGATTGCTGCGCCAACTCACGGGGTTGATGATGATGAGGAGGCGGGCAAGACACGAAGAATGAAGTACAGTAGGAGGTGGAAGCTGCTATGCCCAACTTGGAACCGGAGCTAGTTATGGCAATGATTTTCAATGCATTCAATGGGCAGAATCAAGTCAACAGATCATCAGGGCGCCTGGTCAGAAAGGGCAGATATCGCTCCAGAGAATGCCGTTGTGGACACACGTGACATTGTCAGCCGTTTTTTTCTTCCACATTTTGATCTGTTTGAGTTGAGTAGAGAAAAGCACGCGGAGATGGCCAAACTCGACGCCTGCATCGTAGGTTTTGATTGGGTGCAGTAGCAAAGTCCAATCTCCCTGTGCATGATTGGCACTACGGCATGCGTCTGCGTATCGGACCGATCGCAATGGTATTTTGGCTAAGCATGTCTGCGGGATCTACACCCACACCCACACACCCACACACCCACGCACCCACGCACCCACACACCCACACACCCATACACCCGCACACCCGCACACCCACACACCCACCCCACACACCCACACGCCCACACGCCCACACACCCACACGCCCACATGCCCAGACACACCCAGACACACCCAGACACACCCAGACACACCCACACGCCCAAACACGCCCACCCACACCCACACCCACACCCACACCCACACCCACACCCACACCCACACCCACACCCACACCCACACCCACACCCACACCCACACCCACACCCACACCCACACCCACACCCACACCCACACACACACCCACACCCACACCCACACCCACACCCACACCCACACCCACACCCACACCCACACCCACACCCACACCCACACCCACACCCACACCCACACCCACACCCACACCCACACCCACACCCACACCCACACCCACACCCCCACACACACACACACACACACACACACACACACACACACACCCACACCCACACCCACACCCCACACACACACACACACACACACACACACACACACACCACAACACCCCACACCCCACACCCCCACACACCCACACCACCACACAACCACACACACCCCACACCCCCAACCCCCACACCCCACACCCCACACCCCACACCCACACCCCACACCCCACACCCACACCCACACCCACACCCACACCCACACACGCACACACGCGCACACGCGCACACGCGCACACGCGCACACGCGCACACGCGCACACGCGCACACACGCACACACGCACACACGCACAGACGCACAGACGCACAGACGCACGCACGCACGCACGCACGCACGCACATCACCTTTTCAAGCGGCACACGTGCACATCGCACCGGGCAGACGAACTTTCTCTTTCTTGAAGCCCTCGAGTTTCACCCCGATCCTCGCACCCAATGACCAAGACTACAGCCGAAGATCCTGCGCCCTAAGCCGTCCGAAGCTTTCGACTGTTTCTTGTCTGTTAGCTTATGTGATTTTGGCTGTGGTGAAGAGTGAAGAACGTTGGTCTTGACAAATGAGATGGCATTCCATGCTGTGATCCCGAAGGCGCCCCATTGAAACTCTAAGGTTCTTGTTTCCGTCGTCTTCGCGATGCACGCCGGCCTCATCGTCCTTCGGTGAAATTGCACCCATTCTATTCTCTGCAACCTCTGCCTTGAAGTGCTCCCAGGTGTGTGTGGCTTGTGTGGCGAGAGCCGAGCATGTAGGCACCCCAATCTGCCACACGCCACATCTGTAGCTATCATGCGCCTGTCTCTGTGTGTGGCTGCTCACGACGAACGTAGCGGTGGCAAGCAGCAGATGTTGGATTTCTTGGAGCACTTTCCAAGGTTTCCGAGCGTGGTGCAGCGCTGCCCACCCGATTTCGTAGTGTCCTCTACCTTGACGTTTTTGGCTGGTGTGCTCCCAAGCCGTAGCAGAGCTGGCAGCAAAGTTGCACAGCATGCCTGCGCACGCAATCCGGAGGCTCCAAAGCCCGGACGTGTCCTGGCTGCAGCCACAATAAAGGGCACATGGCGGCCATGTGAAGCAGTGTTTATATTTCTGTTTTTGGTGAGTGTATATAAGGTTCCTTTTCAATATTGGTGAGTGTATATATTTGGTGTCCTTTTGGGGGTACAAGAAATATTTTAAGGGGCTGCGCCCATGGGCGGGCAGCGCACGCAGAAGCCCGGGGCGAGCAGTTTCTAAGCATGTTGAGGCCCCTAAACTCCCTTAAAATCTCTAAGCGTTAAGTTTCTAAGCATTTTCAGGCCCCTAACTCCCTTCAAATCTCTAATCCGAGACTCCCTTAACGTTTCTAAGCACTTTATAAGGCCCCTAAACTCCCTTTTTCCTAGCCCCGGGCTTAGACACGTCGCTTATGCCCGCCCTTTGGGGGGCATCATGCTCCTGATGCCCCCCCCGCGGTCCCGCCCCGGGAGCCGCTGATGCTCCTGATGCGCGCCTGGGGGTCCCGGGCTGGACCCGCTGATGCTCATGATGCGCGCCCTCTGGGGGCCTCCGTGGCGACGCAAAAAACCACGAAAAAAAAACCGTTCACCGGCGGCACGCGGGGGTCGGCGGCACTGGCGTCCGGCCTAATTCTGCTTCGCAGAAGGCCAGAGGCCAGCAAGGCTATTCCCGGGACGACCCGGGCTAAAAGGTCCGCATTTGCTCGGTCCTTTGGGGACCTCGCGCTGCCCGATTTAATGGCTACCGCCAGTGCCGCCGACCCCCTCCAAGGGGGGCCAAGGCACTGTGGGCTCCGTGGCGGGGAGCGGGTGCGTGGGTGGTGGGGGTAGGGGCGGAGGGAGCCATGGGGCCAGGAGCCATGGGTCCATGAGGGGCATGGGCGGCGGGGCAGGGTGCGTGAGGGGTAAGGGGTAGGGAGCTGGGTCCATGAGGGGTAGGTCAAGGGGATGGAGAGTGGGAGCGTGGGCCAAAGGAGAGTGAGTAGGCGGAGCTGGAAGGGCGGAGGGCGGAGCGGGCGGAGCGGGCGGAGCGGGCGGAGGGCCCGGGCATGCACTGGGGCCTTTAAAGTCAGCTGAGAAGCCACATCCATGGGCCGTGGACCATGAGCCATGGGGAGCCATGGGGCCAGGAGCCATGGGTCCATGAGGGGCATGGGTGCGTGAGGGGTAAGGGGTAGGGAGCTGGGTCCATGAGGGGTAGGTCAAGGGGATGGAGAGTGGGAGCATGGGCCAGAGGGGAGTAGGCGGAGCTGGAAGGGCGGAGGGCGGAGCGAGCGGAGCGGGCGGAGCGGCCGCAGGCCCCCACCCATGCACTGGGGCCCTTTAAAGTCAGCTGAGAAGCCACATCCATGGGAGCAAGGGGCCCATGACAAGCACGGGCGGCGGGGCAGGGTGTGTGCGGGTGGGGGTGGGGGTTGCGGGAGGGGAGTAGGCGGAGCTGGAAGGGCGGAGGGCGGAGCGGGCGGAGGAGCGGGCGGAGTCAGCTGAGAAGCCACATCCATGAGCCGTGGACCATGAGTGAATGGGGCCAGGAGCCATGGGTTCAGTGGGGGGCGGGGTGCGTGGGGGGTGGGGGTGGGGGTGGGGGTTGGAAGTGTGGGTGGGTGGGGGTGGGGGTTGGGGGTTGGGGGTGGCAGGGTGCGTACGGTATGGGGGCGGGGGTTGGGGGTTGGGGTGGAGCAGGGGCCATTTCTAGGACCAGCATTGGCAGCCATGCAGGTCGAGGGATGAAGAATGGGACCAGGAGGCAATGGGGCCAGGAGCCATGTGGGCCATGGGTCCAGTGGGGGGGCGGGGCGTGGGGGGTGGGGGTGGGGGTGGGGGTTGGAAGTGTGGAAAGGGTGGGGTGTGTGGGGGCGGGGGTTGGGGGTGGGGGTGGAGCCATGACGCCAGGAGCAAGGGGCCCATGACAAGCACGGGCGGCGGGGCAGGGTGCGTGCGGGGTGGGGGTGGGGGTTGCGGGTGGGGGTGGAGCAGCTCAATGGGACCAGGAGCCATGGGTCCATGAAAAGCATGGCGGGGTGCGTGGGGGGCTTGAACAAGGGG